CTCTACAGGGTGGGCCAATAAAATTGGACCATTTTTCTATTTACTCAATTTTCTTTAATATTTTCTTTAATATTACACAAAAAAATCAGTTAATGGTCATGGAAAGTTTCCAATTTTCTCTGCTTGAGATGTCACTGCTGGAAATACATGTAGTCTCAACACAATGTCCATCAATTAAACATATGTAGTTATCTTTAGGAGTAGCTAGACATGCCCTCCTTTGGTTATTTAGCTTAACTGACCTCAGTTTTTTCAAAACTGGCACAAAATGTACCAAAACCTATCATTTAAGCCATGTATGTCAAAAACTGCTCAGGCTGATTGTTCAGGTGGGTGGAGGACATGTTCAGGAAACCCTTGCATTGAATGATTAAATGTTTTAAGCTTGTATATTCATATTTCCACAAGGTGTTGACAATAAATTGTTTTCAATTTCCTACAAGTACATGTATTGAAGATAATACATGACTAACAATAAATTTACAATGAATGGAAAAGATGTTCCAATTTTCTTTGGCCCACCCTGTAGATTAGGGATTTAGATTTTCTAATCTTGCCAATATTTGGTTAACATCTCAGTGAATATCTTTTAGCTATACTGTATAAAAATACTAAATGTTTTGAAATTGGTACAAATATTGAATTGTTATTTGTAATGAAATGTGAAACTTGAACAAATAAAAATATGCATTTTACCCAATCATCTAATTTATTTCAGTTTGTGTTTTTGTGAACTTTAAAAAAATCTTATGGTGTAGTCACTTATAAGTACAGTAGTACTCCTTTATAGACTATAAGGAGGAATCAATCTACTATTAGTCTAGTAATTAGTCTATCAGTTTATCTCCCTGAGCAGATATCTAGCTTCACTTGTCTCCCTCTGAAAGGCCATTCCCTGTATACATTTTAAATCTCTAATATTGGCAACTCTTCCCCCTATAAATGCCTTCAAGTTGTGATTTGATGTGCAAATGTGACCAAGGAAGTATCTAGCCATACTGTGTTTCTTGAGAGAAACCTTTCTGGTACGAGGTTTTAATACTGTATGTACCCTTCAGGGTAAACATTTCTAGTTACTCCCCCTGGAGATATGATTTCTAAAGCTAGTAAATATTTGTAACCTACGAACACTTTAGTATCTTTTTATTTGCCCTTAGTAAAACGTCACCTTATGTAAGTGTATGTCTTGTATGATTTTATCTCTTAAACGAAAAACATTTCTAATTTTGTCTCCTCAAGGAAGCTTTATAGTTACTGTTAGTATTAATTTGTTCCCCTAGGAGAAGTCCTTTTGCATCACAGCTTATCGTAAAGGATTTTATGTTGGGGGAGGGGTGCTTGATAATGGCTATGAGTGAAGTGAACCGCGTCGAGTTAGCCAGCGAACGAGCGCAAAATAGTGGGGTCTCTGGTTCCAGAAAATTTCGAAAATCAAACATCATTTGATGCATTCTGAGCAATTTCAGAGCATATATTTTGCATATTTCATTTTTCAGTTCACTGAAATATTTTATTTCACAGATTAAGTTGAACAGAATTAGAACAGAATCGTCTTTTAACACGACGTTAATGTATTTTAGTAATAATTGTGACGTCGTAATAATGAACCTAATGAATGCTTTTAGTTGTTGGAGCAAGTTAGACTTACATGTATCTCTTATTTTAGATTCAACAAAATAATGATTATCTTTAAATTCGATTGTCTGGCAAAAGTACACCACCTCCTGCTAATGTCGATCTGCAGTCTCCTATTAGGTATTATTGAAAATAAGATAGCTTTCGAAATATCTACATTATTAAACGATAAAAGCCCTTTAAAAGTTGAGAATTGCATGATATAATAAAACTATCGCTATTTTTCGTAAAAATACGTTAAATTCGTTAATTTTCTAACTTAATTGCCTAATGGAACGAATACGCGGTAAAATCCGAAAATGAGCCGTCCGTCCTCTGTTACCCCTCACGAGATCCAAATACCCCATTCTGAAAAATGGACGGACAAAAAGTACAAAATACCCCATCCACGCGCCAGATACCCCATGTCCACGCGCCTAATACCCCATTATGGGGTAAAAGGCGCGTGGCACGCGCCAGATACCCCATGTTATTTCCTTCCGTCCGTCCGTCCGGGCGATAACTCAAATACCGTTGGCCCGATTTTGTTCATATTTTGTACACATATACCCTATGGGGCTAAAAGTTCTGCTCGAAAGCCGATTTTCAAAATGGCCGCTCAATTAAAAATGGCAGCCATTTTAGTGCCGATTTTACAGTAATTTAGGTGCAATATGTAAAACTGTAATAGCAATATGTTTTAAATGTAAAAAAATTATGAAGGGCATTAATAAAGGTATAAATGAAGACATTAAAGAAGCCCATGGCAGCCATCTTGAAAAATGGCGGCCTTTACTCGTTATTTTACGATTTTTGCTATAACTCGAAAAGTAGTGGAGCGATTTTGTTCATATTTGGTATGTGAATACTATAAGCATTGCACACTGCCTAAAGACACTTTTGGTAGAAGCCGGCCATTTTTCAAAATGGCCGCCATTTTAACGTATATTACTATAACTCGAAAAGTAGTGGAGCGATTTTGTTCATATTTGGTTTGTGAATACTATAAGCATGGCACACCGTCCTATGACACTTTTGGTAGAATGCGGCCATTTTGAAAAAAATTTGAAAAATGGCCGCCATTTTAACGTATTTTACTATAACTTGAAAAGGAGTGAAGCGATTTTGTTCATATTTGTTATGTTTCATATTTCATATGTGAATACTATAGGCATGGCACACTGTCTAATGACACTTTGGGTAGTAGGTGGCTATTTTGAAAAAATGGTCACCATTTTTATGTTTTTACTATAACTTGAAAAGTAGTGAAGCGATTTGGTCATATTTGATATGTGAATACTCATGAGCCTTGCACACTGTCTCATGACACTTCAGATAGTAAGCAGCCATTTTATAAAAATGGCTGTCATTTTTACATTTTTTACTATAACTCGAAAAGTAGTGGAGCAATTTTGTTCATATTTGATATGTGAATACTTTAAGCATGGCACATTGTCTAATAAAACTTTTAGTCAGCCATTTTGAAAAATTGCCACCATTTTTATGTGTGTTATTTTACAAGTACATGTATGCGATTTTTCAAAGATTTTATAGGTGGCTACTTAAAAGCATATTATTTCTTCTGATGACAACTTGGCTAGTGAGCAACCATTTTGAAAATGGTGGCCTTTCTGGTGTGTTGTTTCATGATGTTTGCTATATATTTCGTTTGTAAAAATGCCAGCCATTTCTGTTCGATGGGATTCGCTACGCTTTGGCGTTGCCGTTGTTCTGGTTTTATAACATTTTGCAATATACTTTTTATTGTATAACATAAACACCTCAAAAACACATCAAGAAATTCAACAATACGTATGTTCATCCGGCCGGGTGTTCATCATAGGGCATTCGCTTATTGTTCAGATTTCTATGACCTTGACTGTCTGTGTCGGAGTATGATGATGAAATTAGTTTTAACATTTCGCCTATGTTTATAGGCTTTCATAGCTTCACACTTCTCACGTTTCAAAATCTCTATTTTACAACTTTTGTTTGGAAAATATTACTTATCACATAATAGGAAGAAATAGGAAGCTTTGTTTGGCAAAAATTCCAAGGAGGCTACCATTTTCGTGAGCGAGATTAGGAGGTGAATACGATTTTCATGAGCGAGATTAGGAGGTGAATACGATTTTCATGAGCGAGATTAGGTGGTGAATACGATTTTCATTCAGCGAGATTAGGAGGTGAATACGATTTTCATGAGCGAGATTAGGAGGTGAGTACGATTTTCATGAGCGAGATTAGGAGGTGAATACCATTTTCGTGAGCGGGATTGGGCAGGACAATACGATATTTTCAATATCGCCGCCTATATGTTGACTACTCGTCTACCCACAGGAGATAGCCACCAAGCTCCGCCCGACATGCAACTGATACCACAGCATAGTAGGACCATCATCATCATCGAGATCACAGTACAGGGAAGACCGACTGGAAATATCTCAATTCATTCCTGCGAAAATGATGAAGTTGTTCCTCCCCTTCATGTCCTGCAGTTCCCCCCGGGGAAATAGCCACCAAGCTCCGCCCGACATGCTACTGATATCACAGCATAGCAGGACCATTATCATCATTGAGATCACAGTACAGGGAAGACCGACTGGAAATATCTCACCAAAACAAATACCAAGATCTGAAAGACGAGGCTGAGACATTAATTATGTCTCTGCAAAGGCTAAGGGTAAAATGTGACGATCTATGACGCCTGCTGATGATGCAGTGAAGGACACTCACATAATTTCCTGCGAATCCTTCCACCTGTAGTAGTTTTCTCCATTTGTATCGACGCATCGCTGGTGTGTATTTGAAAAAAAGTTAAATTATTACAGTTCGGGTTACTCACTTGAGAGCATTTCAAAATCCACATAGCTTTCGCAGGGAGTAAAGTTCGGGTTATCTTTGATAGGTACAATGCAAAGTTCGACGCATAATATTAAGGTTTAAATAAATGTGACTGGGTTGGCTTTTCAGACTTCAATTTTCAATATGTAAAAGTTAAAATGCAATTTATTCATGCGAAAATGATGAGGTTGTTCCTCCATTTAATATCCTGCTGTTCTGTTGTTCCCCAAATTATCCGATCTGCAGAATCATCCTCTGCAAGCACTCTTTGATTGGTTTAAAATGATATAAACCGACAATACAACAGCAACAGGGGAACGAAAACGTATGTATATACACTGAAACCTGTATGTCCAAGTAAGCACATTTTGGTTAATTATCTCCAATCAACTTTCTCATTAAGAGAACCATTGAAATGTAAACACCTGCCAATGTGAACGCTTTTGGATGGTCAAAATGGCATTTGGATTAGACAGGTTTTACTGTACAACTCCTCACTGATACCACTTTACAGAAACATTTTGACACAAAATAAAGATTAAATTATTTTATTTTTATTTCTCTAGGTCTTAATGTGTTTCCAAGCCACTGTGGGGCACTTTCAGGCAGGCCATTTTTGTTGCAGAAACACAGTGGCTTTGTAACATTATAATACCAAGTGACTATAAAGCATATTTACAAGATATTTAGAGTACAAATGTACATTTCTACAGAGAAGCAAATATCTCAGAAAAAAGTAATTTCTAATCCTGTAAATGCCACTGAGCATGGCATACAACTGTCTGTCTATATGATATAATTATGGTAGGTATATAAGTCCCTTCACATTTGAAGATGCCACTGAGCATGGCATACAACTGTCCATGTGTCTATATGATATAATTATGGTAGGTTAATATAAGTCCCTTCACACTGGAACATTCAAATTCAGATGGACTTGTTTAGAAGTGCCCTTTAAAAAGTCATTTAGGACTAATGCTTTTAGACATAAAAATACACTAGAAATATTCCATTTGTGAATATACTGGTGGATTAGTACATTTTGTATATAATACAAGTGCCTGTGCGTATAATTCAGCTGAACATATGTTCAGTAAAATCTGCCCAAGTAGATAGCCCTCTATACGAACACTTTTCTTGGTCCAAATTTGTTATCCCCCATTTACTCACGTTATTAAAAAAAACTTTGAAATGTGAACTGCTAATCTGAACATTTTTTCTGTTCCCATTTCCCTCCAATTAGGCAGGTTTTACTGCATAAATAAATATTATGAATATTGCATTTCATATACAATTACCAAGTTCTCATATAGGGTATCTCCGTTGCACTGTCACGAGCCAATGGTTAAACTTACAAAATTCAAATTGACAATCATTGATTTCATTGGAATTTTCTGTTGACTACAACAGAACATATGTTTGCAAGACTTACAACATATTTTGCGAAAAAAATGCATATCGAAAACATGATTCATGTGCAAATTGTTCGATACATTTTCAAGTCAACTCATAGTAAATGCCCATTTTCATTTAGAGGATCATTGCTAGATAATCTAGAACATTAAATTAAACCGTCTGTCCAGCAGACATTAATACTTTGATCTCATTCTTGAGTTCAATCTATAAAACCTTCATCTAGGATAGTTCTTAATAAAACAAGGGCACAAATAACAAAATTGACTCTGATATTTCATATTCATGGTTGTGTATAAATTGAATTAGGCAGGCTGGTAGAATGATATTGATGAATTTTTCAGATATTCACAATTTTAAATTTAAATAAATAACTCATTTGATTGAATTCCCAATTGAATCATTTTAGTCTGTTAACCTTTTGGCCTTACAAACAACAAATTGAATGTTTACTTAATTAATATTGTAGTTACATAGTTGAGGTTCTTAATAATTGTCCATTTGAATTAAAAGCACTGTAATTATAAATAAAAGCACTGTTATTAAAGTGCATCGGATATTGAAAGTCAGAGTATGTAAAATATTTAGTGAAAATGATTAGAAAGGAATCATTATGTTTGGCATTGCACCAATCAGGAACTCAAGAGTTGTTGAATTTCTTTAAATTTCCTATTCTGAGATCTTTTTTCTGACTTAAATCTTATTTGGGGTGTTCTTCACTTTGGGTGAGTCAATATTTTAGTTCCATTCAGTGCAGGACTTCTTTCCTCATCCTAGACTTTTGTAATATCTGGGTGCGCTTTTTGCGTTCAGTGGCTTTGTTTCCAACTGTTGATTTCAGCGCAGGAAGGGAAACATTTTCCTTTGAGGCGTAAGCGACATCTGGCCTGAAAAAATATAATTATTCAATAAATACATGTGCATTGTAAAAAAGACCTTTTGCAGTAATGCCAATTTACATCCACCTCTGGTGAAGCAAGAAGGGCCTAAATTTTAAAAAAAATTTATGGATTTAAAATAAACAGTGTTTTCAAAGTCGGCCTCATTAAGGCCTCTTAATAAGTGGAAAATTGAACTTAAGTTTTCAAAAAGAAAACACAGAAAGTATAAAAAGTAGACTTCAATTTTTTCCTGCCCTTTGGTCAGATCGGATGCATATGCAAAGCTTAATCACTATTTGAATTATTTTGAATGATCAATCATAATTTTGAATGATTAATCATTATTTTGAATGATTAAACATTTTATAACTGTAGTAATAAGAGACATGTTTCAGAGATTTCTCTAATTTTAAGAATGAAACAAATAATTTATTTATTTGGATATACACTCATCAAAAATCTAAATCATTACAGAATTACAGGCATATATTCAACACTCAAAATCACCAATTTTAGACAAAATTTAGTTGAGTAAACAACAATACAAGGAAAATAATGAAAACATCTGTTGCAGCTATTTATACTTACAGTTTTCTAGTTGGATTTCTTAGGCTAATTTTTGGCAATTTTTCTAGATCGGTCTTTTCTTTCTCTTCAGCGACATAGGCCTTAGCCAATAAGAACGCATCAGGAGTCCACTTGTGCGAGTACAGCACATCACGGAGGTCAGACTTTAGATGCATCAGCTATAAAATATTTTAAGTGATTACGCGTCTTCTTAAGAAAACAAGATATGATTCAGGTTTATCTTTAAAATATTTCATCAACTTTTGATTTCTTTGAAAATTTGATCTCTAGGTTGGACAGATTCCCCATATTATATCCCCATGTTATAAAATCATGAAAGAGGAAATATCTTTTCTTGTTTTGACCATTGACCAGATAAAAGGTTTTATCTAATCACTTATCCTCAATACATTTTATGGTAGATATGGTGGAAGCCAAAAAGCTAAAAATTGAATAGTTAAATCTATTTATTTACACCTACCATTGAAGTTATCTGACCCAATTTAGCTACCTAGAAATGAAACTGTTAAGTGGTAAGTACCTACTGGGTCACTTATAACATACCTCATGATTTTGTTTGTCATTTGTGGCTTGTAGATGGCGTATAATGGCTTCATATTCTCCAACAGTAGGTGGCCTTGCTGTGCTGCCAGCTGGTATATTTGTTGTGGTATCTACTTCACCCCCACCCTGTGCTTCTGCACCCTGAATCTGAGGGTCGGCACCCTTAATCTGAGCCTGGGCAGCCTTAGCTTGAGCGGCTTGTGCCTCAGAAGCCTCTGCTTGTAGTTGGTTCACGAGATTTGAGAGATATTCGTTTCGATTCTGTAATTCTTGTACTTCAAGTCTCATGTTAAAAAGCTCTTCCTCCAAGTGAACTGTTTTGATTTCCAGTTGTTTATCTTCTGAAAATGAATTGGAATTTATGAGGATTGTGCAACTATTCAAAATAATAAGAACAAAGGGTTTAAGTCCAAGATTCTGTGAAATATGCCATAATATATGTGACTGCTGATAATTGATCATGGTAAAAAGACAGATTGTGGTATATTGCAATGGGCAAAATACAATCTCTGCTGATTTATTCCCCAATTCAAGATCACATGTTGTAACCTTTACACACATTTCAATACGAAGTTTAAACATTGCACTATCACTGCTACCCACCTAGTTACACAGACGTATCGTCAGTGTATCATGGCTGAACTACTTCCAGGATTTGAATTTGGTAAGATATTTTTATTTCTCGATTTACATCTACTTATAAGTCACGATGTGGATTATAATTTGGCTCGAAGTTATGGGAGATAGTCTAGTTTGAGAATGTGTCGATGGTTTTAGGTATGGTATGTTAACGAAGACGCATTTCACATATTTAGTCCCTCGCTTTTGTTACACTGACGATCGGCATTAATATTGCCAATATTACACTGATATTGGTCGTACGTCAGTGTAACAAAAGCGAGGGACTAAATACGTGAATTGTGTCTTCGTTAACATATAAAACCTAAAACCATCGACACATTCTCAAACTAGACTATCTTCCTTAACTTCGAGCCAAACCATTATCCACAACGTCACTTATAAGTAGGTGTAAATCGGGAAATAAAAAAATCTTACCGAAACCTAGTCCCGGAAGTAGTTCCGCCATGATACACTGAAGATACGTCTGTGTAACTAGGTGGGTAGCAGTGACTATACTGACTGTTTGCTTGTATAACACAATGGAATGTCCAAACATTGCATTAATAAGGTGTTTTTTTTTTTTTTTTTTTTTTTATATTTCCTTACTTTCATAATACATCATACAAACAGATACAAGGCCCACGCCGAAGCATTATTGGCCCTGTTAAAGTAGTTACAATATAGGTTAAAAAAGGTCACAATGTAAAAATGATAGATATAAAACATATTTATGAACATGAAAATAATCGTGAAAATGTGAAGACAGGTCAGAGATATATGTACATATTAATGAATATTGGACTATTTTAATTAGGTGTCATGTCCAAATATTGCATTTATTAGGGGTCATGTCCAAACATTGCATTTTAGGAGAAATGTCAAAACATTGCATTTATTAGGGGTCATTTCCAAACATGGCATTTATTAGGGGTCTTGTCCAAACATTGCATTTTAGGAGAAATGTCCAAACATTGCATTTATTAGGGGTCATGTCCAAACATTGCATTTATTAGGGGTCATGTCCAAACATTCCTTTGCATTGCATTGCATAAAGAGTCGTGTCTCAATATTACATTCATGAGGGGTCATGTCAAAACAGTGCTTTTATGCAGGCTCAGCATTTATGAGGGGTCATGTCCAAACATTGCATTTTAGGAGAAATGTCAAAGCATTACATTTATTAGGGGTCATGTCCAAACATTGCATTTATGAGGGGTCATGTCCAAACATTGCATTTTAGGAGAAATGCCAAAGCCTTACATTTATTAGGGGTCATGTCCAAACATTGCATTTGCAATTACATTACAAAAAGGGTCATGTCTCACATTCATGAGGGGTCATGTCAAAACAGTGCATTTATGCAAGCTCGTGTCCAAACATTGCATTTATGAGGGGTCATGTCCAAACATTGCATTCATGAAGACTCATGTCCAAACATTGCATTTATGAGGGGCCATGTCCAAACATTGCATTTATGAGGGGCCATGTCCAAACAATGCATTTATGAGGGGCCGTGTCCAAACATTGCATTTATGAGAGGCCATGTCCAAACATTGCATTTATGAGGGGCCATATCCAAACAATGCATTTATGAGGGGCCGTGTCCAAACATTGCATTTATGAAGACTCATGTCCAAACATTGCATTTATGAGGGGCCATGTCCAAACATTGCATTTATGAGGGGTCATGTCCAAACATTGCATTTATGAGGGGTCATGTCCAAACATTGCATTTATGAGGGGCCATGTCCAAACATTGCATTTATGAGGGACCATGTCATAAATCACTACCTACCTTTAGATGGCTGTTCACTTGCTGTCACTTCTGAATTCTTTAACTGCACACTGTCATCTTTGGCACTTGACAACACCCCTAAAGTAAATATGTGACATGAACCTTGGCCATTATGTGACATGATATATAACCTTGGCCAATATGTGACACGATATATAACCTTGGCCAATAGGTGACATGATATTACCTTGGCCAATATGTGACATGATATATAACCTTGGCCCTTTTAAACATAAACAGATACAATTAGACATCATTATTAAATCAGACTGAACTCATTTTCTAAATTAGCTTCTTCATGATTTCAGACAGATAACTTTTAAAACATTCTTAAAAAATAAAAGTTAGAATTTCAAGTGCTATGTCTTATAATTCATGCTTATTTAAACAATTTATTGCAACATGCAATTGCAGTTCACATACCTTCTGTTGGGATTTGATTTGGCTCTGGCTTACTGGATCTTCTCTTAGTTGTTGGACTAGGTGATTTAGAATTTAAGGCTTTTTGACTTATCATAAACTTAAAGTGGAGATCTTTATTTTCCTTTTTTAAAATCTCAATTTCATCATGAAGACTAGTGAGAACGTCTCTATGTTGAGCGCGAAGGAATATAATGCTTCTTTCAAGATGATGTATACGTGAAGATGGGTCCATTTCTCCCATATCTAAATTTTGATCATCTGATTCCATTGAGTCTGTTCTATTCATTTCTGTGTTTGGCAAAGGTTGCAATCTGTCCTTGAGGAATGGCTTGGGGTATCTGGCCCTGTCGAGTGTGTTAATCCTCGACCACTGGGGGAGATTATTTAAAGGTGGTAATTGTGTATTTGTAGAGTTAATATCAGCAACACGTTCTTGCACAAGGCTATGTTCCATCATATTGGAAACAATTTTATTACTTCTTCCACTATTAGAACTAGTTATTTAGTGCTCAATATCAGGGCTGGTTGTTGTAGACTGTAGAACAATTGTTGTCAGGTAGTTTTGTATAATTCTCTCTTTGTATACATTGCCTGAAAATATTCAAAAGGTTGACAAAATTATTTAAATTTTCAAATTGCTCACATAATCTACATTCAAACACTCAGACACCCTTTCATCAAGGCCAAAATATTATTTTAAAAAAGTGTTAATTGTGAGTGTTTAAATATGTAAAGCGAAACCAATGTTGCAGGAGACCCTATCTGTTGCAAGACTAACGCCTGGCGTAACCGTCACCATGTTATTCGGTGTTTTTTAATTAGCGCAAGGATCCTGCCATGACCGTGGTAACGTTATTGTGAAAGCCTGGTATAACCGCGACAATGCTGTATTATATTAAAATGCCTGCCATGACCGTGGTAGTGTAATCGTGTAAGCCTGGCGCGACCGCAACCTTTATATGACATTAATGACCTTCATGTTTCGCCCATTGCTGTTGGTATTTTTTATGGATAAATCTTATTAATTGATCATTATAGAAAGTATATGCTTTCGAATCGAAGCTCCTTGAATGAGAGTAGAGATATAGTTTGTTCGCAAATTATTTATGAGTAAAAATTAGGTTTTCGTTGTGAAATTAATACACATTTTTAGTAGTCTTTATTTACATATTTAAGGTAGTTAAACACAAAGAAAAATTGTCATTACAGTGTTCTCATGCTACTTTAAATACAACCACGGTCATGAGAGGCCTTGGAACTATTGTCACGGTCATACGAGGCTTTAACATTACCACGGTCATGACAGGCCTTGCAATATAATATAGCATTGTCACGGTTATGACAGGCCTTGCAAGCATTGTAACGGTCATATCAGGCTTTAACATTACCACGGTCATGACAGGCCTTATAAGCATTATCACGGTCATATTAGGCTTTAACATTACCACGGACATGACAGGCCTTGCAACCATTGTCACGGTCATACGGGGCTTTAACATTATCACGGTCATGCGCAGCTTGGGTCAACATTCATAAAGACAGAGACATATAATGTCTCTGGTAAAATATACAAATATACGAATATTTAAAAGTGGATAGTAAACAAATCGCTTAACAAACAACAATAAAAAATTCTTAAATTAAACGTAAAGGCTACGGCTGCACCAGGCTTCCACGATAACACTCATGGTCATGACAGGCCTTGCAATATAATACAGCGTTGTCACGGTTATACCAGGCTTACAAAATAACACTGCCACGGTCATGGCAGGATCCTTGCGCTACTTAAAAAACACCGAATAATATGGTGACGGTTACACCAGGCGTTAGTCTTGCAATAGATAGCATGTGTGTTGCAGTCTCAGAATCTCAACGATGAATATGTCTTTTTTAAATGGTCTCTGTAAGGTATTATGATGTAATAGTGTGAGATGTTTAGATTTACTTTCATAATTAGATTGTTTTTGGAGTGAGTGAGTGAATGGATTATTCAGTTGTGCATCAATAGGTTGAGTTGAGTTTAGTTTGAAAGTATTAGTGGAGTGAAAGACATGTATGCATGTAGTAGAGCAGAGTGTTGTATTTTAGAGAACATTTTATCAACTGAGTTTTAGACTTTTAAGATGAGATGAGATGTGAATATTGAAGTGCAATAAAGATGAGAACATTGACTGTCAACTACAAACTATTTAATTTATTATTATATTATTATTTCACATGGTGGCAGCGAAACTACGAAGTTCACGTCGTCGATTGAGACATGTATAAAATTCTGAGATAAAAGACAGATATTGAGTTGAGATGTGAATATTGAAGTGAGTTGGTATCAGAAAGAACCAGTCATAGCAGACTAGATCCAAGACTATTGAATCCATCATACAGCCAAAGAGACGAGTCGCCTAAAATGATCTCGAACATTTATTATATGATGGAAGAGGAGCGCATCAAAATGAGAACCGTCCATTATAGGAATGAGATTCCAAATGTGAACATTGAGTTGAGCTGAGATTATCCATGCATGACCATAATGAGTTGGCTCGTGTTTTGGATATTTAAGGACCAGTCCAGGGGGACACATGGTTCTATTGAGCATCCTACGATGACCTAAGAGAGATCATCCGACGGATATATTTTGAGTCGAGCTGAGAATTTGCATTATACGGATGTTTTGGAGGACATCAATTAATTGAGTTGAGCTGAGAATTTGCAATACCGATGTTTTGGAGTACATCAATAGAGACATTTTGCGGGACTTGAATTCAAACCTGTATTGAGAAACAACTTCAACCGTCAAGGAACAGTCGCTGTAACTACCTACCAAACAAGACTTGAGACATTGTTTTGAGCAGTTATTTGAGATATTTTGAGAGACATTGAGATTTTGACTTTCAGAGACATTTTGATTTTTTAAGAGTTTATTATTTTTGATTCAATTTTTCAAGAGATGGTTCAATATTTATTGAACAAAAATAATCTCCTGAAGGGGGAGGATGTAAGGTATTATGATGTAATAGTGTGAGATGTTTAGATTTACTTTCATAATTAGATTGTTTTTGGAGTGAGTGAGTGAATGGATTATTCAGTTGTGCATCAATAGGTTGAGTTGAGTTTAGTTTGAAAGTATTAGTGGAGTGAAAGACATGTATGCATGTAGTAGAGCAGAGTGTTGTATTTTAGAGAACATTTTATCAACTGAGTTTTAGACTTTTAAGATGAGATGAGATGTGAATATTGAAGTGCAATAAAGATGAGAACATTGACTGTCAACTACAAACTATTTAATTTATTATTATATTATTATTTCACAGTCTCATTAAGATTCGGGTTCTAACCTTTAGAAGGTAAGTCAGACTCCCAAACGTCAGCTAACTCTTATATTAAGCATGTTAGCGACGAACTCAGGCCATGAAAACAATTCTAGCTAGATGGAATAGAATCTAGGGGATGTGAAACGGCTCAACAAGTCCAAGGGAGTCTAAATTGTGCTTTCCAATTTGCAACATCACTCTTTAAGTTCTCTTATTCCGAGCAGGTTGACGATTTTACAAGACTTACTAAAAATCGTCTTGCTTAATTCCCTGAGAAAATCTACTGAGTTGGTCGTGATTGGAAACGAAAAATTCTTGAAAATTTGGTCAAATTTCAATAACTGATATGATTGTCAAATATCTCCGAAATCCTGATGACTATTCTCATGAAACTTGTCAAATACATGCATGACTAACTATTGAATTAATGACCTCAAGGATATATAAATACGTTAGTTATAAATACCTAATTTTTCTGTTTATTTCACCTGTTTTTCGATATCAACTTTTCTCCACAATCACCATTTTTATGCTAATGAGGCGTTGCTATGACTGCAGTATAATTTGGGAGAATTTATTCTTATATTCACAATTATATATCTTTTAATTCATTCAATATATAATTTATTAGCATTAACATATTTTTATATGATGTTAGAATATATAATTAATAGTTTCTGCATTCAATAACTCAATTAAGGTCAAGCTAATATAGAAATCGAACAGTTTCTGAGTAAATCTAAATGTCAACTAAGTGTTGATCTGACAAGTAAATGTTCATTGTTGTTTGACTCAGGCTTTATGAAAGCCCATTGACACTTTATATGTGAGCAAATAGGATTTTGTTTTGACTTGCATTCGTCGTATACACCTATTTTGGTTTCATTGTAATGTAAAACAGAAACATAATAGTGTTCAAATACATGTACAGGTATTTGGCATTGTGAGCTTACTTAGAAGGGGAGGAACTTAGGAAGGGGTGGGGGGGGGGGGGGTTAGGACACACATCAGTCATGTCAGTGGCGGATCCCAAAATTAACAGCAAACTTGGTAGTCAATAAAAATCGGATCTTTAATCCCCAGATTCAAATAAAAAACGGATTATAATGCAGAAATGCCGGATCACAGATTCTTCCAGTCATTCTTTCACTAATTTTTATTTTGTGTTTTTTCAATAAATGAATACTTTTAAGGGAAAATAACCGAAGGAAAATAACCATTTCTAATGCGTAGCAATTTTTAAAATCATTTTATCATGTACACAGGTGCTCCCTGGGTAATAAGAGTGTCAGATCATGTAAAAATAGCCAACAACAATATTTTCACTCTACATAATAGAAATAGAAAAGAGGATTGTTATTCAGAAAATAATTCAATTGGGGATATCTCACTTTGAAACTCATGTCATTCTAGGCTACTAATAGACATCAGAATGAGCCATATTCTCATACGCAGTCATATATTTTGTCATTGAAAAAGCAAATTTTCTATTAGTTAACGCAAATCGTATTACAATTTAACTTATTTAACCACACTGGAAAAATCTTTGATCCGGCATTTCTGCATTTAACCGGTTTTTATTGACTATCGGCAAACGTTGAGTCTGGAAAATAATTCCCCCGTTTGCGCGGAAAAAATGTTGGGAGCCTTGAACCAAAAATTGGGCCCAAATTTGGTATTAAGGCCACATCATTATTTGGGGCCGGCAAAGACTAAAAAAATGTCAGCAGTGGCGTAGGAACAATATACGCCAAAACGCCAATGCGTAGTGTTGAAAAGCTAGAATGAAATAGCTTAATAATTTCCTTATGTTCTTTAGTCATATTTCCTCATTGTTAATAAATTGTTTGTGATCTCGAGCACACTAAAGAAATGTTTTTGGAAACCATGTAATATGTTCGATTTTTTCAGTACTCTTTGCAAGGTTTTTGTTCCTCTGTTACTTTTGTTCTAGCTTCGGCCACGATAAATGGCACTTTTTGGCGTAAAAATCAAGGTGATTTGGGGTAGAGGGTTATGATAGTTGGAAGTTTAAGCCAGTAAAAATGAAAGTACATTTCAACTTCAGTTCTAGGAAAGCAATTACCCTAATTTCTATTTTATTTGAAATATAATAGATTATTATTTTAGGAAATAAAGCATTTAGGCACCAAATAATTATTTTGAAAGGAAAAAACAATTTACCACAAAATGTCACGTTGACTTTTGCATGGGCTTTATTTATCTTATAAAAAAAGTTGAAGACATTAGAGTTATGTTGTATCATTGATCACGGACATGTTTCTATTGATCATACTAGTTTCTTTAATCTGTATTGTTGAGATTTAAAAGATCGGCTTTCCATGGTGATTTTATATCATGAAAAACATTCGAACATTTTAAGCACAATTAGAAAGGTATTACCATAAAAATTACGTTTTACGAGCATAAAAGAGGCGTTTTGATTCGTTAAGATTTGACACAATTTTTTCATATTTTTGGCGTAGTGTTGAATTTACACCTTCCTACGCCCCTGGTCAGGGCCCACTAAAGGGGAAGGGTCCGGGCCCCATGCCCCCCCCCCGGATCCGCCACTGCACATCTTGTTTTTTTGTCCACAGTGCCCACATCTAGTGTTTTTTTCATTCACACATACTGACCACTTCTAGGACATTTCCCGGCAAAAGTCATCGTCAACCTTGGCTGTCAAACGCGTCCAGTGAGATCATAAATAACACCCACACTAGGATGTTTTATTTTTCAATTTTACCAGAACACAACGGCCATTCTTTCCGTCCCATTGGATAACACCCTATGTAGACAGAGCCTGTGGGAAATATTGGGTGCGGCGCAAATGAGCGGAGGGTGCGGAGCTAACGGTCATTTTTGAATTTAAAATTGGGATATTTCTGAAACTAAGCCGTTTTGGGACTTCAAATATACCAAGATATGTGTATTTGACACCAAATATCAATAAAATTGTGAAAATAGTAGCGCAATTCATTCTATAGCGACGCAGTGTGCCTTAAACCTTTCCCAGACCTATATATTTTGAAATTATCCTTTTAATACTGAGTCCCCAGCATTCATAAAAAATGGTGTTCAAGGTACACTTTCTATACAAATTATTTTTGCATCTTGGAAGCCAGGCAGTATCTGTGTGATTTTATTTGGTATATTTGAAGTCCCAAAACGGCTTAGTTTCAGAAATATCCGAATTTTAAATTCAAAAATGACCGTTAGCTCCGCACCCTCCGCTCATTCGCGCCGCACCCAATATTTCCCACAGGCTCTGTCTGCATAGGGTGGATAACATCAATGGAAAATTTGCTAGGAATGGTTCGAACCAATTTTCCTGTTTTTAGCATTTGGAATACATCAAAACTACTAGACTGTTCCGGATTAGAGACACTCCCGGTGATCGGACAAAATCAACAGGGGGGGAGGGCCCGGGGGAAGGGGCGAGGGACATTAAAAAAACTCGCCAATCAGGCAACACTGGTCTCCACGACCTGCCTTTGCTGTCTTTTTTTATTTATTTTAATTAGTTACCGTACGTTGTATCTGAGACTAACATTTCTATGTTATAGTCTCATAGGTTAAATAAAAAACAATCGGAAAAGATTTAATCGAACGAAGGGGGGGGGGGGAGTAACATGTCTATAAGACAGAAAAGGAGATTTTACTTAACTTTATTTCGTATAACTACCCCATTTTTCACTTTTCGGAGATGTAACATCCAGTTTAGTTTACCGAGTTCATATTTTTAAATACACGCGAGTTCATATTTTGTTCCATCTTATATAACGTAAGCTTACTATCATGGACTATGGAAACTTTAAAAAGCCAGCTATGGTATTGTGATGAACGTACTTTTATAAGCTATATACGTATCAGTGGCGTAGCCAGGGGCCTAGCAAGGAAAGAAATAAAAAGCGACGAGGCCAAATTATTTTCAATTAAAAGCAACGAGGCCTCCGACGTGTGCCCCGCGTGTGCCTCATCCTGGCTTCACTACAACACTTCCATTCAGGGGAGGGGCAGGGGGTGAACTGACTTCCATTATTTAGATTAAAAAATAGCTATGTCATGTAACTCAGACAGAAATACGAAAATTGGTGACTTGAGACTAAACATAAAAATATCTACCAATATGTAGGGATTTTTTCTCTGAATATGGACCAACATCTAGGGGTCTGTTTCTTTCAAAAATAGACCCAATATACCCGAGGCCTTGGCATACGTTATAATGTTTAATAATCCCCCAGTGTACTAATGTTGGAACATGTCTACTATAGACTATGATGTATATGTAAATATACTTTTACTATCTTAACTACTTACTCATGCAAATGAGTGAACTGATAATTGTTGTAAGTTGTAACAAAACAAGATAGATGTAAAACCACGGACTTTTCATCGGGTCCGTGGTAAAACCGACACAAGAAACTTTATTTTACTGTATACTCGAGCCTCAGCACTATACTGAGGATTTTTTTAAAAAATTAATTAAGGAGTACACCCTGGGTATTTGACCAGAACGAGCCACCTCGTGGTGAAACTGGTAACTACCTACTCGCACCTGCCTTGATTGACGTCAGATGGAAAATATCCCGGGATGGTCTATGACACTAAACGAAAAGGGAATATTAATTTCGTTTGTCTATAATGTTTGACTTTTAGTGATGATCGAGAGGAAATTTTGAAAAATTGAGACGATTTTGTTATTTTTGTAACTTTAAGTGAACTCTGATATGGTATGAAGATTTTGCAGACACTGCAATAACTGTATGATATGTGAAGAGATACCTGCGACACAAGAATCGAAATATTAGGTGGAAAAGTACGGTAAGACTCGATTTTTTGGAATCCACCAAATTTTTTTCTTTCTTTTTTTCGTTCGAGCCAGATCCATCCCCTATTGGCAGTAGGCTCAACGGATAAATGGGAAGATAAGACACGAGCAAAAAATGCTACATCAAAAAATGACCACCCAAAAATATGACCCTCGTACTGACCTTTATTTTTTCCATCTGTCAGACATTGGTTGATCATTACTCCCGTCGAGAGCTACTTAGATTTTGAAAGTATAGCTCTCTATCGCTAGAATCAACAGCTTAAGAATCCTGACTTCAAAGAAAATTCCAGGGAATTCAGCTGACTCATGTTGCACATTATATACCTGAAAATGTATCCTACATCGCCATCTTTCATTCAGCTCAACTATAGAACGTCTCACTGCCCGATGTATCGATCAGGACTTCATTTTATTGGTTGTGTCAAAAGTTTTGGCCAGGTATATTCAATATGGCGGCTTGACGTTTCCCAAGTTGCGCATGCGTCGATAATATTTCCGTTTAACCGCCATATTGGAAATGGGTATCGGACAAAAAACGATTAGAACTCCTGATCGCCATAGAAGCACATCCGCGATCCTACATGCACAGGGAAAGTAGACACATATGAGCCCATATGTAGGCTACAGTTTGAGACAAACAGTAAGCCGCTGACTGGCGCTGATCAAATTTAGATGTCACAATTCTTCAGCTGGAGATCCTCACGATGGAGAGCTATACTTTCAAAATCTAACATGGTAGCTCTCGACGTGAGTAAGGTTGATCAATATTTAACCTGTAATCTTTTCTTTATGTATTAGTATGAATGGTTGCATGAAATCCATTATTGACGCTGTAATTCAAATTTTCCCGGGACATTTATTTCAAATTTTCAGAGCGTAAAGATAATAAAGGTAATTTCTGGCAATGTCTGATGTTGTTCGTCTCTCAAATTATGTCACATCGCAACAAACAACCAATGAAAGTAAAGATTGTGTAGCCTAACAAACTGTTGTTATTGTTTCTACAGGATTTTAAAGATACGTCATTGGGTTTCCCGGTAATCTCTGATGTGACGTCATCCAGAGTGTCGTCATATTTTCAGAAAAGACATTTGACTTCAGGAATAAACATTTGAACAACGGAATAGCCGAAGCACTCCATTAAATATACGCTCGCCTATTTTATGCTTTTATCAACAGACGCTTTCTTGAATGTGTGACTTTAGTGATTGGAGATGAAGCTTACAACACTATGCATTGTTTGAGGTATGACATGTGATACTTATTGATAAACTGACTCCAAAATCAAGGAAAAATATATTTTTTGAAAATCTCGTGTCTTGTCTTTGAGTATATTACTTGAGCCTAGACACAGATGAGGTAATCTGGCAGAGGTCCGTGGTTCATTTTTATCAACATTTGATTTCACATTCTCAGGGTTTTTGCATTATATGCATCTTTGTTCTCTCGGCTCCCGTCGGTCGCCTTCGTATATTTAGCGTAAAAATCCTGACAATGTATATGTGGCGCGCCATGGCGCATCCTAGAATGCGCCCAATCAGCGTTCAGCATTTTAAACACACCTGCACTTTTCAAAACTTTTATTACTTTAAACATTGATTAACTCATGGACAATCGTTCTAAATGAATTATAACAGACGTACCTTCATCAAAGATGAGTAAAACGACGTCAAATGACTCTTCATCGAAAAGTGAACCACTAATATTCTAATCACTGATTATTGAAGTTGAAGGGAATTTTCTAATACCCTGTCATGTTATTTCCCCCGAATCAGCAACCTGGTGGCGAAAGTGCTTACTACCTACTTGCATCTGAGTAATTGTATTACCTACTTTTAACTGATTAAAACTTTGGACACACTGTACATTTATTTGTCTCATTTCATTGCAATTCATTTGTCAAAATTTTCCTCATTAATATCATCATAATTGTAACAATTATTTTCAAATGAATAAAAATCGCCCCAAATATTTTTATATGTTTTAACATCCCCTCTTGTTTCGTGTAATGTTCTGCAAAGATCACACAATTTACTTTGTGTACTGTCATGCATGTATGTTTTCTTCCATGAGAAATATTCATTATATGCAGTATCGTTTTTGTCCAAGTATTTTAGATATTTGGCTAGTGCTTCTGGATTTGGGAAATCGTTAGTGTGAATGTAGGAACCTGGTGGAAGGATTGCTTTAAAGTTGTTATAGAATCCACGCACTATTGGTATTATATTCATCCTGAACGAGTTCCTCCAAACCTTCTCAGTGACGTAATCTCTGCAGTCAGAATTCTCGAACGCCAAGTAGAACTTGTAGGTTGCACCTGGAAATAGTTATTTGGTTAAAGTGAGAGGATTTTGTAAAAAGAAGTATGTTTTATGTTATCACTTCCATTACATTCATTTCAATATGTGTTTCCATTCAAAATCAAAACCTATTTAAATTGTAAAAGCAAATTGTCCTTTATGTCTCTGCCAAGTATGCATCGTAAATATTGTATAGTTTTACAGGATTAGAAAATATATTCTTGAGGTAGGAACACTCAAGATCGCCAAGATATTTTAAGCACCAATGAGCAGTGATATATTGTGACATCATTTTTTGGTCTTGCTGCCCAGCTATTAATTTTAATTAGTAATTAATTAGTTTATTAGGTAACTCATTTGTTACAATTTACCCGATTGTCCAAAACATGTGAAGGAATATATTTAAAACAAACAAACAAGCATTGAAACAAGTAAACACATGTACATACCTACATAATTGTAACATGCAAGTTTTTCCTTAAGGCTCCCAGCAGGACACTCAAGCCACCCACATCTACCATATACATCCACAGGAATATGCTCCTGTAGTCTCTTTATGTAGACTTCCCGTCTGCTTTTTGTGACACAATGGGATGCAATCCATGCTACCAGCTTAGTTTTACCAATTGTATGGTCAGGAAGAACTTTGGGTGGACGCGGATTTACCTTAATAAAAACCATTTTTTTATATAATGGTCACCCAATTGTATTGAACATTTTTGACCATGTTTGGATTCAGATAGTCTAGTTACAATGGTCGTAGAGAACTTGGGAGGACATGGATTTACCTAAATAAAATCCTTTTTATCGTACCTAACAAAAGGTACGATATTGTAGTCAGCTTGACGGGCGGGCGGGCGGCGGCTCACTTTTCAGCTTGGCTACAGGTTTCCAGCCAAACCATTTGAGGGATTCATCTGAAATTTTCAGGGATGTTTCTACATATCAACGTCAAGAACTGATTGGTTTTTGGGCATTTTGGGTAAATCTTAAGGTGGCCATTTTGGATTTTCCGTCCTAAAATCTTCACTTTCAAGACTTGTCTACAGGTTTCCAGCCAAACCATTTGAGGGATTCATCTGAAATTTTCAGGGATGTTTCTACATATCAACGTCAAGAACTGATTAGTTTTTGGGCATTCTGGGTAAATCTTAAGGTGGCCATTTTGGATTTTCCTTCCTAAAATCTTCACTTTCAAGACTTGTCTACAGGTTTCCAGCCAAACCATTTGAGGGATTCATCTGAATTTTTCAGGGATGTTTCTACATATCAATGTCAAGAACTGATTAGTTTTTGGGCATTCTGGGTAAATCTAAAGGTGGCCATTTTGGATTTTCCGTCCTAAAATCTTCACTTTCAAGACTTGTCTACAGGTTTCCAGCCAAACCATTTGAGGGATTCATCTGAAATTTTCAGGGATGTTTCTACATATCAACGTCAAGAACTGATTAGTTTTTGGGCATTCTGGGTAAATTTTAAGGTGGCCATTTTGGATTTTCCGTCCTAAAATCTTTACTTTCAAGACTTGTCTACAGGTTTCCAGCCAAACCTTTTGAGGGATCCATCTGAAATTTTCAGGGATGTTTCTACATATCAACGTCAAGAACTGATTAGTTTTTGGGCATTCTGGTTAAATTTTAAGGTGGCCATTTTGGATTTTCTGTCCTAAAATCTTCACTTTCAAGACTTGTCTACAGATTTTCAGCCAAACCATTTGAGGGATTCATCTGAAATTTTCAGGGATGTTTCTACATATCAACGTCAAAAACTGATTGTTTTTTTGCATTCTGGGTAAATTTTAAGGTGGCCATTTTGGATTTTCCATCCTGAAATCTTCACTTTCAAGACTTGTCTACAGGTTTCCAGCCAAACCGTTCAAATTTTTACATATGTTACACAGTGATAAGTTCTAGAGCTGATTAACTTTTCTGCGGCCATCTTGCTTTCTTGGTCAACAAGACCACAATGCTGTGTTTTAGGTACGATATTGTTCACGTCTGTGCCTTGTTTTTTATTTATATAATGGTCACCCAATTGCATGCATTGTATAGGAGAACCATTCTAGATTCAGATAGCCCCTCACACTACCCACCTCCTCTTGTAATGTGTTACTGAAGAAGATAAGGGGGGGGGGGGGGTTATTAGTCTTGAAAAATGTGCTATTAGACATTCATAGTTGTATTTTTCTTGAAATCATCCTTAATTTGTCAAATACGTTTTATGTTTAACCCAAGTTAAACTTTGTTTTGGATTTGAATTGCAACACATATCAGATCTAGGTATATAATCATGATAACCTTACATTAATCAAATTATATCATAGTGATCATGGACATTTATCGTTGTCGATGATTTTGATAAGATAATGGAAAAATTGTGTTCGAGAATGTACAAAGAGTCTTTTATCATGATTATAGTTGAATTTTGCTGTAAATTATGTTTACATTTTTTATGATTATTGCAAAGTTTGTTTTCGAAACGTTTCAATGTCAAGTAAAGTTTGGCATCATTTGTTTCAATTTCTGCTAACTTAGTTTTCATATGAAATGATGGTAACATCTATATATCTTACAGAAATTTCATACTAAATAGCACATGACATGTTCTCTACTTACTTTGTAAACACCATGATAGGCGTGAAAGTCAGAGTCCAACTTTTTTGTCATGGTGAAATTGAATGCATCGTTTAGTTCAGGGTAAACAAATAACTGTCTGTTAGGTGCCTCGTAGCATCTGAAAATCCATTTTTGTTTGGGTGACCTGTATTGAGGTAGTCCCCCTGCTTCAATGAGATTTTCCATCCGGCATGTGTGGAACAATACGTACTGAACTTGTTTTAATTGGGAGCGATCCATAGTTGTCTCACAGTGAGGGACGTCACAGTCCTTGAACTCAGATGCCCCGAGGGGAAGACAAGGATTGTTAAAACATTTAGTCCAAAGTAATATCTTGATAATCTCTGTCCTGTTTGATTTTACGTTCAGTTTCACATCTGTTTCATCAAGCACACCTGCTTTGGCAATCACAGCTGCAGTATAAAGATTCACAGCTGTCATACTAAGATTAACAGCAGCAGTTTTAAAGTTCACAGCTACAGCACTAAGATTCACAGCTGTAGTACCAAGATTCATTTTGTTGATAGAGTTTCTGTTCACAGATTGTATCCATTGATCTTTGATTACATCATTATGTTTGGCTGAGTATGTTCCTTTCACAAACGAGCACTCCAGAAAATCAGGAGAATCACACCTTGGAATTAACTGAATTTTTTTTCGGCTTTGACCAAATAAGGTCATATTATAAAATATAATGTAGTAAACAAATCCTATGATGACAACTAGCATATAAAACACATGTGGCGTTAGCATTTTCAACTTAATATCTGATTTGAATGTAGTAAATGACCAAATGTATTTGTAAATGTTACTAATCACTACAAGCAGGCAAGAATATTGATTGAGAGTGCATTGGCTTTAGAAGTAATCACTGTTATTGTTATTAATCAGTCAAACTTTGAATTTATCATTCTAGTTTATCAAAAATTCTCTTTATCTAATACTTGAGAGGGATTCTAGTTTATCATAAGACAAGTTCATGCTTCAAGAAAATCACTGTTTATGGGAATAACTTATTGTCTTAGTATGTACCCCTTTGTAAACTTTACTTAAGTGTCTTATTGAATTCATCTCATAGTTTTATATTGAAAAGTAATGACTAATTACTGTTTACAATATATATTTTTCTTATTGTTTTCCAAATTAAAAATTTAAACCATTAAAATTCCTTTATCGACTGCAACTTGAGAGAATGTTTTTCCTTTTCATGTCACTGAAGTTGTAACGCTACATTTGTTCCAGGTTTTGGCAACAAAAAGTCACGATGTTTCCTCATCACAACCAAGCACAATATCAGCACAACCAAGCACAATATCAGCACAACCAAGCACAATATCATCACAATCAGCTCCAATTCAACCTGAAGATTCCAACAAATGCAACTAATCTAGAATTCCAAAACCGAAAGCCTGGAGCTATCATCATTCAACAATTACACGGAAATGGACAACAGGCCACGCCCTTAAGATCAACCAATCAGCCGCAAGCTTTCCAGTTCTCTGCAGTTTCACATGATAAGCTAAGCTATGCGATAACATTGGCTCAGCGAGATTTGAAAAAACGACAATTTGAAAGGGAGCTGCGGGAGGAAGGTTTGTTAGAAGAAATCCAAATGGCATCACCGAGATCAAAAACGACTAAACAACGAGTTTTAAAAAGTAAAGAGGAACTGTCCAAAAGTAAAAGAGTAATTGAAATTTCTAAACATGTAGGAAAGAGTCAAAAGATGACCCAGACTCCTCCAAAAAGTCGAAATAAAAAACGGGACATGAAACATGCAGTGCCATCTAGTGGCGTTCTACTACATGTAAAACACACAGATGCACCAGGTAGGAATATTAATGAAACTCTCATATGAAATTATAAAAAAATACATTAAAGACCCGTTGGTGTTCCACTGTAACATATTTTTTGTGCTACTTCAGCATTTGGTGATTCTCCACCTGTCAGAGATGTGGGACTGGGAAGCCGAGATGAGGAAACCGCAACAGAAATAAGACGTTTGAGAAAGGAGTTGAAGAAATATGTCCAGGATATAAACAGAATAGAGGAGCATTCAAAACAAGGTAATAAGGTTTATCTTTATGAAGAAGATATTTCCAATATGGCTGCCATTTCAAAATTATCACCACTATGAGTAACGATTGTAATTTTTGATAACTCAACAAATCAGTTATCAGATTTGAAGAGAAATTTGATAAAATGTCTTAAAGGGACTCTGGGAATACAAGTGACAAAATATTGCTTCTAGGAGGAAAATTCACTTTTGGTCTGTCGTAATAAAGATGAGATGAAAGTTGTTGTGAACACCTTTCAATCCTCAGTCTAAATATCGCTTTTCAAGGTTCAATAGGCAACTTTGAATGGACCTTCATGCATAGTCGGAAAATAGAATTACCAGAGAAGATTTTTAATTATGAAATTGACTCTAAAGCCTGAAAATAAATTTTTTAACCATTTTGTCAGCTGTTACGTTACAATGTGCCTTTAAGTTCATCGAATTTGCTATTCTCACCAGGTCATTTAAAATCATGAACTCTCATGCAGTGTGGCGTGCAGATGAAAAAATAACCCAAATTTGGTGAAAGTAGTTCCCTTTTTCATCATAGATTTATTCAATTTTGTATAAAGTATGTATTGTTTTAAGTTCCCCAATCATTATTTTATCAATGAATATTTAAAAGATCATGAAATATAAGAAGAAATATCCCCGTAAGGATTTTGAGTTAAAATTTTGTTGATAATTGTTCACCGCACGTGTGTTTATCAGTTAAAATGCGCAAATCCAACCAATCAAATTGTCTAAAACTCAACATCACGCGGCATGAAACAAGAACAAATTACAACTGTTCATGTGAAGTTGCCATGCTTAAGGTAAAATATTTGCCTGCCCCAGTGGTTGTTAAAGACTCTAAGCTCTGCCAGGGAGTATGTGGAAATCCATTTATCTGATTGGTCAGTTTCAGTCATGTGACTGTCCAGAATGAGTCTTTCTGTCCAATATTCTTCATCTTCCCATATTGTCAATTTTAAGAAGGAATATTAGAGCAAGTGACATTACAAAATGTGTCATGTTTGAATCCCTGTTTTACCCAACTCATTTGCTTAACTTTGAACTACAGTTAATCTCAACAATTTATCTCAACAATGTAAAGTCTGTAGACTTCCATGCTAAGATTAGCATCCCTGAAATTTTGATGTTTATGCAAAATAAATGTTTTCATTCACCCAAAAGAGTAATTCTTGAACAACAAGGAATTCTGTTTTGTGTTCTCAATTATATACATTGTATTCATAGCTGGTGCGACTGTAAGACGTGACACGTCAAAGGATGATGCAGAGTCAAGACGTCGTCAGGAAGTAAAACGTGAAGAGCAAGCATCAAGATCTGCACGCACACTTTACATGCTGCAGCAACAGGTCCGCGAAATACAAGAAGAGCTCTCTAAACTGGGAGGGGCTAATGTTAAACACACTAAAAAGGTTTGTATTGAATTACAGGAAACTAGATCATTCAATTTTCTAAAAAGTGAAATCATTCTATAACATTCTTAAAGACTAGAAAAATACATGTATATTACATCTTAATTTTTCATTATTAGGGAAAGCTAAATCCTATTTTCCTAAAAAGATGGCTAAAATTTCAGCTAATATATTGGAACGCGTTATAATAATTTTGGACTCTCACTCTATTGGTCCACTACATTCTAAAACAAGTATTCTATTTTCACAGAGTCATACATTAAACAGGCTTGCTGCCGCGCACAGAGGAGCTGTTCGAGCTCTCCAAGCTTTCACCAATCAACTCCCAGAACACGATATCCAAAATGGCATGCCACCTGTCTATAAAGAATTGGGCTCTCTGATTGGTCAGTTGTCTAGCTGTTGTGCCCAGATGGAGGTTAATGGGGAAAATGGCGTTCCTGATATCAATATGGGAATTGGATCTGAGGTAAGGCTTTCACTAGAAAGTCCTTCAATGAAGAAAAATTAAGTGAATCTTTCTCTGCAGATACTTCTGTGTTTTAGACCCATTTTTTCTATAAGTTGAAATTGCCATCAATATTACACTAATGCCAACATCTGATTAGATTAAATTGTAGCCATTTGGAATTGTGAATCGGCCATTTTGAATTTGTCTTGGTGAATAACATGACATTCAATTCTCTCAGCATCACTGTCTTTACTTGACATTTGTTCTTTTTCAGATGGATGACTCTCCTGTCCAATCAGGCAAAAGACAGAAACATGTGGCTCAACGTGTATCTCCTGCTAAAAGGCAGTTATTTGCTAAAGAAAATGGTAAATAGACTCAGTTTGATTATTATGGATTTCATGAGTGATAATCAGTTATGTGTTTTTGAGACAAAAGGAGCAACATTTCGGACAAAATTGTATTTTTTCAAAAAGCAATAAAATAAAATGGAATCAATGACACATGATTTTAATTTTCTTAAGATTAATTAATTAATAATTTTTCCAGTGTACAAATATAAAAAAGATCCTATACTTCAGTTTTGGAGATAATACAGTCTCTTTTTAATATTTTTGACTTTTCTCTTACACTTGCAGATATGGAAAAATCCTCAGATCGAGAACAAGCTCTCAAGTCTGGAATAGAAGCCCTGCTCAGAGTGGCAGAGGCCCCTGGGCCTAGAGACAATCAGAGAGACCCCTTAGATCGCAGCACATACAAATCAAAGCCAGCTATCCTGAAGGAGAGGGTTAGTAATGTACCAAGGGGTCCAGAATCTAGTGTAGTCTCTCAAGGAAAGATGGGACCACGGAGAAAGAATGTAGCATGGGATATAGGGACAGAAGAACCTAAGAAACCTGCATCTAAAAAAGGTTTTATGCTACCCCAGAAGCTACAGGTCAGTATGCTGAATTAAGCATTCCAACTCAAAATATTAAAAACTTAACTTGGCCCAGGTCAGGGTTTTGTCCCCTTACTTGGCCCTGGTAAGGGTTTGTCCCCTTACTTGGCCCGAGTAAAGGTTTTGTTTATTTATATTTATTTTCAAATTTGTATTAATGGGAATAAATGTTTTTGGGGATGCAACAGATAGATAATCCTTGTTTAATGAATTGTTGAGTGTAATGAAATTTACAATTGGGTAAAAATAGTTTTTTGAATGTTTAAGATTGAATTGTGTATCTGTTCTATAAAATCAGACACTGCTTTCAAGTTAAGTAAGAAAGTGCACCAGAATTTTTAGCAAGAGCTTAACTTAAACCTAATATTAATATTCTTGCAGGCCCAGCGAGAGAAAGTTCAAAGAGGTCCACGGAATAAACATTTTTCAGAATCCACATTCTCATGGAGGTTGAAAGAAAATGCTCCAATCAACCAATCAGAAGGTGAGAACAGGATTCAACAACCAATAGAAATGTCCCCAAGGTCATATGGCCCACCTAGGTCACCAAGAATGTCAAGGTCACCGAGAATGTCAGGGTCACCTGGAAGGTCAAGGTCGCCAAGAGAGAATGTGCAAGGGAGTTACAGTCCAAAGGAGAATTTTCAAAGAGAGGTAGAGAGGTATGTTATCTTTGTGAGTATATTCTAATAAATGTAAAGCATAATTTAAAAAACTATTTTGTGCATAGTTTGATAATTGATGTATGTTGTTATTTGAAGCAACATTCTAACTGACTCAATATGAATCTATGTTTAAAATCACTGATCTCTAGCTATAACACAAAGGCTGATTAAAGGACTATATATACATGTAGCTACCTCAGTATGTCATAATTAATTGTTTAGGATATCCTGTCATAATCCTCATGCTATACATTCTGCAAAATGACCATGTGCTCAAAATAGTGTCGAAATACAGTGGCTAGTGTTAGGTATGAACATTGTTCTATGCCATATGCCATTTTTCTATGCCATATGCCATTGTTCTATGCCATATGCCATTGTTCTATGCCATAGGCCATAGTTCTATGTCATATGCCATTGTTCTATGCCATGTGCCATTTTTCTATGTCATATGCCATAGTTCAATGCCATATGCCATTGTTCTATGCCATATGGCATTTTTCTATGCCATGTTTCATTCATATTCCTATAGACAGGCATGGTTAGACAGAGAAGCTGCAAAATATACACAACAAATGGAAGAAATGAAACAACTTGAGCTAGAGAGAATAGAAAGGATAAGGTATAAGAATATATTAAGACATATACTGTAAATTGGGATTACTCATTTTCCATTTGGTCTTTTGGAGTTCAGTCAGTTCAGTACATTACACCGCCAATTAAAGTTTTTGCCCAAAAATATTCATGCTGGATTTTAATTAATGTCATGTTGGTACTCCCAGTTGTGGAAAATCATAAAATCAACTTTGGGGAAAATGTAAATTATGAACGGTAACCTACATGTAGGAAACTGATTCATTCGTGTTGGAGTGGGTGGATAATGGACTTAATGGTACATGATATTAAGGACAAAACCCAGTGGTTTTATGAACTATATATAGGCATCCATTTTTATTAACAGGAAAGAAGAGGATGTATCTAAAAGACTGCTAGCTGGCGTAGAGGCTGCTATAAATGAGAAACTGCGGCCTCTTTTGAGTAAAGCTGAGGTTAAGTTTCTTTATCTCCTATAAGCCAATGAGTCTGATGTGACTCTTCAGTAATGTTAGAATTTTATTAAAGTGAAAATGTTTATTTAAAGGTTTACCAATAGGTTGATTGAGGTTGGACGTTTGATTTTTTAATTCACTTTATTTACGCTTTTAATTGTATTTCTAGGAGCTGTCTAAAAGAGAAGAGAGACTGCATAGAGAGACCACTCAGTCTTTAAAACATCAGGTGTCGGAGAAGGCAACTCAACAGGTATGTTAGACATCTAGCTTATATATGTTCTTGGGGCCAAGATATGAGGTACGTCCTTAGGGAAATATAGATGTCTTATACCACCAAGCTTGTGTCATATTTCAGTGACACTATTAGGTGTTTAACAAGTGTTTGATCCTCTACCATCTAAAAATATCTATGAACATTGTGGGGTGTTTCATGCATTTTTGGCTCACATTATGAGTATTTGGATGATGTTGTGAGGTGCTCTGTCTAAAGCCCAACAATGGACAGACTGCAAGACCCTGTTGCCCCACTAATTGTTGTATCTGTCCCTCCATCTGCACTAAATATACAGGTGCCTTGCTTTTGATTTTCATTCAATGCTCAGTGATTTTTCTTCATCTCTGGAAATATTCAATGTTGAGCACTATTAGTGGTAATTATCAATTTTAACTAAAGTTACTATTTGTTTTCTCAATAATACTAACTTCTTATTATATAATTTCCATAATACTTCATACCCCAAATAGATGAATATGTATATTTTTAGATTTCATTTTATCAAGTGTTTTACACACCTGATATTATAGTGATCATTGTATAATGTGTATTATAAATAAATACTATTCTAGTTTATATAATTGCTAGTGCTGGTATTCATTAGATGGAAATCAATTAATATACTTTACTATATTTATAATCATTGAAAATTTACTTATTTATAGGTTCATACCTATGCAATTAGTAATTAATATTTGCTTGTGTTCAAGAAGCACTGTATTTGGATAATGTAGAAATACCCAATAAATGATAGTATAAGCTTCCTTTTGCCATTGATAATGTATCGGGGTTTTAAAAAAGAGACACCTTAATACTTGTTTCAACTGAATAAAGGTTAATTTGTAAGTTATAATATCTGTGTCTAACATAAACCACATTATCAATATCATGCTATTCAGTTTTCACGAAGTTGATTGTAGTTTTATGAAATGGTGTAGTGGAGAATTCCCTTAAATACAATATACTGTAAAACAGGGAAAATAAGAAATATTATCAGTTATCATGATATCATGTGATTTCAATAAAACAGAAAGATTTTTTTCAAATGTATTATTGTCTTTCTAATGGTGTTAACTCAAAAAGAGAAATTGTGTTGGATAAGAAAAATTGGCAGTAAAGTTATTAAGATGGGTTGTTTATTTAGCTGTTCATCCCAATACTAGTAATACATCCTACATGTTGGTATAGTATTCAAGCATTCACAGACACAAGTATATGATAGTTCTCAATACGGATACACATAAAACAAAGGATACGATTATCTTTTGTGTACACATCAACAGGTGGGAGTACTAATTAAACATATTTAACACAATCATTTAATGCAAGCAGGAACTCTACATATAAAGAATATTGGCTTAAAAACCCACATATTAGAATATGTGTGCATTGTGCAACAATTCTTTGTTTCATACTGTGTTTTCAATTGCTCTTTTATTAAGTTTATTTAAACATGTAGGTCCCAGTCCAATGATTGGATGTTTCTTTCCAAATATTTTCTATTTTTTCCATTCTGAATGAAAATTCAAAGTTCTGAATCGTACCGTATATCTTGTATAGTTTTTTTTGTCAACTATTGGCATCTTTTTATGGAATTATGGAACCTTTTGAATAGGTGAAATGTTAATTTATTTAATAAAGATAAATGTTTTGATCTGTTTTGATATTTTATTGAACATTATTATTTTTACATGATTACTACATCTTACTTAATTATAAAGGAGGTAGCATTGGCATATTCTCTTGTGTACAATAAGGGATCCCAAGCCAACCCACAGTGCACTTTCCTGGTTCACACTGCAACTTATGTTCATTACAAAGTGCTTCTGAAAACATCAAAGGAGGGACGATTATTAAACGAACAACTACAAAAATTGTTTATTAAAGTGTGATTTTGCACATCTATCAGTTATGATATGATGTCATTTGCAACAGCTAACTTTGGTTACATTGTGGATAGACTCTGTTTATCATCAGTATAAGGTGATACCATAAAAAATGACAAAGTATTTTCATACAGTCCATCAATATAATGTGATACCATAAAATAATGACACAGCTTTTTCATACAGTACCTATATTGTAGTCGCATCGTTGTCCATCCCATCCTTCATGACACTTACACTGGAAATAGTGACTGTTGTAAGAAAATGGTCTCTCATTAGGAGTTCCCTCATTCAGGATATAGTGGTGATAATCTCCCTCATGAAATGTGCAGTCACCATGATCACAGGCAATCCCACAAAAATGATCTAAAATGATATTCCGAATGCATATTATTGTTTTGTCAAGTAACACCAGTAACATTTATCATTTCAGACTTTTATGTGGTGTAACCTTGATAACATTGTTTTTGATATGTTTTATCATTCAAAGACTTAAATTTGATACAATTATTAGTGTTATTTAGTTAATCTTTTGATTTCTAAGAATCTGATTGTTTATTGTTTTTTATTGTTTATTTTTATTTCCTTTTTGAGACTCACAGATACACAATACATGAATGAATAAACACAAGGAGCACACACGTCTCAAACTCGCAACCTCGTGGTTACGCCACCAAATCGCCCAGCCTGAACGTGCTGGCGCTCAAGCCCTCTCGGCCAACTCGACAACCCAAAAAAGATTGTTTTGTTAGTCGATCTGACTAGAGGCAGCTGATGTTAACGCTAAAACACACCAGAGGAAGCACAACTGACATTTCCTACCCTTTTATCCCTTTGACATTTGTGCTTATATATTCCTACACATACACACATTGCTCAACTTGAGTTGGTGATACTTTGGAAAGTGTATACATGTTATTTCCCAACAATTGATTGTCAGCTTGAGGCTTAAATTTTTTCTTTCAAAAAAGAAATTGATCTAAAATGTTGTGTTAAAAACTATTGATATTATTAATTGCATTAATAAACAACCATAAATTTCCCCCAGGTTTCTACAATGTAAATCAAAACTAAAATCTAAAATATAGAACCATAAATTAAACCACATATTGCTTTAGAATACAATCTTGGGTTGTTCTGAAATCAATTGTAAGATTTTGATATATGATAAAATAATAAACAATGGTTTATGTACAAATACTCGAGATAAATGTGTCATTATGACGATTGTTCCTTGGATTACTTGAATTGTCTCCAACAATTTAATTTTTGGAAGGTTTCTAAATTTAGAATATGATTTTACTGTCAAGTTAGAATGTTTCAAATAATACTTGTTACCTGGGATTACTATATCACTTGGTAGTCTAGTGTAATGACGCTCGCTTGCTACGTGGTAAGCTGTGGTAGGAATCCCTACATAATTTTCTATTTATTTTAACTGAATGATTATGCTTTGATAATACACAGAAAAAACAGTTTATAACCACGCCAACTTTATATTAGAATTTAATCATCTTGTTGGTTGTATGGAAATGTAAAAATAGTATATGTATACATATTGCATTTTAAAGCCATGTGCAGGTTTAAATTAAAAACTAGCATGTTCTATCTTATTTTGTATCCATTTTATTGAAGTGATAACAGGCCTTCTCAAAAATGATAAAGTTTTAAAACTAAATCATAAATATTTTTTGTTAAACCTATGTCATCATTTTTATAAAAGAGCAGTAACCATCATTCTTGTAACTGGCAATATGTTGTTAACATCTGTAACCAGTTTTTTTCATGCCTTTTTATTTCAAGAATTTGCAGTGGTGACACTTAAAACTGCCATTTTAAATGTCTCGTTTCATTGAGATTTACCTGTTTTCACCTCACAAAACACGCCTGAAAAGTAAGGACGGCAGTTGCACCAAGCATCAGATGATTCACCATCTACTGTGCACCATGCACCATTCTTACACAGTCCTCTCTTATCAAACTCTAGACATGGATCGTCCTCTACCAAGTATCCTAATAAAAGAATCATGGTTATGTATTTTCTTTGAGCATTAACTTCATTGAACAGTTTTATAATCTGCTAGATAAGTTTTATTCACTCAACACTAGAAGAACTAGACATCTGCCAGGGTCTGTTATTACTTTATCATTTGTTATCCTATCGTGCAGAACAACCTTGCTATAGATAATGACAGTACCAAAAGAGATATATAGAGTTATTTGGCAGTAAGATAATGGGAAAATTTTAAACATAGAAAAATAGGGAACTTAAAATGATACCAAGAAAATGTAATCTAAGTTATATTTTGGATTATTCAATTAAATGTTACATATTAGAAGAATCCTTTACCTTCAACATCCCTTGCTACAAAACAAAATGGATCAAGTTTAAACTCTGGTAGCCACTCTCCATCAATGCAGGTCTGGTGAGTTGTTGGTTCAAGATTCTTTTCTCTACCATCCTCATGACATTTCCAAGTGACTGTAGATTCACAAGGATATCCTTTTGTAAATATTGTTATCCCATCAGCTTTACTCAGTTTCTTTGGCGCTTCACATCTGCAGTTCTGAGTTGTTGCATTTCCTGTAATAAGATGAGTATTAATTTAATCAAGTTAGACATACTTTCTTACCTCTTTTTAGCAGGACTCTGTCTGAATATGTCTTAATAAGTGCCATCTGAATATGTCTTAATAAGTGCCATCTGAATATGTCTTAATAAGTGCCATCTGAATATGTCTTAATAAGTGCCATCTGAATATGGATCAATAAGTGCCATCTGAATATGTATAAATAAGTGCCAAAAGGAAGACCAAAAATTGTTACAGAACACAGCAAGAAAAAGAAGCGTATGCCAGTCTTAAGGAAAAAACAACTATCCCAAACCATAATCTGACGTTGAAAGAAACAATGGCTTATACCCTCCTCCGCCATCATTCAAGAATATGTATCTAAATCCGCAACAACAAGGGATATTTCATTCATGCTGATGTCATTATAATACATGGTGAAGAATGAATTTAAATTGATAACCTGGATACTCATAACATCAAAAATAGGTGTATCAAGTATTATTATTAAGTATTATATTACTAGTATTCATACAAGATAGGACACTTAGTGTCATATGATGTGGGATAGACAAAATCCAGTCTTGAAGTCCATAAGCATATCAAAGGGTCAACATCTATCCAAAAGGCCATCTCCATAATCCACAAAACACAATATTTCAATTGGTTATCAGGCTGACTGCTATGGTTGGTTTCGATCCAAATTTCTCAACCTTGAATACTACTAATTCTACAATTAATTTACTTACCATATTTCAGAATTGTATGTTTGTATGTATTCTCTTTCCCAACATTAACATTGCACATGTAAAATCCAAAATCACTTGAACTGACATTTCGGATAACAATATCAAAATTAATGTCACTATCTGGCGCCAGTCTTTCATATTTATCTGGAGAGATAAATCTCCAATTGTATTCTGGTCCTGAAGAATATTCTCGCGCGTGTTCACTATAAATTGTTGTTGCAACGTATTTGTCAGTGATTAGTTCATAAATCCACACACTCTGTTCACTATCCTTCCATCTTAAATCAGGAGGAATCCTACAAGGGATAACAGTTTGTTCCCCAATGGTTGCATACCTTGTTGTCATTGTATCACCTGTATGAAATATAAATGTCAGAACAATTCTCTGTTGGAGTAGAATTTGGTTATGTGTAACTATAGTGATTGAAATAATTATTACATTTTAAGATAACATATAATATGTTGTCATTTAGTGTGGACTAGCCATAAGAATATTCAGCCTGTTCTAGCCAGTCTTGAATAGATATCAGCTATGTCAATTACCATCGCATTCTTCTTTTGGTGCACATTTCTCTGTCTTATGTTCAAAACATTCTTTAGCAGTCTGATACAATGGTTCAGCATTCCTTATATAGCCATACTCTGGGAAGAAACACGACCTTGACCTAGTTTGTGCCCCAATGGCACAGTCTGCATTGCAATCTCCTCCACAATGTGTAGTACATGGACTCCATCTTCCCCAGGGACTCCAGTCTGAAATACAACACAAATGATATGAAACACGACCTTCACCATTTAAAAAATAAATAACAGAAATAAAATTGGAAAGCTCATAATTTACAAATGAATTTTAATTCAAGTATGATCGCTACTAGAAACCACTATACTACCTGGTATAGCATTAGCCATCCATTCCAGGAAATACGGAACAAGTCCAAAGTATGTTGTGGTCTCCTTTGTTGTAAGGCAATGTCCTACAGGGTCTGTATAACTTGCTATGCCTGAAACAATATTGTAATGTTCAATAGAATTTACAACACAATTTAAAAACAAACTTTTATAAAATATGAAGTTTGAATTTTAAAGATACAATTTCATATATTTTTTTTACAATTCTTTCAACTGTACATATACTCAACAATGTAAACTACTAGCATGTAGGGAACATATGGTTCTATGACACTATGTAAGTACATGCATACCTAGCACTACCCTCTCATTCCATTGCTCTCCGAACCTTGATGAATCATCAGGCTTGCACATCAATGGACCTCCGCTGTCACCCTAAATGGAAGGATGGTTAAGTATGTAATTTAACTATGGAATTAAAGCAACTACCCAGGGCACTTTACTATAATATGAGGTATAAGTTGTTAAAGAAGTACTTACCGGACATTGGGATCCTCGTTTCAGATTTGTCACTCCAATTTTCTTTTTCTCCCATGCTAATGATAACTGATCAGAATTTACAAAAATCTGAATCCATTTCAAATCATTTGATACCCCATAATCTAAAGGTGTTCATGTAAACAAAATAAGATACAAAAGCATGAAGATTTTTTTAATATAGAAAACAATGAGCATTTAGAATGATGTACAATATATTTATGCAGTTTCACACCAATCTAATTAGAAGAAGAATTGAATAAATACAGAACTTAGTAACTTTTATATACCTTTCATATTATTTAGCCACAAAAGCCACAAAAAACTACTGAAAACTATATGCATAAATGTATTCAATATTAGAGAGATTTATACTCCATTTCATAATAAGTTAGATGTCTTTCATATATAATAATAACAACCAACCATTTCCCCATCCTACAAATTCACAATCCTGTTTCTGTGCCAACTCTTCATGTGGTATACAATCGTCCAGTGCCTCACCAGTGCAGATACTCGTAGGAATGGCACATGGTTGGACCATAGGATCATCAAAATCAAATCCAGTATCAACTCTTACAAGTGCAACATCATTAACATTGTTGTTTGGGTCCTTATTGTTTCTCGGATGGATGATAACCTTTAATCAAAATTTTATATAAAAGTGGAATGGGCAGGTTTTGGTGTGTTCTATAAATAAACATATGTGTATTATCTACTTGCTGTAAAATATATTTGCATTAATGATAAATTGATAGCACTACTAAATAATTTGTATTAAAAGTACCATTACCTCTACAACTTTATGTGTGTGGTTCCCCGTAAATTTGTCCAATATCAATATTCCTGTATTTACTTTCCAGTTTGTGATATCACAACTAAAACAATTATTTTGCATACGAATATACATATACATGTAAACACTTAAAATAAAGAGGATATCAATACAAAATTGAAATAAAATGTTTATTTCAATGAGGAAATAACACTAATCTTATACATTTGCTAACATCATGTACCCTAAAATCAAAAATGTATAGTAATCTATGTATATATGAAAAAATAAATATCATATGTTTGTATTTACCTAATTTTATTATTGTGATCACAGCAAGACTTATAACACACACAATGTGCTGCAGTCATTATCCAGTGCTTGTTCAGGATGGAACCCCCACATACATGATCACTTGGGTTAATAGTATTGTCCTTATTAAACTCAGGTATTGACAGAGACACCATCCAGGAAAAATGTTCTCTTTCTTTTACTTTGGTCCTTGGATCTTTTTTCAATCCTCGTTTCTTTCTGCGGTTACTGACAGTGTTTGTTATTTTCTGCCAACCATCTTTTGCAATCAAGTCGAGATCAGCTGAGTTAACAAAAATCTTAATTATTGATATATTGCACGAAGCAAAATTGATCATTGTATCCCCAGAATAATAAATGTTAATGTAGCATATACTTGTACAATGTCCTTCTTTCCAGGAGTTATAGATATATTTGTTACGGCATTGTCCACCAAATTGTAACTTTGAAATCTCCAACAACATCTGTGTGGCTAAAGATGACCCTTACTGCTTTTAATATTTTTCTGAATTACTTACGTGTACAGCAATCTGTAGATTGGTGATTATCTCCAAAGCAATTATCATCTTCCTTCAGTAGTCCCTTGTTGTCAACACACATTCGATGTCTGACTGTTTTTCCACATTCCTCAGGGTCAGAGCTACATACACTCCAATGTCCCCAGTTTGTCCACTTTGGCCATACATTAACTAAAATGTGATTCATATTATCATAAACCCCAATGTCCCCAGTTTGTCCACTTTGGCCATACATAAACTAAAATGTGATCCATATAATCATAAACTCCAATGTCCCCAGTTTGTCCACTTTGGCCATACATTAACTAAAATGTGATTCATATTATCATAAACTCCAATGTCCCAAGTTTTTCCACTTTAGCCAGACATTAAAAAACTTAAATGTAATTCATGTTGTCATACACTCCAATGTCCCAAATTTGTCCACTTTGGCCAGACATTAACTTAAATGTGATTCATATTATCATAAACTCCAATGTCCCAAGTTTTTCCACTTTGGCCATACATTAACTAAAATGTGATTCATATTATCATAAACTCCAATGTCCCCAGTTTGTCCACTTTGGCCAGACATTAACTAAAATGTGATCCATATAATCATAAACTCCAATGTCCCCAGTTTGTCCACTTTGGCCAGACATTAACTTAAATGTGATTCATATTATCATAAACTCCAATGTCCCAAGTTTTTCCACTTTAGCCAGACATTAAAAAACTTAAATGTAATTCATGTTGTCATAAACTCCAAGGTCCCCAGTTTGTCCACTTTGGCCAGATATTAACTAAAATGTGATTCATATTATCATAAACCCCAATGTCCCAAGTTTGTCCACTTTGGCGATATATTAACTAAAATGTGATTCATATTATCATAAACCCCAATGTCCCAAGTTTGTCCACTTTGGCGATATATTAACTAAAATGTGATTTATATTATCATAAACCCCAATGTCCCAAGTTTGTCCACTTTAGCGATACAATAAAAAACTTAAATGTGATTCATATTATCATAAACCCCAAGGTCCCCAGTTTGTCCACTTTGGCCAGATATTAACTAAAATGTGATTCATATTATCATAAACCCCAATGTCCCAAGTTTGTCCACTTTGGCGATATATTAACTAAAATGTGATTTATATTATCATAAACCCCAATGTCCCAAGTTTGTCCACTTTAGCGATACATTAACTTAAATGTGATTTATATTATCATAAACCCCAAATGCCCCAGTTTGTCCACTTTGGCCAGACATTAACTAAAATGTCATTTTGATAATCATACACTCAAATTCCCCAGCCAAGCCAATCACAATATTTTCTGTATTTTACTCAAAAATCAATGAATAAAAATTATATACAAATGAGTTTTCAAAAGGTAAGTACCTTTTAAACCTGTTATTAATTGTAATTGGCTAATATAAGTTACCTTTACATATTGCAGAGTTTGTCACTTGATCACATTCACACTTATGTGTCTTGTTCTCATACAGGAGATTTACTACATAATGCAGTTCACCATCAATCATACATTCGCTACATTTCTTTGAATTCAACCTAGCACATTTGAGACCTTTCACTGTGCACCTACAGTTTTTCTCACATTTGTTACGTCCTTTTGTGCGTTTACCAATTTGCAAAATGGTCCCATCGATGGAGCATGTTTCTGAAATGATTTTTAACAGATTTTCATAAAGCACATTTTAGGCAATATTGGTTTCCATGGCAGTGAATGACTTCTTTACATTTTTTAATTTAGCCATAATTCCACTCTATATGTATTGTTATTGTGATACATCAAGTCGGTTTGTTGTATTTTGGGCAACACCTGTCACCATGGCAATGGATTATGGTTAGTGTCCCATGTGTTTCTAATTGAGCCTTTAAAAGATTTGATGTGCTATTTCTTACTTTTGCAGCATACACGTGTATTACTACTTCACTTTTTATTGTACCAAAAGATAATTTCAAAGTAATCACATTTTTTGTCATATAACATTTCTGAAAAAAAGGTTGCTATGGTACTTGTACCCTCCAAGTTTTAGTTTAAGCATCATACATCAAGGTTTTATATCTTGCAGTTGTGTTTTGTGCCTTCTCTTTTACTAATTAAAACATTTGAAACTAATTGAAAGCGATCTCTCTTACTTTTGCAGCATACAGCCTGGTGATTCTGTGAGATAACAGCTTTGCATTCATAGTTGTTGGGACATTTTGAACTCTCTTTCAAACAATCCCAAACTTTTCCATTCTTTTTAAACTCTCTTCCAGATTCACACAACCCTAATATCAAGTAATATTAGTTTGTAAAATTAACAAATTGTTAACAACTTCTGTGCTTTTTAATATCAAGTACTAAGTTTGTGATACAAGTTGTAAGTTTAACAAGTTTTTTACATCACTAATTATTCCAGAATATCTTTTCGATGATGCCCTGGTCATTTATATGAAATGAGTGTGTGCATATTTTGAAATAACTTTGAATAGCTATTGGTGTAACAATAAAAGGTTGTTAAAACCAGAAAACCTGGTACCATTTTTCAGATTTGATATATAAAAAATATTTATGGTTTTGTCCAACATGTAAAAAGTAGATTTGGTCATAAATCTCAAAGTTCAAATTGAGACTCTTGTTCAATTAGTCTTTTTTTGATTTTACATAACTTTTACATACCTGCTAATGTTGAGGACCAGTAAAGTACAAACTGCGCACTGAACAATAAAATGCAATGGAACCTTGGCTGCATCTTATCTGATAAACAATCTAAAAGCATATGCAGTAGTGATACCTGCTAATGTTGAGGACCAGTAAAGTACAAACTGCGCACTGAACAATAAAATGCAATGGAACCTTGGCTGCATCTTATCTGATAATCAATCTAAAAGCATATGCAGTAGTGATACCTGCTAATGTTGAGGACCAGTAAAGTACAAACTGCGCACTGAACAATAAAATGCAATGGAACCTTTGCTGCATCTTATCTGATAATCAATCTAAAAGCATATGCAGTAGTGATACCTGCTAATGTTGAGGACCAGTAAAGTACAAACTGCGCGCTGAACAATAAAATGCAATGGAACCTTGGCTGCATCTTATCTGATAATCAATCTAAAAGCATATGCAGTAGTGATACCTGCTAATGTTGAGGACCAGTAAAGTACAAACTGCGCACTGAACAATAAAATGCAATGGAACCTTGGCTGCATCTTATCTGATAATCAATCTAAAAGCATATGCAGTAGTGATACCCGCTAATGTTGAGAACCAGTATAGTACAAACTGCGCACTGAACAATAAAATGCAATGGAACCTTGGCTGCATCTTATCTGATAATCAATCTAAAAGCATATGCAGTAGTGATACCTGCTAATGTTGAGGACCAGTAAAGTACAAACTGCGCACTGAACAATAAAATGCAATGGAACCTTGGCTGCATCTTATCTGATAAACAATCTAAAAGCATATGCAGTAGTGATACCTGCTAATGTTGAGGACCAGTAAAGTACAATGCGCACTGAACAGTGGAATGCAATGGAACCTTAGCTGCATCTTATCTGATAATCAATCTAAAATGTGATTATTTTTATAGTCCCATTAAAATAAGTTTGGGGGGGGGGTGGGGGTTAAAGAGCTGACTCTGGACAATAACTCAAATACACATGGACAGATGAAAGTTTTTCTTAATCAACACATTTAATTCAAATTGGATATGCTGAGGCCTTTGGGAAATAGGACCTCTCCTCAGGAAAAATTCAAGATGGCCATTAAATTCAAAATGGCCATGATCTTCATGAAAAAATGTAAATTTTGATGAATTAACATGACTTGATCATCCAGAAAAGCGAAGCTCGAGTGGTGATACATTGTTACCAGAACGGAATATTTCCTGTATCACATAAGCTGAAACATGTGTTGATTTATAAAACATCTATATATACTGCATTACACATGAATGAAAATTGCAATTTCTTCATTGTGAATTTAAGAATCCTTCAGAAAAGAATATTTTAGTCAAAAATAGTATTCAGAAAAAGAGTAAAATGTTAATTAATTAAATGAATTAATCACTGAACATGAAACTTAAACCGAATAATTAATGAAATTATAATGACATCTCAGTTTTGAAAGTAAGTGCCAATTATCATTATCAGATTTGTAAATTGATAATTAATTATGATATTATATTACAATTAAAAATTTGCTAATACAGAAATATATTTAAATCTTACCTTTAAAACGTTTCAGTAGTTGATGATAAATCTATTTAATAAACTTGCATTTTATATTATTATATACTTTTTATGACATTGTTTGTGGTTACTTTTGTTGTCATAATTGATGTGTGGGAAGGCTTCCTATTAGTAAAGGTTTGATGAATTTGTAATTATTGCTAAAATTAATATTGTTTAGGGAAAAAAAGATGAAATTAGCAAGCCAGGGATCGTATATATGTGAATGTAAAAGTGTGTAACATAATGTAGTACAGTATGTGACATATAGAAATATGTGATATAATGTAAGACATTGTAAGAAATCCATGAATTACCAAATTAAATTTATGCAATGAGCAAGTACCTAACAGCAATTTGAGCAAATGTATCATAAATTCCATTGTATATTTATCCCACCGAACGAAGTTCGTGAGGGATATAGGAAAGCCGTCCGTCCGTCCGTCCGTCCGTTCGTCCGTTCGTCCGTCCGTCCGTCTGTTTGTCCGGGCGATAACTCAAATACCGTTTCACGGATTTGATTCAAATTTTATAGACTTATGCCTTATTGGTGTAGGACCTCTGCTCGAGAAGGAATTTTCAATATGGCCACTGAATTCAAAATGGCCGCCATTTTTCGTAAAAAATGTAATCTTTAATAACTCAAATACTAGTTTGCGGATTTGGTTCAAATTTTATATGCTGATGCCTAGGGACACAGTAGATATGTTCGAGTAAAAATTTTCAAGATGGCGGCTAGATTTCAAAATGGTGGCCATTTTTAGTAAAAAAACTTAATCTTTGATAACTCAAATACCAGCGAACGGATTCGGCTCAAATTTTATATGATAATGCCTAGGGACACAATAGATCTGTTCAAGAAAGAATTTTCAAGATTTTTCGTAAAAAAGGTAATCTTTGATAACTCAAATCCCAGTGAATGGATTTGGCAAAAATTTTATATGATAATGCCTAGGGACACAATAGATCTGTTCAAGAAAGAATTTTCAAGATGGCGGCTTGATATTCAAAATGGCGGCCATTTTTCGTAAAAAAAGGTAATCTTTGATAACTCAAATACCAGTGAACGGATTTGGCTCAAATTTTATATGATGATGCCTAGGGACAAAGGAGATCTGTTCGAGAAAGAATTTTCAAGATGGTGGCTGAATTTTAAAATGGACGCCATTTTTCGTAAAAAACGTAATCTTTGATAACTCAAAAACCAGTGAACAGATTTGGCTCATTTTTTATATGATGATTCCTAGGGACACAATAGATCTGTTCGAGAAAATTTTTTCAAGATGGCGGCTGAATTTCAAAATGGTAGCCATTTTTCATAAGAAAAAACGTAATCTTTGATAAGTCAAATACCAGTGAACAGATTTGGTTCAAATTTTATATGCTGATGCCTAGAAACACAGTAGCTCTGTTCGAGAAAAAAATTTTAAGATGGCGGCTGATCCTCAGAATGGCTGCCATTTTTCATTTTCATTTTCGTAATCTTTGGTAACTCAACTGCCGTTCGGTGGGATTTGCTACTCCGTGGAGTTACTGTTTTTCTAGTTTAATTATAGGTATTCTCTATTTATAGCCTATTAGATATAGCCACCTTGCATCCTGTATTCACATACATGTAGCTCATATATACTCATATGTATTTACCAACATGTGGGGATGGAATAATAAATTATATGTAAATATCTCAGTCAGGAAGTCAGTGTTTAATTAGCTTGAATTGCAATATGTTCCTGTGGTTTAACATGTATGCATTATGGGATGGGATCCGAATTACTATGTCCACTATTGAGGATCATGCTATTTTTCTCAAAAATGCAAAGAAAATGATGCGTTCATACCAATGAAACTTCTGGTACTCAATGCAATGCATATAATCATGTTTCAAGGAAAAATTATCACATATATCAAGGATGAGCTGTCACATTTATCGCCAATGATGTCATGTTTTACTATTTATTTCCAGGTAGAAGTGAATGCTGACATCATTAGTGATATGATTCTACATGACATCATCTCTGACACAGCTCAAGAATTCAACCGTTTGGAACATGACGATATGATTCAAAATGAGGCCAAGGCTCTTTATGACACACCCCAACTAGATTCTTTGATGTATCGTCTGAAAGAAATGGAGGTATGTATTGATAATCATTTATTATATAATCATTAATTAATCAAAGAAGTTGTGGATTTAACGTTTTTTGGAAGTGGATTGTTATTTATTTCAAATGGGAAATACTTTTTAATTTCATGAATCATTTTTGTCTAGTTGAGGTTATCATATTTTGCTCTTAAATTCAGAATTCGGGAATGGGATTTTTGTGAAAACCAATGGTCACAATACTGGGTATACAAGTAGGTGAAATCATTATACCCATACTTTGTGGAAATTCTTTGTAAAATTGTTGTTTGCTGGTTTTGAGGGCATGTTTACAATGATAATAAAGATGGCATCGGTATAGCCAGAAATGTTGATAAATATTAGAGAGCGTCATAAAGGCATAAATATTTGAATTGACTTATGGAACAAGTAAAGAAAAATAAAAGCAAAAATTGTATAATAAATTCTTTTCTTGAAATACTGTTTCAATATGTACAGGGTGTTCAATAAGTATTGCTAATTTTACTATAAGTTTTGTTCTCTTGCTTTTTTCTTCATGAAACTTTCAAAACATAAGGAACATATATTATATATCTGACCTTATTCTAGTAAAGTTTCCTGACAATCAAGTTAGTATTGACAAAGCTATTGCTACTATGGTACACAGTTGCAATACTTATTGAACTATACACAGTTGCAATACTTATTGAACTATACACAGTTGCAATACTTATTGAACTATACACAGTTGCAATACTTATTGAACTATACACAGTTGCAATACTTATTGAACTATATACAGTTGCAATACTTATTGAACTATACACAGTTGCAATACTTATTGAACTATACACAGTTGCAATACTTATTGAACTATACACAGTTGCAATACTTATTGAACTATACACAGTTGCAATACTTATTGAACTTACATTTGTTATATCGGCAAGGTTACCTTTTCCTATATCGGCAAGGTTACATTTTCCAATTATAGTTCATATATTTTGTACATAGAGCAGTTTGGGAACATTTGAGTTTTTGTAAGTCTATAAGGTGGTACTAGTATTCCCCTTAGGACGCCATCCATCTTTTATGAACTACTTAAGTCATAGAGCAGTTTGAAAACATTTGAGTTTGTAAGTCTATAAGGTGGTACTAGTATTCCCCTTAGGACGCCATCCATCTTTTATGAACTACTTAAGTCATAGAGCAGTTTGAAAACATTTGAGTTTGTAAGTCTATAAGGTGGTACTAGTATTCCCCTTAGGACGCCATCCATCTTTTATGAACTACTTAAGTCATAGAGCAGTTTGAAAACATTTGAGTTTGTAAGTCTATAAGGTGGTACTAGTATTCCCCTTAGGACGCCATCCATCTTTTATGAACTACTTAAGTCATAGAGCAGTTTGAAAACATTTGAGTTTGTAAGTCTATAAGGTGGTACTAGTAGTCCCCTTAGGACGCCATCCATCTTTTATGAACTGGTTCTGTCGCAAAACTTCAATTTTTCCCATTTTGAACTCTGACCCTAACATGTCAGGATCTAACGACATCATTAACTTGCCATCAATAAGATTCTCCGCGAAAACATTTTTATATTTTCCAAGCTTGAGTTGTTGGAGACAATGTCCGACCTGCTCTACTGTAAGAGGGGATAGGTTTCTTGGGACCTGGTCTATAGGTATGGGTTCATCAGGGCCATATGTCTGGCCTATTGCACCCTGTTTAGAATTGTCCGATTGAGTTTTTGTGTATGTAATGCTTGATGCACTACTAGCAGGGCTTTTGGGAACATGTGATTCTGGTTGGGGGCTGACTGCGGTAGTCTTTTCAGCTACTTGATCAACTTTAACAACTTCTGATGTTCTCTTTGTATCACTGTCCTTTTTTATTTTGAATGAGGGTTTAGGTCTCGTAGGTGGGGGAGGACCAGGTGTGATCTGACCCGGGCTTCTCGGGGGTATGGAAGGCCCCGATGTCACAATTGGTTGATCTTCCTCTTTCCTCAACATCAATTTCGTCAACTCTGTTACCATAGCAGAACTTTGCATACTTTTGGGTCTTGCCTCAGATTTGTAATTATGCTCTGTTGATGGTATTATGTTTGTGTATTCATAAGGACGTGAAAAACCAGGGAGTTTGACGTATTCTAGACATTCATAGATGTTCTCTGGGCGTTGAGCCTGGGTGGATTTTTCATCGAGTATATCTTGTTTATCCCGCACCATCATAATATCTGAAAATGTCAAAACCTTGTTTCAACTTTAAATGGTTCCACTAACTGGAAGTTGAGTACAAAATAATCAGATTCAAAATATATAGATGGCATTGGAGTCACTCCTCCCATGAAAATCATATAGATGGCATTGATAACGTCTTCCAAGATAGTCATCGGTAGTTGTTTGAGAAATGCTGAGGATATTATCCTCTTTCAAAAATGGATGTAGTTTTTCGAAACCAAAAGTCAAACAATGCTTGGATAAAAAATATTTTCTACTGTCAACTTTGTGTCTTCTTTGATCATATTATTGCTGGTAATACATTTTCTATACCCATTGATAAAACTTTAAGTAGAATTTAAGCTCCTTTTTAATCAATAAGAACAGACAAGACAATGAAAGTAGTTGTATGGCTGCCAACCTAACATATGAAAATTCAGAATAAGATAGTAACTACCTGTCCTAGCTTCATGACAACAATATTTCTAGTGTTTGCAGTGATTCAATTAAATAAGGTGTATTGTGTTTGTCCAATATTGTACACAAGTGTACCATGCAGCAATTATAGTGCAAATGAAGAAATTGTGTAACTGATTAGGATAAAATTAGGTGAAAACATATGATTTTATGTCTCGCTAGCTCTGTTTCTATTTGTTGAACTTGGGTTGTTGATTGTTGTTGGGTTACAGTTGTCAAATCCAAATAGAAGATATTATCAAGAACTAATAAATACTTTAAAAGAGGCAATTTACCTTTTTGTCCATTGAAGCTATCAAAGTTAATATGTTGAACCACTTCATCGAGGACTTTCATGTAAGCTGTGAAATCATCTTGTTTGGTTTGACCTTTGAACCCAACTGCTACGTTCACTTCGATCTCTGCATTCAGTGGGATTATTGCAATATTCTCTGGATCCATTATACCTGAGGTGTAGAACATTATATTATATTTTATTATATTATATTATATTAATTATTATATTATATTATATTATATTATATTGCTACATTAACTTCAATCTCTGCATTCAGTGGGATTATTGCAATATTCTCTGGATCCATTATACCTGGGGTGTAGAACATTATATTTTATTATATATGATATTAAATTGCTCCGTTCACTTCAATCTCTGCATTCAGTGGGATTATTGCAATATTCTCTGGATCCATTATACCTGAGGTATATAACATTATATTATATTACATTATATTATATTATATTATATTATATTAGTTTCCATTGTTGTAGAGGTCCATGTGCAATATTGCAAGTGATTTTAGATCTTATTAAAACAATATGTTTTCTTAAAAGTGAAGTCCCCGTGAATAATATAGTGTAGAAGAAACTTTTGATACATTTAAATTGAGAAAAACAAGATCCCCTTTATAGGAAATCAGCCTTACATTTTTAAAAATGTGACAAGGTGGGGTCCTAATCCATAATTTTTCAGAGAGTTGCTCGATATTTTACTATTGTGGGGACTTTACTTTAAAGAAAACATATTGTTTTAATAAAATCCACTGCATTTATGCCCAGAAAGTGCTCATGGTGAAAGATATGATCGTCTAAAATCACCTGCCATTTGAATTTTCAGACTAAATGTTTCAAAATTGGTTAAAGTTACAGAATAGGTAAATGTTCTGAATGTTAAAGTCGGGCCTCTCTTCGAAACGCAATCTTAGGTTGTTCCTGGGGTCCCTGGTAATATTTTATGCTTTAATGAGAAAATATACAATAATGAACAAATGGAGCAAATACTGTGAAGAAATACTCACGATAAAGATGTCATTTTGACGATTGTTCATTCAATTGCTCAGAGGTTTGCCGGTAAACAAATTTCTTCGAAGATTTCTAAATTTAGAATGTCACGTGACTAACTAAAAAGAAGTTTAAATAAATCCCTCTAAATTACGCGCACTTATGAAGTAATGCCTGGTTGGTGGTTAGTACAGTGGTAGAGTTCTGGCCTGTCACTTTGACTGTCCGGGTTCGAATCCCGACAACGTATATTTTTATTTTTTAAGTTAATGGTTATGCTGCTTTGATTTTACGCTTAAAACGTTTATATCTACGTCAAATCTATATTTAAGCATTTATTATCTCTTCAGTCGTATGAAAATGGAAAAATAATTTATGTTCACATATTGCGTTTTGGAGAGAGGTATAGGTTTAAAGTATGATTCAAGAAGATGAAAAATTGCCCTAACATTTTTTCCTGTAAATCATTAGAGATCTTCCAGTTACAATGTTTTGGAATATTTAGAAAGAGTGATACAAAATAACATTTCTCAAATTGCTATCGAAATGTTATTTTTTGTGACTGTACTTGAGGTTTACTGTGATGTTGTCTGTAACAATATTGTGGCGGGAGTTACTTTGAATGAAATAATTTTCACCCATATGGAATAAATTGATCCAAATAATAAATACTGGAAAGAATAAATTGGGCCGAGCGGAAACCCCTTTAACAATAAATGGCACTGGAAAGATGATGTGTGGATACATCTTGTGCGTGAAAGGAATTTGTATCTTAATGGTCACTAATGGATATTGTAATTTACTGTATGAAGAATAACTGAACAAAAGATATGATTTAGATTTTTGAACATTAAACAACAAATAACTTTATTTACCTTGCAGGTGTGTATGACATGGCAATAATCCGTTAAATCCAATACGTATTAATCCAATTATAAATCCAGTTATAAATCCAGTATATGATAAATCTACTTGTACAAATTAAGTATGATCGAATGATTGTAATAATCCAAACACAGAGATGCTCGCAGAATACTAAAACTTGAGACTTTATAAAAATGGAGAAATTCAACCTCCTATCTCTTCAGATACAAACTCAGGACTGAACGTCACTGGAACGATCCTGAGAAAGTTAAGATTCCGGAACATCTCTTTCCATATAAGGAAAGGCTACTATGACAACGAGTTTTAATACTTGCTACACTGTCAACATATCTGTCAGATCAAAGACGTAACACACCTAAAGCGCGAGCTGTCAATCAAATTGTTATGTGAGAACGTTTGTGAAAAAGTCGGCTAAATGCCGTAAGAAACATAAACCTGCACTTAAAATACATGTTTTCAAATGACGATATCTCTGTAAATATTACACCAATTTCAATGAAGTAAAAACTGTTAAAAAGAACAATTCAGCCTTGTTTTAACAAATAATTCCCAGAATTAATGATCTTGTATTTATCTCGCTATTTACCCAAAGAAAACATGAGTAAACTGAAAATGACAAGAATGTATGGCGCGTGGCCGGTAAATCAAAAAAACATGTCCATTTACACTAGTTATTTAAAGTAATCTTACACAAAAACTAAAACACCTTTTTGCATGAAATAAAAACTATAATATTGGCAAAAGACTGTTCTTTTTAACCATGTTAAATGTTCCATGAAAAATATGAGAAATGAACATGAAATTAATTAATGAAATAAATGAATATAAAAATTGTGCTACCGCTACAATATTTTATTTTATTGAAAGGTGTTGATGATCCATTTTAAAGCTCTTGAATCCCCAGAGCAGCATAGAAAACCAGTTGCTGAATTTTACACAAAAATGGCAATATTATCCAATTGACACAAATTAGGATTTAAATTATGTTTAACAGGTCTTATTTTATTTTATTAAATTAACTCTCACATATTGTACAGTATAATGTAGTAAAATGGCAAAAACTGGCAAAACTGAAAAATTAACTTACATTTATAGATGGGATTTGTGACGAAGTATCGTTGGGAAACTATGTCTGTTAGGGTGATGGTCATCTTGTCCAGTGGAACCATCTTATCCGTGAATCGCCCCAAATAGAATGGTCGCGACGTCTCTGTGTCAAACCTCACTTGAATCGGTAATTTGTGGCTCTCTAGTAGTTGAGTCAAAGGAACTGGTTTACCAACTGAAATATGAACAGTTAATGAGCAGTTATGAGTTGATGAGAGCAGTTATGAGTTGATGAGCAATTATGAGTTGATGAGCAGTTATGAGTTCATGAGAGCAGTTATGCAATGGAAGGCTTTGGATACAGGGAGTTTATTCAGAGGATAATATATATAGCTCAAGAAAATGAGAACCAAGGGTTGTAAACATATTTGCTTAAGAATAAACCCAATACTCTATATCTTGAAATTGAAAAGTCCACCATTTCAATCCCATGTAATCTCTTTAGAGTATGAAATATGTATCAAAATGATATTATGAAACTTACATTTTCCTTTGTTGTCCAGTAGTTGAAAGTTAACAGGGTAGTCCACCGGAATACTATATAGCTGTTGGTCTTTCTTGCCATACTCCTTGGCGATCACGCGTCGTTGGTTGACACATTTATGCACTCTGTATGTCTGGAAATACATTGATACCACCACTGTATATAAATCAAAGTACATTGATGGTATCCCAATGATAGTTTATAATAGGATATATGACTTTATACAAATAAGTCGTTGTTTGACACATTTATACACTCTGTAGGTCTGGAAATATATTGATACCACCACTGTATATAAATCAAAGTACATTGATGGTATCCCAATGATAGTTTATAATAGGATATATGACTTTATACAAATAAGTCGTTGTTTTTTGACACATTTATACACTCTGTAGGTCTGGAAATATATTGATACCACCACTGTATATAAATCAAAGTACATTGATGGTATCCCAATGATAGTTTATATTAGGTTATATGACTTTATACAAATAAGTTGGAGAAAAAATGGGATGCTCAAGATGATCTACGGTACTTAAAAAGTATATATGAAACAAATTATAGAGTTTTTACTTTTGAGCTATTATTGCTCATTAAGATTACCGCATTTAACATCTTTTTTCGTAGCCTTCTTCATTATTAACAAGCATAATCTGTTTTCAGTGAATTGTGACATCACAAACTTAAATTGATATATGATACATCTTATTAAAGCCCATTAAATTGCAAATCATTTGGTATATAACACATGGTTTATTTATGTGATCTAGAATATCTAATTCAACCAGTGATTTTCACATGCACTTAAATAGTCTACGTTTATATGAGCCTTTGCATTTGTGTAATATTACATTTTAGTTAAAAAACTTCCTTCTATGTAGTTTTGAATAGAATCATTTGAGTAAATGTTGTGGTGAATTGAAATGTTCACTTGAATAACATTTCCTTTAAATATTGTACTTGAATGATGACCCTTGTTTATAGTATTGCACTTGTATAATATGACCCTTGTTTATAGTATTGCACTTGTATAATATGACCCTTGTTTATAGTATTGCACTTGTGTAATATGACCCTTGTTTATAGTATTGCACTTATATGCCATGACCCTTGTTTATAGTATTGCACTTGTATGCCATGACCCTTGTTTATAGTATTGCACTTGTATAATATGACCCTTGTTTATAGTATTGCACTTGTATAATATGACCCTTGTTTATAGTATTGCACTTGTATAATATGACCCTTGTTTATAGTATTGTACTTGTATGCCATGAACCTTGTTTATAGTATTGCACTTGTATAATATGACCCTTGTTTATAGTATTGCACTTGTATAATATGACCCTTGTTTATAGTATTGCACTTGTATAATATGACCCTTGTTTATAGTATTGCACTTGTATGCCATGACCCTTGTTTATAGTATTGCACTTGTATGCCATGACCCTTGTTTATAGTATTGCACTTGTATAATATGACCCTTGTTTATAGTATTGCACTTGTATAGTATGACCCTTGTTTATAGTATTGCACTTGTGTAATATGACCCTTGTTTATAGTATTGCACTTATATGCCATGACCCTTGTTTATAGTATTGCACTTGTATGCCATGACCCTTGTTTATAGTATTGCACTTCTATAATATGACCTTTGTTTGTAGTATTGCACTTGTATAATATGACCCTTGTTTATAGTATTGCACTTGTATGATATGACCCTTGTTTATAGTATTGCATGTGTATAATATTTCACCTCTCCTGATGACCAAGTGTCTGCATCTGACAATCCACACCATCCTGCATACACACAAATTACAATCGGGAACTTTCCATGATATGTCCAATAAGCGTCATCTAATGTATATTTCCTGTTTGACCACTCAAAATCTGCCTCTTTCCTAAGCACCATATTTAAGAATGCGGTGGTTCCAATGGTATCCTTATGAGGCTCATGTGTCATTTTGAACTATTCTAATTGAAACACAAGGTTTTGATTTAACTCTCGTCACAAACTCTACGCAAGCAAGAAATATTGCAATCGAAAAATAATGATCTTTTTGAAAGACCTGGTACATATACTTTTAATACTATTCAAATAAAATATAAGTGCCACATGTTGTTCGAGTGGCTCTATATATTTGCTGTACAAAAACACTTCAAGAATGTTGCAACGTGCAAGTCGTGATATAACCCAATATGGAGTGTCTTCAGTTTAAAATAAATAAAGTCCAATGTTTAAGTAGTTCTTCTATAAGACCGTTCTAATTGGTTAAACACATATTATATGCCTTTTATACAACGACAAGGAAGTAAACCTGTATTTTATATGCTTTATTCAAACTGTAGCACCTTAGTGATTATCCTATGTTGTGTGATTTAAAAATATATATCATTGAAAGTGTTATGGAAGAGTAATTTAGAAATTAATAATATGAAAACATGACATTTTGCAGGTTCTTTTATTTCAAATGATGATATACCTAGGCACCTAAAATTACTTTGATAAATTATAGGCTTTGTATAAAAAACCTCCTACCTCGTACCTACCTACCCACGTAGGTGGGACATGATACAGTCTTTGAAGGGTTCAATTTTAAAGATTATTAAATCTTAGTTTATGATGAATTATAGATGAATTAATGCACCATATGCCTTTATTTATGGATCTGTCATCTGCCTAGTCATGAAATAAAGCCGGAATTGCAGACTTATTCTGACTTATTTTGGGTCGTTTATTTTTCTGTTATTTCAAAAGGAACATAAAGGGTGTCCTACACATAAAAAGACTCATCCTCAGGCATTTAGTTTTGGAACACCCTGTACATATCTTTGTTTACAATTTAGTTTGTTTAAAAAGTAATTTCACAACACATTATCATTAAGTATCTTACAATATTTTATTCATACAAAAATGCAAAAAGCAATTAGACATGATATCATTACTCTAATTTGAATTATAATGCAGACTCAAGTACTATACTGGATTTACTTTATAAGCTTATTGGTTGAGAGTTTATGCATGTTCAACATGAATACTGAAAGCAGACTCAATAGTTCAATACTCAGAATTAAGCAACAGTTATTTAAATTCATGGTTTATTGCCATCATCAGATTTAGGTCTCCATCCCTCTTTGATAAACTTCATTAAACGTCGTACTTCTAATCGGCCCATTTTGAATTCTGTCTCCAGTAAACTTTGGTCTAGAGACATCAGGAAGTCTCCATCAATAAGATTCTCCGCAAAAACCTGAATGTAATTTTCAAGATTAAGCTGCTGTAAACATTGTCCCACTTGCTGTAGACTTAAAGATGACAGATCCCTTGGGACATCATCAAGATGCAGTTGGTCATCCAAGTGAATCCCAGGATGAGGCCCTGTAGCTTGATTGGTTGATTTTACAAGTTCTGGATAATCATCATCGGAGGGACTCTCAGATGGAACAGTGGCCTGCTCATTTTCTACAACCATTTTCTGGATTCTGTCGTGTTCCGTGTCAGTTTCAATGACAGGTTTTGTTGATCTCAGTATTTGAACATTTTCATATACCGGGCTTCTACCTGATGGTTTCTTGTTTTTAAAGTTAGGTTTTGGTTTCACAGCTGGTCTGATATTTGCTGTAACATCTTCTGTCTCTGGCATAGCTTGGGATGCTTCAGTTGGAGTTGCACTTGACCTTTCATCTTCAACAATAACTGGAGCTTGTTGTTGTAATGGCCAGCTTGCTCTTTGATGTTTTGAAACTCTGGGTTTTGGGGCTGGTTTAGGTGGGGTGCGCGAGCTTGAGTCTAGGCTTTGTTGGGTCATGATAGGACTCCTTCGATTTTCAATTTGAATTGGCTGGTCTATGGGACTTGTCGTGGGACTTTGTTGGTCCTTGATGGGATTTGATTGGGTTATGGTCTTACTTGCTTTGTTTATGATAGAATCCTGTGGGCTTGTCATGGGACTTTGTGGGTCCTTGATGGGATTTGATTGGGTTATGGTCTGACTTGGTTTGTCTATGATAGAACCCTGTGGGCTTGTCATGGGACTTTGTTGGTCCTTGATGGGATTTGATTGAGTTATGGTCTTACTTGCTTTGTCTATGATAGAACCCTGTGGGCTTATCATGGGACTTTGTTGGTCCTTGATGGGATTTGATTGGGTTATGGCCTGACTTGGTTGGGTTGTGTCAGAACCATGTGGAGTGATTCTAGTTTGGTCTATAAAAGGACTATTTGGGTCCCTAATATGACTTTGAGGGTTTGAAGTTAAACTAATTTGGTCTGAGTTGGGACTCTGTGGGCCCATGGTAGGACTTTGCTGGTTTGACAATGGAATTCCTGGGCTTCTGCTTTTTACAGAAATATCTGGAAGATTTTCAAATGAATCGTCATGTTTCTTAATCAGTTGTGTCAACTCTGTTACCATAGCAACATTCTGCTCATTTCTCATTCCAAACATCTTCTTGGTTAGTTCAGCCATCACAGGTGCTGACTCTGCCTTAAGTGAATTATCATAGATATTTGCATCACTTGCACTCTGATTGTCTCCTTTATGTGGATCCTCAGATTGATCATCACCCACCTCATCTGCTGCTTCAGGAACATTTGGCTTCTCATCTTCTACAAAAGCCTTCATTTGGGTTACATCATTTTCATTGTCTGTAGAGACTGGTGTACCAATATGGAGATAACTATCGCGACCTTCATAAATGCTTGGTGCTGCCATCTTCATTACGTAACCAGATTCTGATGATGGAATGAGGTTGGTAAATTCATATGGATTGGAAAACCCTTCTAGTTTGACATATTCTAGAGTTTCATAGATGTTTTCTGATCTTGTAGGAAGAGCTATGTTGTTCAGTTTTTCTTGAGCTGATGTCTTGTCGCGAACCATCATTATATCTGGAATTATCATTAAATCTGTAATGATTGACATATGTTCATTGATGAGCATATATCTAATGATCAACAAAATTCTGGAATGATCACCATGATATCTTTTATTAATAACAATTCATCGAGAATGATCAATATTTTTAATCTCTCATATTTATTTTCATTGTCTAATTGGTTCATTGATGATGTGACTTCAAAATAAGAAGTCAAATGTAGAGAGTGAAATCATAAAACATCTACATTTAGTTAACTAATATTGACCCATTCAGTGAGTGAGAAGTATAACGTAGAATTGCCCCAAAAGAATGATATATTTACATTATATATCTGGAATCAAAAAGAACTCAGCTGGAATGATGAGCAACATTGGCTTTTTAACCTAATAACCATAATAAAACCTTGTGGGGCATAATTTGACAAATACCCACCATACCTTTTTGTCCTTTTATGTTGTCAAAGTTGATTTGGCAAAGTGTGTCTGTGAGAACACCCATATAGGAGTAAAAGTCTGCTCTTGGATGACCTATGAACCCTGTAGCCACCTGGACTTCAATCTCAGCATTAAGGGGAATCAGGGCTATGTTCTCTGGGTTCATGATACCTGCAATGCAATAATTCATATCTGATATTGGAGTAAAGGTCTGCTCTTGGATGACCTATGAACCCTGTAGCCACCTGAACCTCAATCTCAGCATTAAGGGGAATCAGGGCTATGTTCTCTGGGTTCATGATACCTGCAATTCAATAATTCATATCATGATATAGGAGTAAAGGTCTGCTCTTGGATGACCTATGTACCCTGTAGCCACCTGGACTTCAATCTCAGCATTAAGGGGAATCAGGGCTATGTTCTCTGGGTTCATGATACCTGCAATGCAATAATTCATATCATGATATAGGAGTAAAGGTCTGCTCTTGGATGACCTATGTACCCTGTAGCCACCTGGACTTCAATCTCAGCATTTAGGGGAATCAGGGCTATGTTCTCTGGGTTCATGATACCTGCAATGCAATAATTCATATCATGATATAGGAGTAAAGGTCTGCTCTTGGATGACCTATGTACCCTGTAGCCACCTGGACTTCAATCTCAGCATTTAGGGGAATCAGGGCTATGTTCTCTGGGTTCATGATACCTGCAATGCAATAATTCATATCATGATATAGGAGTAAAAGTCTGCTCTTGGATGACCTATGAACCCTGTAGCCACCTGGACTTCAATCTCAGCATTAAGGGGAATCAGGGCTATGTTCTCTGGGTTCATGATACCTGCAATGCAATAATTCATATCATGATATAGGAGTAAAGGTCTGCTCTTGGATGACCTATGTACCCTGTAGCCACCTGGACTTCAATCTCAGCATTTAGGGGAATCAGGGCTATGTTCTCTGGGTTCATGATACCTGCAATGCAATAATTCATATCATGATATAGGAGTAAAAGTCTGCTCTTGGATGACCTATGAACCCTGTAGCCACCTGGACTTCAATCTCAGCATTAAGGGGAATCAGGGCTATGTTCTCTGGGTTCATGATACCTGCAATGCAATAATTCATATCATGATATAGGAGTAAAAGTCTGCTCTTGGATGACCTATGAACCCTGTAGCCACCTGGACTTCAATCTCAGCATTAAGGGGAATCAGGGCTATGTTCTCTGGGTTCATGATACCTGCAATGCAATAATTCATATCATGATATAGGAGTAAAAGTCTGCTCTTGGATGACCTATGAACCCTGTAGCCATCTGGACTTCAATCTCAGCATTAAGGGGAATCAGGGCTATGTTCTCTGGGTTCATGATACCTGCAATGCAATAATTCATATCATGATATAGGAGTAAAAGTCTGCTCTTGGATGACCTATGAACCCTGTAGCCACCTGGACTTCAATCTCAGCATTAAGGGGAATCAGGGCTATGTTCTCTGGGTTCATGATACCTGCAATGCAATAATTCATATCATGATATAGGAGTAAAGGTCTGCTCTTGGATGACCTATGAACCCTGTAGCCATCTGGACTTCAATCTCAGCATTAAGGGGAATCAGGGCTATGTTCTCAGGGTTCATGATACCTGCAATGCATTGATTCATATTTGATATAGGAGTAAAGGTCTGCTCTTGGATGACCTATGAACCCTGTAGCCACCTGGACTTCAATCTCAGCATTAAGGGGAATCAGGGCTATGTTCTCTGGGTTCATGATACCTGCAATGCAATAATTCATATCATGATATAGGAGTAAAGGTCTGCTCTTGGATGACCTATGTACCCTGTAGCCACCTGGACTTCAATCTCAGCATTTAGGGGAATCAGGGCTATGTTCTCTGGGTTCATGATACCTGCAATGCAATAATTCATATCATGATATAGGAGTAAAAGTCTGCTCTTGGATGACCTATGAACCCTGTAGCCACCTGGACTTCAATCTCAGCATTAAGGGGAATCAGGGCTATGTTCTCTGGGTTCATGATACCTGCAATGCAATAATTCATATCATGATATAGGAGTAAAAGTCTGCTCTTGGATGACCTATGAACCCTGTAGCCACCTGGACTTCAATCTCAGCATTAAGGGGAATCAGGGCTATGTTCTCTGGGTTCATGATACCTGCAATGCAATAATTCATATCATGATATAGGAGTAAAGGTCTGCTCTTGGACGACATATGAACCCTGTAGCCACCTGGACTTCAATCTCAGCATTAAGGGGAATCAGGGCTATGTTCTCTGGGTTCATGATACCTGCAATGCAATAATTCATATCATGATATAGGAGTAAAGGTCTGCTCTTGGATGACCTATGTACCCTGTAGCCACCTGAACCTCAGTCTCAGCATTAAGAGTACCAACAGTACTTTTGGCATAGCCCAATACAGTAATTTACTTATATCAGAGTTCACAGCTGCCTGACTGCCAATGGCAATCACTTCTCACTCTTGGCAATGAACTTGGAAAAACTGGTTGCCTATTGGACAATGGGCTCATATCATTATACAATGCATATCAAAGAAAACACAACAGATTGTTATCTCGTAAAAGTACAAAACCAGTGATAACAGCATTGATTTCATTCAATGTACCATAAAGCCATGTGTCTCCTCTTTCCAATGGTATATCATTCGTTGATTTTGGGTCATGATTGGGCGAGTAATCATTCTTTTTGCAAAGTGGGCCAAAATTAGCTTGGAACCCATTTATAAACAGAGCCCAATGCAATATTGGAAGAAAACATAAAACCAATGATGACTGCATCCTTTTCATTCAATGTACAAAAAAGCCAAATTACTCCTCTTTGCAATGGAATGTCATTCCTTCACAGGGAGTCATATGGCTGGCCAAATAATCAGTATTTTGCAAAGAGGGGCAAAATTCAGCTCGGACCCAAGTTTTAGACATTTCAAATGTCAGTGCATGGGGCATAGGAGCTATTGGATGAAGGTGTGGCAGGTGTGACATAGACAGTAAAGTGTTCATACTCATAATCTTGCAAGAATACATCCTACACACCTCCAAATTGCCACCACTTCTTAGCACACAAAGATGCCCCCATCTCTCCATGCCATTCATGACTCAGCTGAGTCATCTGTGGATTAAGGTGGAGAAAAGCAGCCCATTGGCATTTCTTTCTCTAAGTTTTGCAATATCTGGTGGAGGAATGGTGACCACAAATGCTCCTGAGATAGCTCCGAAAGAAAAACTCACAACAATTCAAGTCAGGAGAACTTCCATTGGCACTTAGCCCCTGCACTCACTTTTGCAATATCTGAAACTTGGTCAAGAGACAATTTTGACCCACTGTGCAAATGGAAGAATTTCTCAACCAACCATGACCACATGTGAATGAATGACATATCATTGCAAAGAAGAGGGATGTGGCTTTATGGTACATTGAATGAAATTGATGTAGTCATCACCAGTTTTGTGATTTTATGAGATAACTGCTTGTTGTGTTTTTTGATACGCCCTGTATTACCAGGAATAGGAGGTCGTTAGTTCATTTAGTCCAAGTTCAACAATCAAGTGTTCTCTTTTGATGTTTATAAATTACATAAATATGATTTTATCAAAGTATGATAAAAGGGTAGTCAATTGCAACATGATTTAGCAGAACTGGCTAATACCTACATTTGTATATGGGGTTACATATGAAGAAAGATTGCTGGATTTTCTCCGTTATTGTTATATTTGACTTCTGCAGTGGTGTCGCTTGCTTTGTTGATTTCCCTAGATAGAACGACTGTGGTTGTTTAGTGTCAAATCGCCCCTGTAGTGGGAGCTTGTTATTGTCTATGATTTTGGAAAGTGACGCAGGTTTTTGAACTGAAAATATAAATATGAAGTGCTACTTAAAATGTTTAGCTGCTTGTTAAGTAGAATGTTGTTGTAATATGACACATTTCGTTGTTATCAGTGATATATTTCAGGACATATACTTCTTAACTACTGTTTTATCTTTTATTAATTATTAATATGAAACTGACATTTTGGGTAATAGTGTTGTTTAGAATTAGCATTAATGGCAATCCTTGCAAATGAACTTGGAAAATGAGTTGCCTTTTTGACAATGGATTGAATGTCAATATGTTAAATTGGGCAATCAAATAAACTTTGACAATGAGTTGCCTATTGGGCAATGGACTGAATGCCAATATGTTAAATAAGACAATCATCAACATCAGTCATTTTAGTAAGTACAATAACTCACATTTTCCCTTCTTGTCCATGAGTTCTAATTTGACAGGATAGTCAATGGGGATGCTGTAAAGTTGGCTGGAATTACTGTCTCGTGCTATAAGACGTGTCTGTGTGACACATCTCTCAACTCTGTACATCTATAATGTAAACATTATAAGATGTCATTGGCATTGGCATGAAATCTCTAAATGCTAGAAAATCAGAATCATTCAAAGAGATGTGTTGGAAAGAGGAGGAAATAACCCAGAATTCTTCATTTAAAGATAAACTGGTTCATCTTTGGATTGTTGGTTATTAACTCTTGTTGTGTTTTGGGAGTAAAAGAGCTAATCACAATAACAGATGAGGTCATTTTAGGGACTGAGTCAAAATGTCTTAACTTCATTATCTTATCTAAGAACTCTCTGCTCTGTTCATTAAATATAAGATAAATTATGCCCTACTCAATGTTCAGTGTTTTTCAATGACCATATGTGTTTTTTTTACAAATGGAATTTTTTACCCCCCCCCCCCCCTCCTAATGGCATAAGACACAATATAATCTGTCCTGGTCCCATAATTTTATGCTGTAAATGGTAAAGAACAACTTACTTCATGTGTTCCCCAAGAGTCCGCTTCCGACTTGCCGCACCACCCAGATGACACATAAATCAAAATGGGATATTTCTTCCCATAATGCCTTGCAACCTCTGTCAAGTTGTAATTTCTGTTTGTTAAATCAAACTCTTTATCCTTGTTCTGTATCATGAGCCAGAATGCCGTGGATGCAGTATTTGCTTCTGCCATTTTGTGATTTTTCAGTTCAGGTTTTGTTAAACAGTTTCATTTCGTACTCTGTACCTCATATAACCTTGTTTGTGTGGAGGATCACATACACTTTTGAAATGAATTGTGATTACAAACAAGTATATATTCTGTGTAGACAGTTCAAGTAGTTGGTATATTTCATCTGTTTAATCATTAAAAACAAATTTATCTCAATAGTACACCTTTTTTTCTTTCTAGTAAGAATATATATTATAAGACCTTAGTTAAATATTAACCATTTTGATCAGAAGTAAAAAATATCTTGGTTGATGTCATGCTCACATGTATTGTAGCTTTTATTTCTAAATGTTAATCTTATAGAGAAATCATTTGATGAGAATGTGGTAGGTACTATACACCAGTAATATTTCAGTCATAATCTACCAAAATTATTTTTGTCCCATTTTTATTTGCCCACCCTGTATACATAATTTTCAGAATAAATAATGATCATACATAATAATACCCTTCATAATAAGGAGCTCACAATAGTGGATTGGTTTCATTCAACTGCTATAGTTTTTATGTCACCACCAAAAAGTGGTGACATATTGTTATGGTCTCCGTTTTTTTTTTACGGTGATCGGCGGTTGGCGATCGGCGTCCGTAACAAATTCTTACAACTTCCAATAACTTAACAAATACTGTTTAGACTGACTTCAATTTTTTTCAAAATCATCTATATGTTTCCAGAAGCTCAAATCTGACTTTATATTTAAGATTTGACCTTTAATGACCTTTTCAAGGTAAAAAAGGTCAAAAAGGTCTTTTTTCGACTTGCTTCAAATTGACCATTTTTCTTCAAATCTTCTACAAGTTATCAGAAGTTCAAATCTGACTTAAGATTTGAGATTTGACCTTCTCAAGGTCAAAAAGGTATTTTTTCAACTTGCTTCAAATTGACCAGTTTCTTTTTTCAAGATCATCTACAAGTTATCAGAAGTTCAAATCTGACTTTAGATTTGGATTTGACCTTCAATGACCTTCTCAAGCTCAAAAAAGGTCAAAAAGGTCTTTTTTCAACTTGCATCAAATTGACCAGTTTCTTTTTTCAAGATCATCTACAAGTTATCAGAAGTTCAAATCTGACTTTAGATTTGGATTTGACCTTCAATGACCTTCTCAAGCTCAAAAAAGTTTGAAAGGGTCTTTTTTCAACTTGCTTCAAATTGACCAATCTTTTTTCTTTTTTCAAAATCATCTACAAGTTCTCAAGTCATAAGTTCAAATCTGACTATAGATTTGACCTTCAATGACACCCTCAAGGTCAAAAAAGATCTGACCTACTCTGACATTCTCAAGGTCAAAAAGGTCTTTTTTCATCTTGCTTTAAATTGACCAATTTTTTTCAAAATCATCTACAAGTTCTCAGAAGAGATTTCACCTTCAATGACCTTCTCAGGGTTAAAAAAGGTCTTTTTAAAACTTGCTTCAAATTGACCAATTTATTTTTTCAAAACCATCTACAAGTTTTAAGAAATTCAAATCTGACTAAGATTGGACTCATAATATTGTAAGCAACAAGGTGGTAACATTTTGTCATGTTAATGCCTTGTGTTTAGTGTTAGCTTGAAATACCCTTCATAATAAGGTGCTTACAATAATGTTTTGGTTTCATTCAACTGCTAGTTTTGTTTAGTGTTCAAGTAAGCTTGAATTTTTTCACTCATAACATAATTCCACATCACTATTGTTGCAACACAACATCTCATTGATTTTATTTCAAAATGATAAAGAATACAGTATTTGCATTTTCTACCATTAAGGCTAAAATGCCATCAACGTTTCTGAATCCTATACTGAGGTGTGGTATCCTCGGTTGTCATTCACTGAGCTGAACTGAAAAAGTATTTTATGTTATCATTGTCAAATAATCATGGGTGTTTTGGTTGAGTGTCATGGGATATTTCAGATAATCATGGGTGTTTTGGTTGAGTGCCATGGGATATTTCAAATAATCATGGGTGTTTTAGTTGAGTGCCATGGGATATTTCAGATAATCATGGGTGTTTTAGTTGAGTGCCATGGGATATTTCAAATAAGCATGGGTGTTTTGGTTGAGTGCCATGGGATATTTCAGATAATCATGGGTGTTTTAGTTGAGTACCATGGGATATTTCAGATAATCATGGGTGTTTTAGTTGAGTGCCATGGGATATTTCAAATAAGCATGGGTGTTTTGGTTGAGTGCCATGGGATATTTCAACATTATCAAAAGTCTACTTACATTATCTGTATCATAAGTATCTATATCAGACTCTCCCATCCAGCCCATATCCACCTTTACAATAATAGGGTACTGCTCCTTATAATGCCTATGAGCCTCTGGCAATTTATAAGTGTTTGTGGTCCACTCAAAATCAACTGGAGGTTTGTACCCTATTTGAAACTCATGACTTTTGAAGTCAACATCACCATTTGCCTTAAACATTGTTTCTGCTCTATTTTGTTCTGTATACTTGTTGCTGGAGCTACCAGCTTTGTGAAATTAACTTACAATATGTTGTTGTTTTTTACATCTTTCGTTTTCAGTGATGAGGCATATAATGTTTCTGAATGATAAGACCATTGACACCAACTTCTGTGATATTACCAGGAAGCCCATATAGTAATTAATCTATGATTGCTTAAAATAGCACTACAAAATTAATTTTCCGATTAGAATTCTGTTAATCTGTTTTTGTATGTTATTCAAATTATCATCTTTTTCCAATTACATGTATCTCATTGATATTAAATTCTTTGAAAATAAATCGAAATGAATTGTACAAGTCCCAGACTTCTAGGAAGCGATTGCCAGCTTGGAAACCACACATTCTAGGGGAACATATGAAACTTGATACCTACAGTAAAATATTAAATGTTTGGAACTATATACTTTGAATTTAAAAAATAAGCAATCAAAGGACCATATTGAAACAGTATATGTAAAAATAGAAACATTTATACATGTCCTAACTTTTGTATATTTTAGTTTGTTTTGTAGTTTAGCTATCATTTCTATGGCTTCTTATATTTTGATGCTTCTCTGCCATGTTATTTTCGGAAAAATTAACATGGCCGACACTCCCTAAATTACAAAAGGACACAGCTTTACTACACATTATATTTAACTATCTGAAATATAAAAAAGTTAAGACAAGTACATATGTTTCTATTTTTTATATACTGCTGCAATATAGTCATTTGATTGCTTATTTTTTAAATTCAAAGTAGTTCCAAACATTTAAAATTTTACCGTACAATATGCTGGGACTGAAACCTGAGACATTACATATAAAAAGAGCAGCACTACACTTCTATAAAAGTTCCATATTTAGCAAAAATCAAAATATAACACAGTCATAAATAACCAGTTTTTGCTAAATGGATGAAATTAAAAAAAAGAACCTTACAGGGAAATGTCATTGAAGTGACAATTGAGTTTTTCCTGATTGACATATGTTTTGTGATATGCAAATGAGGGATACCAACTGTGTTCCTGGATAAATAGTTTTTGATTATCGATTTTATTTCACTCATCCTTGTTTTTAAAATCTTTCAAAAGTCAGCTGAAAATTTCATTCTTCAATAATACAACTGCTATGAATAAATTAATTTCTATGAAATATGTACAAAGGTATTGCTGACATTTCAAAGTCTACTATGACTCACATCATCCGTGTAGTATGTATCTATTTCTGACTTGCCAAGCCATCCTGAATCCACCTGTATGATAATAGGGTACTGCGCCTTATAATGCCTATGAGCCTCTGGCAAGTTGTAAAGCTTTGTTGTCCACTCAAGCTCACATGGAGGCGTGTACTCCATTTGGAATTCATGACTGTTAAAGTCTAGGTTACCATCTGCTTTCAACATTGACATTTTGGTTATGCCACAATTTTGTTATAATCTGTTCTTATCTTATTTCCTGTTTTTTTTAGATATTGTCCAAAGTCCAGTAAAATCTAGGCTTCATATATTACTTAATTATCTAAAGTAGGGATAGAGCTGGATAAAAGAATATACAAGGTGTCACAAATAAAATAAAGACAAATATGGAACAACTCTGTGAGTGATAAAAGAATATACAAGGTGTCACAAATAAAATAAAGACAAATACGGAACAACTCTGTGAGTGATAAAAGAATATACAAGGTGTCACAAATAAAATAAAGACAAATATGGAACAACTCTGTGAGTGATAAAAGAATATACAAGGTGTCACAAATAAAATAAAGACAAATACGGAACAACTCTTTGAGTGATAAAGGAATATTCTCCTTTTGTGGTTCACTCTTTATAATCAATAAGATTCAAAAATATGTATTTAAAAAGTCCCCCAAAAGGACAAAATTTTATTGGTCGATATTTTTCCACGATGCATTTCGCATAGCTATTTGCGTGACCCAAAAGTACTAAATCAAACTAATTACACAATCTTGTTTTTACACCAGAACGCTAAATAAAACAATGACACCATCGGAAGCATTGTTCTTTGTCATTGCTGTAATGTACCGGGTACAATCAATAAAAGCTTGTATAATCAACAACAAAAAATCGGAAACAAGTACTATAGATTTGCTTTCAGACACTGAACCAATTGACCTAGACAATAGGGACATGTCTTCTTTAGTCAACTGCTCAGTCATTTGTGGGTTTTCAAAGTAACTTTATCTTGTAATTTGAAGGTGAGAACTTTTATTAGGTTGTTTCATCGATGTTGCAGTAATGCAGTAAGTCATTTGAAAATATTTTTTCTTATATGGCAACTAGTCATCAGATCAGATGACCTTCTCTACGGAAATATCCCCTCTTTTCACACATTGTTTTTACAACTTTGTGAGCCAAAACAATGATAATAATATCTGATATATGAAGTTTAATAAGAGACCAATCGTTTGTGATACTTTTTTTGTCCGATTGGAGGAAGATTTGATTGAACATAGTGATTGTAAAATACGTATGAAAATCCACATGCTAAACCAATTAGGGAAAAACAAGGAAGTTGTCCCCTCACGAATTGCATCATGGGTAAAATTTTGTCCATATAAGGAAAGACTTCTGTGTCTCCATGTTTGAAGGGCGAATCGTAAAAAGGAGAATTAAGTATCTGTATCATCATCTATGTATTGTCTTTTCCATTTTCCACATTCAGCTCTGCATCAATCATAATAGAGGTGATTTAAAGCCAACTAAAGTGTCTCATTTCTCAGTAAGAAGGGAAGTAGTGCACTCTCCATTATGATTTTCCCATGAAAAAAATTAATTCATTTGGTTTTTCAAAATGAGTATACTGCGTTTATTATTACATTTATATGTAAACTAGTATCTTGTTGCCCTATATTCAGCACTGTATTGATGTATAGGCCACTTATTAGGGTCATAATTTAAACCGCTATTTCCAATTCAAGAAAGGACTGCAAAAATTAGCATCACTGCAGATATCTTGCGGTACCGCGAGCATTACGTTAACATTGTGCAGTGTCTCTATACTTACCGTAAGTCACTTGCTGAAAATTCAGAGTAATAAATCGTCTTGAGAACCCAATTAACATTTTTTAAGGGTTGAGGAACAGGTGGTCTGACAGGCAATTTTATTAACATGCATATCTGAAAGTTTCATTAGGCAATTCTATTGACTTTTAAAGAAAAGTTTTTATTATCCATTTTCCCATTTCCCACATTCAGCTCAGCATCAATCATGATGGACGTCATTTAGAGTGTGCCAACTAAAGTGACTTATTTTTCAGTAAGAAATTTACAAATTACAAAGAATTTTTAAATGGTAATTGGAAAATGAGTTCTCTTTATCATGTGAAATGTTCAGCTTTTGCGATGAATGCAAAAAAGAGTAATTCCCATTTTATTTGGTTACAGTTTTTGAACACTCAGTATTGATCAAATCCTCATGATATGTGTGGTGGTTGCATAAAATTATTCATTTTGTATGTTCAATGAAGTTATATAGATTTATTATACTGTATTTTATGAACAGACATTTTACAGTATAATTGCATAATAAAAATAATAAAAATGAGTTTAACTGAGGAACCAAATAGGGATTTCAGGATAATAAGTGAACTTTTAAATACTACTCTCACAGGATGAAAATACAATCTTCAATCTTTCTCAGTATATCGAGCTATATAATGGTTATAAATTATTGCATATCCAAAGCCAAGACCTGATAGAAACTTCAATAAATTAATATTCTCTCAAATTATGTCAAGAAATGTAAAAGTTGTTTAGTTTGGGCTGATCAAACTAGAATATTACTCAACATTTCAAAGTCTACTGTAACTTACATCATCTGTATAATAGGTATCTATTTTAGACTCGCCAAACCATCCTAAATCCACCTTTACAATAATAGGGTACTGCGCCTTATAATGCCTATGAGCCTCTGGCAAGTTGTAAAGCTTTGTTGTCCACTCAAACTCACATGGAGGCGTGTACCCCATTTGGAACTCACGGCTGTTAAAGTCTACTGTACCATCCTCTTTAAACATCGACATTATCGTTATGCTGCAATTTTATTTTTGGTTTGACTTTATTTTTTTTGAATTGTTACCTTGAGACCTACATGTACTCACTAAGTAATTAATTTTGATTGAGACAATAAATCTTTATAATAGAAGGTCAAAGTCAACAGTATTGAGTCGAGAGTTGACTAAAGAAAGATTAAAATGAAACATTTACCAAAAATGTACTATTGGCGATCATTAGTAACTCAGTAATGGTACTTAAAAAGTACAAAAATACTTAAATAGTACCATAATATGTATATAATGTAGCAATTTTTGTAAGTTTATTGTACCATTATGTTAATAACAGCTCATACTTTTATATATAACTGATGACTGTGTTATATACTGTAGACAAAAAACACGTAAAAAATTGTATAGTGACCCATATGTCGGAGAAACTGACATGTTTTAAAGTCAATAAAAGACATATAGTCAATGTTAAACCAATCAAGATCAAGTATTAAGAATAAGTTATTACATTAATTGCTATACATTTCCTGGAAGTGGCATGTTGTCATGTTAATGTGGTTTGTTTAGTTCAGGTCTACTAGACTTACACCAATGCGAACATCAGTTATGACCTTGCTAACTACGTTCCTTGCACTCGAACGAAGATTCTCACATCGCGAACGTGAAATCTTTAGTCGCGCACCACCATTTCCTCGCTCCCGAAACATATTTCTCCACTTGCGCACAGAGATCTGTGCTCGCGAACAATTTGAACATAGTGCATCTGGTGTGTGGTTCGGAGTAGTTAATGTCTTGGAAAGAACATAATTGTCATCAATTTCTGGAGTTTGCCAATAGCAGAATCAATTGCATTGTCATTTAGGTGTATTTTTAAATAACCAATAATACCAATATACATGTAGGTGAGGTGTATATAGTCACAGAGACTTTTGGGAAACATATTTCCTACCCCCAAACCCAAGGAGGGTCGGTGTCCAACTCAATATTCCTTGCCGATATGTTATGTCCTAATAGTCATGTGATTCACATGTGAAAGCTTGTCAAAGTGCACTAAAGAACAATTTGGTAATGTTATTACTATAATTGTCATCTCTTGACTAAATACTTGGTCTGGAGATGAACATTTTAGTAATATTACAACAAGATTGCTCTAGCCAGCAAAAAGATCGAGAAGGAATCTTGGTTGCTAATCCTTCTTGCCACCAACCTTAATTACATCAAAAGTATATACTCACGTCATCTGTGTACCAGGTGTCTATTTCAGACTCTCCCATCCAACCCATATCCACTTTTAAGATAATAGGGTACTGCGCCTTATAATGCCTATGAGCCTCTGGCAAGTTGTAAAGCTTTGTGGTCCACTCAAACTCACATGGAGGCGTGTACCCCATTTGGAACTCATGACTGTTGAAGTCTACTGTACCATCCTCTTTGAACATCGGCATTTTGGTTATGCCACAATATTGTTTTTGCCTCAACTTTCGATATTTTAGAATTGTTATCCTTACATACTCACTTTGTTATTATTTTTATCATATCTTGATATTCCACGAATTTAGTTGGGATTAATTATTCATTAATCATCTTATCATTATAATGATCTGTTTATTTGATAATTTCAGTTTTTATTGTATATTTCAACATATTCAAGTGATTCCAATTTGTTTTAAATGAACATCATGTTTTCCAATAAAACTTTTTATTGTATATTTCTATTTTCTTCATATGACAACAACTGAATTCTTTATGTCAACGTGTTTTCTTCACAATATTGCACCTTGATCATTCAATTGTATGGATTTTACCAGTGTTAATGTGATATACTGCTGATAGTATATTTAGTTTCTGTACTATTTGCTCATGATTTAGAGAATACTTCAAAATCATTACGAGAGAGCTTATCTTTTTGAGGTCTATTTGACCTTGCTTGTCATTGAAATTTTAGTTGTTTTTTTATATGAACATGACTGTTTGATTGCTTATTTTTATTTTTTATTTAGGATTCAGTAAAACCTTCTAAGCTAAACACTGTTGGGACATGCTTAAAGTGTTCAGATTAGAAGGTGTTCGCATTTCGAGGTTTTGCATTCGTTGAATTGGGATTTGAAGAAATGTGAACACATTTTCAAAAGATATAATTTGAAGGTGTTTATTTAAGCCAAGTGTTTTTATTAACGAGTTTTACTGTATTTTTTTATTATACAAACAGGAAAAATTGATATAAGAATTTCATTGTTTACCAGTAAACAGAACTTTACAATGGTTAATATATTGAAAGCAAAACTGAAAGAATTTATTTTACAAGCATCAATGGTAGTACTTCGTATACAATTCTATTCAAGTCTCCTTCATTTAACTTGTGTACAAGGAAGTAAAATTACATTGGATATAACTTTCAATTGAAGTTTTGGTTTCGGTGAAGCAATAAGTCGCAATAAGCGGAAAAATGTAATTTTGGTCATCCTGACATTCATAGTAAAATTACATTGGATATAACTTTCAATTGAAGTTTTGGTTTCGGTGAAGCAATAAGTCGCAAAAAGCGGAAAAATGTAATTTTGGTCATCCTGTCATTCTCGAATTTAAGTAATAAATAAAACTCTGACATATGCAATTATTGAAATATGAGACCCAATGTGTGTTTCCGTGCATTTTCAAATGCTAAGAGATTTTGAATGATTGATGTCAACCATCATATACCTATTTAAATATTGTAAAATGTTATTATCTTTTTTAATACTGTTTCATCATTGGTCTCAGCTCCTTAACTTTTGCCTTGTTTTTGAGAAATTGACTTTTTACCATAAGAGTTACTGGTGCCATTTTACTTAATATTATTGTTATTAGTGTTTTTGTATGCTTGTTTGGTTGATTGGTTTGTTAATTGGTAGGTTAGGTTAGTTGTTTGTGGTTTAAGTTGGAGATATTTTATTGAATATGCCAATGGATTGTGTAAAATCAAATTTGAATTAGAAATTGTATTTTGAAAGTTAAATCATTATTAAACAAATGTTTATTCTCATGCTATGCTTCTGGTTATCTCTCCAGGTTGAGCAAGATGAGATTCGTCGCAGATATGCCAGCGTTCACTATACGGACACACAGCTAAATAGAAAGTACCAGGATCTAGATAACTTCTATAATGAAGAGCTCCATACAGAACCACCTCCTTTGCATGTTGGCACACACAAGCCTGGTGATAATAACATCAGAAAAAGGTACCCAGTAAGCTTAATATACACTATATATCAGGTGTCTTAAAAAATCTAACCACTTTTTACATGAATTTTTAGCAATAGATAAACCAAATTTAATGAACTTTTTACTGAGTAACCAAATATCATCATCACCACGTGTGCAAAATATAAATGAGATCAGTTAAATATTATGCAAGTATTTTAATAGTATTTTCATTTTCATATTTTGGGACACCCAATATTATGTAGCTATATTGTATATGGTGCTTAATTTTGGCATAGGCATTCTCCAATATAAAATCACAATAATAAAGATGCATTTGTATAAATTTCTCTCAATTTGTTTCAAAAGTGCTTACCAATGTTCTAGAGATCACCAATGAAAATTCTCTCACATTTAGCAATACATACACACTAATTTTGTCAGGGAGTTTTGAGTGCTAAATAAGTGCACAAAAGTTGTCTGCAGCTAGTTTTGGGTTGTATTGTTTAAAAATCTAAAGCAATTATTATCCCATCGAACGAAGTTCGGAGGGAAATAGGGAATGCCTCCGTCCGTCCGTCCGTCTGTCCGGGCAATAACTCAAATACCGTTGGCCTGATTTTGTTCATATTTTGTACACATATACCTTATGGAGGTAGAAGTTAAAAATCTAAAGCAATTATTATCCCATCGAACGAAGTTCGTTCGAAGGGAAATAGGGAATGCCTCCGTCCGTCCGTCCGTCTGTCCGGGCAATAACTCAAATACCGTTGGCCTGATTTTGTTCATATTTTGTACACATATACCTTATGGAGGTAGAAGTTCTGCTCGAAAGCCGATCATTTAAAAATGGGCGGCCATTTTAGTGCTGATTTTACAGTAATTTAGGTGCAATATGTAAAACTGTAATGTAGAACATTAACTAGATAACGGCAACTCCGCGGAGTAGCAAATCCCAACGAACAAAATATCAATTACCGAATTCCAATCAATTATACTCATTACTTTGGTTGAAAATGAAAAAATTAGATTTTAGAATTGCAAATTCCTGCAAAGCAGCCATTTTGAATTTTCTGAGGTACAAATCTGAAAAATAATACCATAATTTTGATCTACTCCAAAATTCCTTCAATTTGAGTATAATATAGCCATACTTTGAAGGGATCGAAAAATTATTGCGAAATCGTACATAAGACGGCCATTTTGAATTTTACGAGGCTCGAATCAGAAAAAAGATACAATATTTGCAATCTACTCTTAATTGCCTTTCATTTGAGTTTAATAAAGCTATACTTCAGAAAGATCTAAAAATAAGCGAAAATTTCTGTTTTCCTGTCTCCCCATACATGGCCCCTGGGGGTCAGGATGAAAAACACAGAATATATGTGAAAGAGATAAATGTTGTGAATACACTACCAAAATTTCAAACAATAATATTAATTACTTTGGTTTAGAATGAAAAATTTATGATTTTTGCGAAAAAGTCCCGTCATTTTTAGAGCGGCGGCCATCTTGAAAAAATTTTTTTTTGCGTAAAACTATTTACCAATATACATCTTTCCACTAAATATGAAGAAAATCTGTCAACTAGTATTTGAGTTATCTTCCGGAAAGACGGCTGGACTGACTGACTGACTGACGGACTGACGGACGGACGGACGGACGGACGGACGGACGGACGGACGGAGGGCTTCACTATATCCCTAACGAACTACGTTCGTTGGGATAATAAAGCTAGAAATATAGATATAAAAAAGCACATGGCAGCCATCTTGAAAAATGGCGGCCTTTTCTCGTTATTTTACGATTTTTGCTGTAACTCGAAAAGTAGTGGAGCGATTTTGTTCATATTTGGTATGTGAATACTATAACCATGGCACACAGTCTAATGACACTTTTGATAGAAGGTGGCCATTTTTAAAAATGGCAGACATTTTGAAAAATGGCCGCCATTTTAACTTATTTTACTATAACTCGAAAAGTAGTGGAGCGATTTTGTTCATATTTGGTATGTGAATACTATAAGCATCACACTACCCTACCTCGATCGCGCATGCGCGAAATCTTTGGCTTTCAAACAGGTTGCTTTTGAGTATATCGACTGCTTAGTCAAAAGGTTAATACGTTTGGTGCTCGAAGTGAGTCAATATTGCTATTCGTTGAACTTCAGTGGTATAATAGTGAAGTCCATGTTCCAAGTTATATGATAGTTGAAGAAAGAATGTAAATAATATCGTTTTAAATTTTAAAATATTTGATATGTCATAGTACACGGTACACAGTTGCAAAAGTTGATCAATACAGGGTACAATGAATGTAAATTGTTCAATAGTACAGGGAGCGAGAAAGTAAGCTGGTTATACAGACATACTATGTCCCATATCTCATATACATTTACGTTGCAAACAGCGAAAATAATGCTAAAAAGGCCGCCCGTTGATGCTTTGAGGTGTCATCAATTGTTATTTAATCCAAGTAAAGTAAACATTATTTTGTAGATTTAGACACGGGCTTTCAGGTCGTATATGCATTTTGGTATTTAAATTAACAAGAACGCTAGATTTTGCGTGTTACTAGGGTATCAAATTGAATATTAAAAATTATAAAAAATATTGAAAATTAAATATGAACACGTTGATGAATGACTATCCGCTATCAGTATTAATGACTATCCGCTATTCAGAATAATTAAAATTGCCTGAACTACATGTGAAGAATCTTTCTATATAACCCCTTGAATGGTCTAATTCACCACCGTCCTAAAAAACCGATCATTAAAAATATGTTGCTCAAAACTTGAGAGCATTTTGTTTTTCACGATTTGCTGTAGCGCTGATATGACGTCGTATTTCTCTATTATTGTAAAAAAAACAATACCATATATCGATGTATGTCTTATATGACGTGTTGAATGTCAGATGTTTTTAGATGGAATCTGCTCAAGTGATTTTGCATTTAATCATGAAACGCTCATCACAAGACACCTCGAAACAAACACTATCCTCTTTGTGACAAGAAGAAAAATGTTTCGCAATATGTTATGCCTTACAGCAAAGTCAAGATACATTTCTGGGACGACTTTTTATGCATCGTAAGATTTTAGAAAAACAATTAATTCACAAAAATACAGTTGAATAACATATTAGAAAACGTATCCACATATAACACCATGACACGCAGTTTAAATAACAGTTAACTGGGTTTTTTGTTACATATCAATGTAACATTTTCGAAGGGAAACTTACATGCTCCCTGTACGTTGATAGATTTACTGAAATGTATCGTGTATTGCATTCGTGTTTTGCTTCACTGTGCCCACTATTATCTATCTTTGCCTATAGTGGTTTTTTGCCAACAATATTCTACAAACTGGTTGATGAATCAATTCTATGTCTGGTAGAACACTAAAAATAAATGTAAAATGTATTTTACGTTCAGAAAATATGGAATTAAACCCACGTCCTCCATTTGCAACTTAGCTGTACCCTGTTTCCCTTTTAAACGTGGTCACGTGGTAGGGTAGTGTGAAGCATGGCACACTGTCTAATGACACTTTTGGTAGAAGGCGACCATTTTTCAAAATGGCCACCATTTTAACATATTTTACTATAACTCGAAAAGTAGTAGAGCGATTTTGTTCATATTTGGTATCTGAATACTATAAGCATGGCACACTTTCTAATGATACTTTTGGTAGAAGGTGGCCATTTTGAAAAATGGCTGCCATTTTTGCTATATACTTTGTTTGTAAAAATGCCAGCCATGGCTGTTCGATGGGATTCGCTACGCTTTGGCGTTGCTGTTGTTCTGGTTTTTCTACTGATTATCTTCATTGTATATTTTCATTTATTAAAAACACTGCAAGATAATTGGAGATATAATAGCACTCTTATACACTGACGCTTTATAAAATGTGTTTTACAAATTATAGTATATATTATAATTTCAGAGATACATCTCAAGCTGATAATGTTAATGGACCAGAGATGAGGAAAGATGGCGCTGTAGTATTCACAAAGACAGGTCCTGCCACCTATTCTACAACACATTCACTACACCTGTCTGCACTCAACAGACCTCCCCAGCAGTCAAAGGTATAGTTTCCTTCAAAGAATCATGAAAAATTGTTTATAAACCAGTTTATAATTATAAAACAATAGACATAACGACTCAGGATTATGTCAGCTGGAAGGAATTAATGGGACAAGAATTTTGACCTTAGTTTTTCAGTTTTTTTGATTTTGTGGGCATTTTACCCCCATGGGCCCATGGGCTATAATTTAGAGCCTGATAAATAGTTCATTCTGACCCGGTAATAATAGAGGGAAGTAATGTTAAAATACCCTGAATTTTGACAGTTTAATAGTGATAATAATACATCTTATTTTTATGTCTTACTTCCTGTAGGTTTAGGCTTGATTTATTTAGGCAAGGGTTAATAATAAAATTATTCAACTAGGGTAATGTCAAAGTATTTGATAAATCTATTTTTGATTGATAATTAAATAATTTCCAACTGTTTTTCCAGAGTTATTTCATGAATTCTGAACTTTAGAAAAAGCCAAATGCAAATAAATCATTCTCTTAATGTACATTTATCTGCCCTATTGTCTAGCACTGTGTGTCTTGCTACATACATGCAATAATGTTTCTGATGTGTTTGTCTTTGCAGGAGCCAAGCCCTGTTAAAGCTCAGCTGAGACAACCTCACCCATATTTGGAACGACCACCCATTGCTTTATTCTTATCCAAACAGCGACTGGAAGGAATACATGCTAATAAGGCCAGATACGAACACTTCCTTAAAAGGACATCTCACATGCCAGTCGGCAGTTTCAACCCATGGTCCATGGTTGATGAGTGAGTGACAATTCCTAGACTTTTGTCCATTTTCTACTATAGGATTTCTAGATTCATTTTATCATTAATTCTAAAAGAGATCTCATCAATTTATGTTTTTAGTGTGACTGAAAAGTTTTTTTATGTTGAGCTGTATCAAGTTATAATAGTTATTACAGTAACACCTGAATGCTACTTGCCAAGTTCAGTATACCGATTTGTTGGAGTTTCAAGATTTCTTTTGTTTTTTTTGGATTAGTAGAGAGTTCATTGGATATTTTTAAGTAATTACTTTATTTGAATATTTCCAGATTGGCAGATGAGATTCTAGCTGACTGTTGTATTGAGATTAGTGCAGAACTGGATGACATCCACACAGATATAGCTGCCCATGTCTATAAGAATGAGTTTGTAACCGACAATAGTGCAACAGATCTGAGTCATATAAGTGACACTGATAATAGCAACAATACACTGTCCAATGTACCACATATGGCTTTATATAGACAAGTTGATATCAAAGACAATGAAGAGTCTAAAACACTGAATGAAACAGGAGTTGAAAGTAGTAAAGATAAAACACTCAAAGCACATCAAGCCAAGGGTCAGATACATCCTGCAGGAATGACAATTGATACCATAGGAAGGGAACCAGCTAAAGATCTACAATACAGACATTTAGATGAAATAGCCATTGAATACAGTGACGCATCAAGGCTTAAAAATGAAGGAATAAAAGTCCCCACTAATGGTGCATATGGTGCTCCTATAAAGTCCAACGCAAGAATGGGAGAATCATACACAACTCAGGATGATGATGAGGATCCCTCAATTATAAGCTCTTCAATAAGTGTAAAACATGAAAAGCCAAAAGGATCAAATATATCTAAATCTCAGGGATCCATTGTGTCTAAATCTGGATCAAACATGTCTAAACCCCGATCTGATATGTCTAAACCCCGATCTGATATATCTAAATCTGGATCAAATATGTCCAAATCGCAATTGGAAGAATTTTCTGATGCCACTCTAAGTGCAGGTGATGGAAGTTACAGTGACAATTTTGAGTGATGTTTATTGCATAAGTACGAGTGAAATGTTATTTGTTGCGTTTTGGCATGCAGTTATGTGTAGAATTGTAACTATGGAGGTCAACTCTTTCCATTTATTACATTAGAAATTTATATAAAAATAAATGAATTCAATTCAATGGGAAGAAATATAAACATATTGAAAAATGTTTGTTAGTTATAGTTTGAAGATAGTGCATCATCTTGGTGCATGTCAATTTAGACATTTAGAATTGATAATTGAACAAAAGAATGAACATCATTTTACAGAAATAGTTGTGTTTATTTCACTATCAGTTTAACGATTTCAACATGCCCATAAATGTGAAATTTGTAACCAATATTAATTTAAAGATGTTTATTAGTTAGAATAAAATGTTCATTCAATAAAGCACACCACGGTTAAATAAATAGAAGCATTTAACCAAAATGAATGAATTTTTGAAGTGTTACACTTATTGCTTCGTTTGTCAAAATGCTTCGTAATGAAGCAATGTAACATAATGAAGCAATGTAACACTGCTATTGATTTGAAATATTATGTTGATTAACATTAAAAATTGGAAGTTCTTGTTGACATGAACATTTCACTTTGTCACTGAATGAATTTATATTAGGGGGGAATATTAATGTACAAAGATCTGTAGTATATAAAATGTCAAACCTGTGTGTTTTACAACTTAAATAAAAAATGTAAAATTAAGATAAACCTGACTTTGCTTCTATACCTTTACTGTATGCGGCTCAATTATTTCACATGAAACACTAAAAATGAATTCATTGGACAAAATGTTTTGGTACTCAAATTTTCTTACATGTTCAGTAAAACTTATGATTCAAATGTGAACACCACTGTGATCAGCTAAACGTTCGTATTGATGGGTGTTCACATTTGGAGGTTTTAAATAATACCAACTTAGCCAGATTAAAAAAATGGGAATGGGACCAAAAGAAGTCTTCACATTGTTTTCGGAAATTTCTTTCTTTCTGTTGGAATCTCTCATTGGCTCATTGAAATGTGAACACCTGCCAATGTGAACACCTGTCAATGTGAACACCTGCCAATGTGAACACCTGCCAATGTGAACACTTTTGGCCAGTCATAGTGGTGTTCAGAATAGACATGTTTCACTGTACATTTAAGTAGATATAATATACTTCACCTCCAACACTACAGTACATTAGTGAAACAAAAATGTTTAAAATTACAACTATTTTGTTTGAAAAATATGATTTAACATGTAATAAATGTTAATAACAATTTTAATTATATTGGGTGTCTAAATAATTGCACCAAACATGGAATAACTGTGTGAGCGATGAAGGCATATTCTTGAAATTTATTAATATTGTCATCTGATAGCTCTTTTTAGTTTTAGAAAAAAGCTTGTTTTAACATCACCCACTTTTCCATATGCAAATTGGAAAATGATATCAATATTTATCGTATGAAAAGCTCAGCTTTTTCGATGAAGGAAAAGATTCTCATTTCATTTTGGTCCATTTTTTAGAGACACCCAGTGTTTTTGCTTAGAGACACTCTATTGCTTGCTTCATACAAAAGCTACATCCATCCATTAAAAAATTACTGATGAATTGAAAATGACAACAATGTCTCAAAAAACTTCACAAATGCTGACATTCTGAAAAGAAAATTTAATAAAAATATTAGAACAATTACATTCACAGTGTTCTACTCCTCATTAAAAGTCACTCTCTTACACTCCCCTCCATAAGTTTGAAAACTGGAAGTCCCCTTTTTGATCACTTATCAAAGTATGTTCATGCTTGGCAATTTAAAAACATTTTCAAAGTCATACACTATTGTAATTATGAATCAAAATTAAGATTCGTACTTTTACAGGCTTTGATATGTTATCTAATGAAAGCTTTTGAATGCCAAATTTACGGAGGGGAGTGTATATTCCACCAACTCGAGATGTGACAAACATGTGTCAAAACTACAAATATACGAGTACTTACTCATTTAACAAGTGTCATCAAAAATATTTAAACTCGCTCTGACTAAATCTTCATTAATGTGCTTTTGTTAAAAATGTAAAATATGTTAATTAAAATATTATAGAGATTCATTATCATTTACTATGTACAAATATTTACATTCTAAACACTAAAATGCAAAGTTGCATAAAATGTAAATTGATATATAGATGTTTCTAAATTGTAAAACTTGATATGAATGGTTCACTGTAAACTCATCTTTTTCAGTCTCAAAAGACGTTGCAATCTTGACTAACATGACTAAGCTGGATTGTACTGCGCTTTTAAATAAAGATGGCAGCACAATCAATCTGTTTTATATAATAACCACTACTGCCATCTATATATTGGCCTAAATCCTATTGATAAAGCGAACCATTTTATTGTTGAAGTTTATGTTCCTATGATTATTTCGAGAGGGGCTTTTATATAATGCACTGCATTCCTTTGCAGTTTGTACTGCAATTACTAAATTATTTGAGTGGAATTTTCCATTGACAAGTTCATATGATTTGGAGGGGTGTTAGCATGCTGAATGGGTGGAATTTTCCGAATGAGTGGAAATTTCCATCGGTGATTCCATTCTATCATCTGGATAGTCAAGTTTCTCACTACTTGGCGTAATATCATCAACTGAGGATTGTGACTGATGAGTAAGGTTTCCAAGAGCTGCTTCTTGTGTAGTTGTATTAGGTTCATGTGTAATCTTATTAGCTTTATGTGTAGTCTCATGTGTACTTTCATTACCTAAACTGAATTTAGTAATTGGTTCTTGAGTAGTTGGGTTTATTTGAGTATTATGTCGACTAGAGCTTCCATCTTGTAAACTTTGCACAATTTTTTCATCGTCATGGTGATTTTTGCGATCATTGAGGTGATTCTTGTCATCATTTATATGATCCTTTGTGTCATCATTTATATGATTATCATTGGTATCATTTTCACGTAAACTTGGTAGCAATGTGTCCTGAGAAACTTTCCTGGAAAAACATCAATTCAAAAAATGACTACAATTTTAAAGTGACTACATGAACATAATATTATATGATATCTCGTTTTAATGAAGTGAATTTAAAACACTATGGGAGATATAAAATTTCCCGCAGGATCTTTTCTTAATCATTATGAAGTAATATAAGGGAAAAATCAATATATTGCAGAATACTTTTTGACCAATAAAGATCAAACAATTCCATGAATAGAATGATGTTTTAGTTATACCATTACGGGACATAATTATGGTATATATAAAGGACTGTAGGAAAGAATAGAGCCCACGAAGACATATTTGTGACCAACCTTTTATGCATAATTTCTAGTGACTCTGGTGCAGAATGCGACCTCCCTGTCTTCTGGAAATCTGCCTTGGACTGTCCTTTGATGTTGTAGTCTTTCTGGTACGGGTTCCTGAATGACTTCTGTTTCAAAACACTCTTCACCAGAATCTAAGAACAAATATGTTTAGGAATGGGTTGATTTGTAAATGGAAGGGGCTGGTTAAGTAAGCATCTGATTAATAATTGTCTGGACAGGTACAGGGGTCTTTAGGTCGTTGAATGGTTCTATGGGTCATGGGTTAGTTCTTTGGGTTATATATAGCCATAGGACAGTTACAGGGGTCTTTAGGTCGTTGAATGGTTCTATGGGTCATGGGTTAGTTCTTTGGGTTATATATAGCCATAGGACAGTTACAGGGGTCTATAGGTCGTTGAATGGTTCTATGGGTCATGGGTTAGTTCTTTGGGTTATATATAGCCATAGGACAGTTACAGGGGTCTTTAGGTCGTTGAATGGTTCTATGGGTCATGGGTTAGTTCTTTGGGTTATATATAGCCATAGGACAGTTACAGGGGTCTATAGGTCGTTGAATGGTTCTATGGGTCATGGGTTAGTTCTTTGGGTTATATATAGCCATAGGACAGTTACAGGGGTCTATAGGTCGTTGAATGGTTCTATGGGTCATGGGTTAGTTCTTTGGGTTATATATAGCCATAGGACAGGTACAGGGGTCTATGGGTCATTGAATGGTTCTATGGGTCATGGGTTAGTTCTTTGGGTTATATATAGCCATATTATGGATTGGTTCTATTGGCATGGGCTAATACCATTTATTTGTTATGTGTATAAAGTGTTCCAAAATAAATGCCCTGTGTGCAGGTACAGGTGTTTTCAAATGCAGTACCCACATCATACCTACCATTCATTTCCAAATACAATATAACTATTTATTGTGACAAAAACATCAGTTTCTTATTGTAACTACTGTATACAAGAAATTCTCCAGAGCCATTGGGAAATCCCTAGAGTCGATCCTGAATCCAAGGTCCACAAATTTAAAGGCATACAATTAATTCCAAATTCTTTGGGGTGAAAATTTTGTTATGTTTATAATTGGGCCTTTACATTGCAGATTGAGAAAAGCAAAGTAGAAAAAACTGCATGCACAGTTGTATTATAGGAGTGGAATTCAAGAATGAAGCTTACCAAAGTTTCAAGTTTAGGTATAGTTTTTACGACATTGGACATATCTTCATCTGTGACTGTAATCAGGATACAATTCTCTTCTGTCGTCAACATTGGACACATACCGCCACGTGTCACCCACTTATTCACCTAAAATAATATTCAAGATCAAATAAACAGTCAATTCAAGCTTGAATCGGTGTGATAACCATGTTTGCCAGATAAAAAATAATATAACTGGATTTCAAATTTGTTATTAAAAGATATTTATTGTAAATCCGAACCAGGAAATCAACCAAAGGATGTTGCAGATCGGATAAATGTTCTGTTTCAGTAAATTCTTGGGATTTAATTCTAAGTAGAAGTACTGACCTTGAGCTGAGGTAGAGTGATCCTTTCATGTGGATCCTTTTTCAACATCTGAATTATAACTTCTTTCACATCATCATTTAGCACTGGCCTGAAAATACATATAGCAACAATGAAAACAACAACATGAGGAAAGCTATAGCCTATATGCATTATTCCATAGGTTGCTCGCCCAGACAATCAATGATGTCCCATTATTATTGCTCATATAATATCTCATATACCATGGATATATCACGAGAAAAACTTATGGGAATATTATTGCCGAAATATTGAAATAATCAACAGAACAACCAACCTCAAGAATTAAACACAATTATAGATTCCTCAGCTAGCGAGGGGAATCCCCGTTCAGTCACACAAGTGCCCAAATGAGCCTTTAACCAAGCAGCCAATCATGTTCATGATAAACAAATTCAACGACCAATCAGATAACAGGGGGATTTTCCCAGTATATTTAAACTTCAGATTGAATTATTTCCGTGAAAAATAATTAGATTGGTCAGCACAATCGCAAAATAAACACTGAACGTGGGGAATTTGAGACTTCTTCTTTGGTAAGTAGACGGGTGAATATGTGGTTAAGCTCAATATGCAAAAAGGTCCAGAGGGGTCTTGATTTTGCTATCCTATGGCATAGAGCCTCTTTAAATAATGTTGAAATCTCATTTAAAGTTTACCAGTATTATTCATATGCTACTTCTGCAATCTGTTTTTCTATCTACTGTAGAAACATTTACAATATAACAAATGGTATTAACATGGAAAATGTCACCACCTTCCATTTGTTACTTTTTACAGACACCAAACTTCAAATTCTGAATGCCAGCTGTCAAACACCACAAACTGAACACCATCCACAAAATATTTTGAGACTATAACAATTATAACAACAGGGATATTTATGGATCAAAGTTTATGAACATTAGTCTCTCTCTCTCTCTCTCTCTGTACTAAGGTATGAAGGATTAGATTGGTCAGTTGTCTCCGGTACATTGTATTATGAAGAACAAGAAATATTGGATATTTAACATTGCTGATGTAATATTTATTTTTTCCACATAATTTAAATTACAAGTATAACACACACAATTACTGGCACACCTTACAACTAATTCCTAATAATATGTTCCACTTTAAAATATCACCATAATTACAAATTATGAAATTATCCCAAAACTTTAACACAAAATAAGTTCAAACTTCAATCTATCTGTTGCATCACCTAAAACTTTTGATCTTTCTATCTAACTATCAATTTTTGATCAGTAAATTTGATCCTGCCTAAATAAACCCAAAATATTTTTAATTCGAATTAACATGTGAAAAATATAATCCTTTTTCTGAAAATATCAAAGATTGAGAAAAGACATCACCATTGTGTGTCAAGTTCTAAAACTTCTTCAGTCAATAATAATTTACAAAGCGGGTATGAAATCAATCCAGGAATGAATCAATTATAAAATTAATGGTAATTAAAGAGAATTCAGAAAACTGCATTTGAAATACTTTTTGAACATTCATCATAATTTAAAAAAAATAAAGAAAGTGAATTAGAGGGTTCAATTTTTGTGTCACACTTTAAAAATTGACAAAATTTTCTCTCCTAAGATCTTATTTTTTGATTATCGAATCTCTTTGAATGCACAAAAGTTTATCAGTATATGTCATTCATTTTCTAAAATTCATAATTATCACATACCCTACGTGTCATCTATCTATCTATCTACTGCAAAACACCATGGAATGCCAACAAACAATAAAAAGTGCTAATTGTTTCATAATTGATTCTTTTTAAATGCATAAAAAGTTTACAAGTATCATTCCTATAAGTTCTTAACACATTATTATCACACAGAAGCATTTAATATACATGTATCTAATCAAATAGCTATCTATTCTACATTCTTCACTAGAAAACTACAACTATTATGACAATAAAACACCATATTTAAAGCATTTTTGAACATTATAAGATCATTCCTACAATTTCTTGTTTTTTATCATTTCAAACTGTCAATTAACTTGACTGCTGGAGTTCTGTTAACTGGTTCAAATATATTCATCTATTTAATGTTACCATTAGCATTCCCGTTGCATTTTGGGATATCATCTTTTGAAATAGCACCATCTATTGGGCAAATCTCAGTTATGCCGCCATCTGGTTCATCTAAAGATGGCGCACTTGGTTCAGTATTTAAGGGTTTCAACTCATCCTTCTCAAGGTCATTTATGTCATTCTCTTTAATAGCATTCAGTTTCTTGTACTCTTGCCAAACTCCGGCTAAGGCCTCGGAAGCGATAATCCCACTTGTGTTCTTGGAGAGCATTTTAAAAAGGAAGATTCCATCCTGTTTGATGTATCCTTTTAGGAAATTCCCGAGTAGATATCTGTCTTTGCATTTATCATACATGTCCATGTCACTCAGGTGCGACTTCAAGTAACGGAAATGGTGTTGCTCAAAGACGGCAAACGCTACCCATGTCACTAAGCTATAGGTGGAGGCACTTGCCACAATGACGAACCAAAACCATAAAAAGATGTAGATCTTCTCATTAAAGAGATTAATACTCAGCACACACTGTATGGTGTAGCGATGGATATTATGCGCAAATTCTCGGATCTCAAAATCACAAAGTGTCGTGCGAGGAAAGCTTTGAGATGTTGTCCAATCACCACTTTGGAGGAGGTCGTAAAGCACCCCGAAGCCGAAGAAGGTATAATCAGTTCCTTTACCCAAGAATGCATTTAGCAAGTAGATCTGACCAATAGCATTGCAGATATAAAGCACCTTAACGAATAAATATGATCCAATCATTTTGTTTCCAAATTGTCTTCCACATAAAAGGAAAGTATATCTTGAAATGCGTGATCGTGCTGTGTAGCAGTATTTCTTCGTAGGGAATCTAGTCAGGCTAAAATAGTTCACCATACTTTTCACCAGATAACCCATCACTTTTTCCCGTTCTTTCGGATTTATATTCCTTTTATGGTTAACCTCTTCGACGATCTGATTAATATCAATCCCGCAACTTCCCTGTAGGGTACGCCATATGATACTCGGCAGGAAAAACAGTCCCATCTGCGTGAGCAAAATAATCGGTACCCACTGATAATACACAAGCTCTCGGTCGGACCTTTTTTCACTTGATTTGGGAATATTATCATACGTGGGGATGTAATATGTGTTTTTAGTCCAACATAAACTATGTGTGTAGCTTCTGTATGAATAAGTAAACTGTTCAGGAACCCAACAATCAATCGGGTGACCAGAGTATTGTCTTCCCGTCACAAACAGCGTACAAATCAATAGTAGGACACAAGTGAACTGGTGGCTGAGTCGATCTGTGAAGTCATCATCATGGCGCTTTCCAAATCGATTAAAATTGCTAGCGGCTATTATGTTCCCCATGTTGTTTGAGAAAATTGAGGTTTCCAAATTGATTTAATTCTCTTTTCCTTACAATAGTCTGAAGTCCTTTGTGATATGAATTTCTTTCTTTTATGAAATGAACTTCATCACTGTTCACATTGGTATTATGTTCTTTGCTGTAGTATGTTCTGTCTAATATGAATCCTTTTTTGACTCTTAATTGGTTGTATTTTAGCACATTTTATATTTTTATTCTTTACTTTAGTCTATCATATCTAATTTAATATCCCATGCTCTCATATATTATACATTCTGATCATTAGAGAGTTTTTGTTTCTTCACAACTTGACATTCTTACAGTAATATCTTGTTGCATATGTGCTATAGGCTGATGGAACCAGTTGACAATCTATGTTTTCAGCTTGTATCAACTTCCAATGCTTGTTTTGTCCAAGTGAGTGTTTTGTCAACAGATTAGCCCTCTATTTATATATAATCATGATCCATTCAATGTTCTGTAAATCTGTATACTCCCAATAATTTTGTTTACATCTCTGGAGATATTTTATTATCATCCATACATCAAAATGAGAAGTCTCGAAGTCTGTACTAAATGAGATTTTTAGAGAAATTAGACTATCCTTAAATCTTTAATTGGTTGGGTTCTCCTTATTTGTACTCTTATATAATTTCAAACTAAAAATGATCACTTTTGACTTTGATATTAATGTTTTGAAAGTTATATATATCTTTCCACCATATTATTCTTTATCTACCCTCATGAGTGGAGTCCAGCTTTAATAATACATCCAGGACCTATGGCTCCAAGGCTCTCTGTATTTGGAATTTTTGAATGAAACCATACAAAGCTGAACAGGGGAACAGGTGAATGTATCAAAGTAAACAATAGAATTTGGGGATAATGGGGATAATGATTAATAGTAAACCATACCCTTGCTAGGAAATTAAGCCATTTAAATAATTTATTTAAAAATAATTATTAAAACTCAATGCATCAAAATCTCTTCCTACATGTATATGGGGCCTATGTTTTATCCTTACAATTATAAAAATAGTTTATTGAAATGTTAAATGAGGAAAATTTGAAGGAAGAGTTTCTGTCTTATAACAATATTTTCATTTAGTAATGTTTGTTCCTATAGGTTCCCAAAGGTCCAGTAATCTCTTAAAATCCTTTAGTGCTTGTTTCCTTTCGTTCTATGACACCACAATGCGTTCAATTCAATGCTAGCTCAAATCTTGTTTGAAATAATTCCAATATTTTTAATAAGTCTTAATTGCTTTTATAAAGGTATTTCAATATTGACTTAATCCAACCCTTACAGTGTAACTTCCATAGTATTTGAGCATGTTATACCCAAAAATGAAATATTACAACAGCAATGCTTCGAATTGTGAAATAGAGTGAACTTGTTGAAATTAAGAAATAATTTATTGCTCAGATATGTAGATTTAAGTCAGGATTGTGTGAAAAAATGCATGAAAATAATGCTTTTTTCAAATCGGAAAGAGAAATGGCACAAAATAGGTGTGAGCTTTGAGTCAAATTTTGGCAGACAAAACTAGGATTTCAATTTGAATAATGCTGCTAGCAACTTTGCATAGTTTTCCTCACATACCCCATGGGTTCAAATGCACTCAAATAATAACATTATGATGTCAACATTTTAGAAGCTTAAAAGAAGGCTTCTACTATTGCTAAAAGCAGATTTGAAATTAAAATTGCAATAGATGATGTTTGTAAAATGTCAGATTCATTATTTGTCTGAAAATATGCCTCTGTCTTTTATAAGATTTTCAAAAAGTTTCAATTTCAATACATGTATATCCTTTGTGACCCCTTTAACTGTAAAGATTTGCTTGATTTTAAATTTTGAGATACTATGTGACAATTTGTATAAAATACTTTAATGGAAAATGAAGGCGAAATTGAATTGAATTTGAACTGATTTTCCTAAAAGAGATCATGTATGATTATAGTAGGAATAAATCAGTGATATATTTCTAAAAGGAAATGACTTACTTTTCTGGAAAGACAACAGGGTCCGTGAGTATCTTTTTGTGAAGTCCCAAGATATACTCATCTTGGAAGGGACATCGACCAATCAGAAAGCAGTATAAAGTAACCCCCATGGCCCAGATATCCATCGCCTAAAATGATAAATATAACTTATCATTTTCAATTGATAATCATGCCTGGATTTGCATGAATTTAAATTTCTACGTTTCATTAAAATAACTATGATATTAGACATGAAATCGACTAAAAATAATGAAATTAATGCTAAAAAGTCCATGTTACAATGAAGATCTCTCTTCAAACTCTGGAAAAATCTCCAAAACGTTCCTTCTGACAAAAATACCCCAGAATTCATAGAAGAACCTTCATGTTTCTCCATGTAAAGATGAACCAAAAAGAAATAAGCTCTCCTCTTTCTACTGACCTTGCCACTGTAGGTGTCCCTGCTATCCTTCAGGGACTCAGGGGGCATGAACGCAGGCGTTCCAGCAGTACTGCTTAGAAGAGCATCTCCTCCAGTGAACTCATTGCTCACTCCAAAATCAGCAATCTGAAACAGTTTTTTTTATTTAATTATTTAATTTATTAAAATTAAAAGTGAACTCTTTGCTCACTCCAAAATCAGCAATCTGGAACAGTTTAATTATTTAATTATTTAATTTATTAAAATTAAAAGTGAACTCATTGCTCACTCCAAAATCAGCAATCTGGAACAGTTTTATTATTTAATTATTTAATTTATTAAAATTAAAAGTGAACTCATTGCTCACTCCAAAATCAGCAATCTGAAACAGTTTTTTTTATTTAATTATTTAATTTATTAAAATTAAAAGTGAACTCTTTGCTCACTCCAAAATCAGCAATCTGGAACAGTTTTATTATTTAATTATTTAATTTATTAAAATTAAAAGTGAACTCATTGCTCACTCCAAAATCAGCAATCTGAAACAGTTTTTTTTATTTAATTATTTAATTTATTAAAATTAAAAGTGAACTCTTTGCTCACTCCAAAATCAGCAATCTGAAACAGTTTTTTTAATTTAATTATTTAATTTATTAAAATTAAAAGTGAACTCTTTGCTCACTCCAAAATCAGCAATCTGAAACAGTTTTTTTTATTTAATTATTTAATTTATTAAAATTAAAAGTGAACTCTTTGCTCACTCCAAAATCAGCAATCTGGAACAGTTTTTTATTAATTTAATTATTTAATTTATTAAAATTAAAAGTGAACTCATTGCTCACTCCAAAATCAGCAATCTGGAACAGTTTTATTATTTAATTATTTAATTTATTAAAATTAAAAGTGAACTCATTGCTCACTCCAAAATCAGCAATCTGGAACAGTTTTTTTTATTTAATTATTTAATTTATTAAAATTAAAAGTGAACTCTTTGCTCACTCCAAAATCAGCAATCTGAAACAGTTTTTTTTATTTAATTATTTAATTTATTAAAATTAAAAGTGAACTCTTTGCTCACTCCAAAATCAGCAATCTGAAACAGTTTTTTTTATTTAATTATTTAATTTATTAAAATTAAAAGTGAACTCATTGCTCACTCCAAAATCAGCAATCTGGAACAGTTTTTTTATTTAATTATTTAATTTATTAAAATTAAAAGTGAACTCTTTGCTCACTCCAAAATCAGCAATCTGAAACAGTTTTTTTTATTTAATTATTTAATTTATTAAAATTAAAAGTGAACTCTTTGCTCACTCCAAAATCAGCAATCTGAAACAGTTTTTTTATTTAATTATTTAATTCATTAAAATTAAAAGTGAACTCTTTGCTCACTCCAAAATCAGCAATCTGAAACAGTTTTTTTTATTTAATTATTTAATTTATTAAAATTAAAAGTGAACTCTTTGCTCACTCCAAAATCAGCAATCTGAAACAGTTTTTTTTATTCAATTATTTAATTTATTAAAATTAAAAGTGAACTCTTTGCTCACTCCAAAATCAGCAATCTGAAACAGTTTTTTTTATTTAATTATTTTATTAAAATTAAAAGTGAACTCATTGCTCACTCCAAAATCAGCAATCTGAAACAGTTTTTTTTATTAATTTATTTTATTAAAATTAAAAGTGAACTCTTTGCTCACTCCAAAATCAGCAATCTGAAACAGTTTTTTTTATTAATTTATTTTATTAAAATTAAAAGTGAACTCATTGCTCACTCCAAAATCAGCAATCTGAAACAGTTTTTTTTATTAATTTATTTTATTAAAATTAAAAGTGAACTCTTTGCTCACTCCAAAATCAGCAATCTGAAACAGTTTTTTATTTAATTATTTATTTTATAATAATTAAAAGTGAACTCATTGCTCACTCCAAAATCAGCAATCTGAAACAGTTTTTTATTTAATTATTTATTTTATTAAAATTAAAAGTGAACTCATTGCTCACTCCAAAATCAGCAATCTGAAACAGTTTTTTTATTTAATTATTTATTTTATTTAAATCAATGAAACATATATACGGGTAATAGTGGCTATGACCCCCAAGAGGGAGTATTAGGTAACACATAATGGTATTTACAATGATTTGGGATATAATATAAAAAGTGAACATGAAATTGTGTAAAGTATGATATGGTACATAATAGTGAAAACTAATCAAAGCATTAATGAAATTATATTACATTTAATAATGGCATATTTATCATATTTGAATTCCATGGATAGTTAATCACTAGAACTACCTGAAAAAGGTCAGACTACTAAAAATCTATAAAAGTTGATTTCCCCTTCTGGGAATCATAATTTTGAGCTAACCACAATCTATTTGCCAACTTGATCATCAACTGGACTTCTCTCTTTGAAAGTATCTAGTCTTGAGCAAATACTACTGACATCTAAAGTTGTTTTAAGTATACATGTACCTTAAGAAAGAGATACAAAAGTATCATTGCAATGATTGAACAAGACATCCCCCCATGCCATGACTATGTAAACCAAACATGTGTATACCTTAATGTGCCCATTGTTGTCCAACAGCAGATTTGAGGGTTTAACATCCCGATGGATTATCTTCTGGTAGTGCACTGTAAGACAGATATAGGACTTATATTAAAATATGGGGTCATCTTAAAATATAAAGATCCTGTAAATAGATAGGATTCATGTTAACATTAGGATTCATTTGACCTTTATAATTAACACATGCTCTATAGCTTAACATGAACCAAATAATATATGTTGAACTATAGGGTTCACATTGAAATAAATTTAGAAATGGTGAAATGAACAAGCAAATGAAAACGATGAAACTGAGTCTCCCTTCCAATGATATATATTTCTCCAAATCAACTGACAGGGAAAAACAAAGAGTAGGTGTGTTAATTCCTTGATCATTACTCCACTGGTTCTAGTAATGAATATCACCAAATGATATGTTAGTAAGTCCTACTTACAGTACTCGATGCCAAGTATGACATCTCTGAAATAAGACCACGCTTCTTGTTCTGTCAGGGGGTTCTCTGTAGGGACAACCATCACCTCACTAAAATATTAAACACATTCTTGAGTTATCATCACATACACTCCCCTCCATAATATTGGAAACTGGGAGTTTTGTTTATGTTTGGTGATATAAAATCATTAGATTTGTCATCATTTTAGAATGAGTGAATATATCCAAATGCCTGAGTTTCAAAACCCTGTGAAGGAATAAAGCACTGTATTTCATTTAATTATTGTTACAGGGAGTCAGGTTGAAAACATTGTCCAATTAATAAAAATACTGGCATTGAGTCCATTGCCCAATGGGCAAATCATTTTCAAGTTCATTTCCAAGATTGAAAAATGATTGCCCAATTTAACATAATGGCATTCAGTCCGTTGTCCAATGGGCAAATCATTTCCAAGTTCATTTCAAAGAGTGAAAAGTGATCGCCCAATTTAACATAATGGCATTGAGTCCATTGCCCAATGGGCAAATCATTTTCAAGTTCATTTCCAAGATTGAAAAATGATTGCCCAATTTAACATAATGGCATTCAGTCCGTTGTCCAATGGGCAAATCATTTCCAAGTTCATTTCAAAGAGTGAAAAGTGATCGCCCAATTTAACATAATGGCATTCAGACCATTGTCCAATGGACATATCATTTCCAAGTTCATTTCCAAGAGTGAAAAGTGATTGCCCAATTTAGCATAATGGCATTCAGTCCATTGCCCAATGGCAACCAGCTTTTCCAAGTTCATTTCCAAGAGTGAAAAGTGATTACCCAATTTAGCATAATGGCTCTATAGGCAACTCTTTTACCAAGTTCATTTCCAAGAGTGAAAACCGATTTCCCAATTTAACATAATGGCATTCAGTCCATTGCCCAATGGGCAAATCATTTCCAAGTTCATTTCCAAGAGTGAAAAGAGATTGCCCAATTTAGCATAATGGCATTCAGTCCATTGCCCAATGGCAACCAGCTTTTCCAAGTTCATTTCCAAGAGTGAAAAGTGATTGCCCAATTTAGCATTATGGTATTCAGTCCATTGCCCAATGGCAACCAGCTTTTCCAAGTTCATTTCCAAGAGTGAAAACTGATTGCCCAATATAACATAATGGCATTCAGTCAATCGCCCAATGGGCAAATCATTTCTAAGTTCACTTCCAAGAGTGAAAAGAGATTGCCCAATTTAGCATAATGGTATTCAGTCCATTGCCCAATGGCAACCAGCTTTTCCAAGTTCATTTCCAAGAGTGAAAACTGATTGCCCAATATAACATAATGGCATTCAGTCAATCGCCCAATGGGCAAATCATTTCTAAGTTCACTTCCAAGAGTGAAGTGTGATTGCCATTAGCAGTCAGGTAACTGAGTTTTGCATCCTGTAAGTCTATCTAATTAATAGCCTCTTCTGACCGTATTAATCGGGCAATCCAGGCCAGTAGATGACAAACAGGAGCTTAACATGGTATGATACATGGGATTCAGGCAGGTAAGACCAGGGGTTTAACAGTAATTCAAATGAATGTGGCAAAGTCAATCACCTTTGCAAAGGCTACATTAAATACAGGTACAGAAATAAAACCTGTAAAGTGAAACACCTCTGTAAGTGAAAACACTTTTCAGAGTGCTGTTTCTCATTATTTAATGGGAAATGAACCTGCCTACCTACCCCACCTATGTTAAAATCAAATAGAGAATTTTTCACCCTGGCAATTCGCCAACCGCCAGCCACCAGCGAACCCCTTTTCACAAGTGTTAAAAGTGTTATGACATTTACTGAACTTATATAGACTAATATATTGAGTGAATGTTGAAAATCCAGGGAGACAAGGACATGTCAAGTTGTCCACATGTTTTCTTAAAGCAAACTTCAAAGAATAAATGACTCACAGTTGATGTGCAAAATATTACACAGTCCACATATCTCCCAAGATACATGGAGGTAAAAAATTGTAATTTTCATGATTCTGGCCAAAGTTAATCAAATATGCCAATTTTCATGGTTTTTCTTGGTTTCTATAATTGGGTGAAATAATGTTTCAAGTGAATGTAAACCTATTTTGAAAATCTCAAAATTTCAATCACTGGTCCAATAAAGATTAGAATCTGCAGTAAGGAATAAAGGAAATTTAAGTTTTATAGAATTTTTGAAAGAGAATTGATGTAAAACGAGCACTGCATGCAAAGACCATGAGATTGATAGCATAGGTCACATTGTTACAACTGCTTACAGCTGTAGAGAAAACAACTTCATTTTCTATTTTATATCTTTGCCAGTGGAAATAGACTTAGATGATAGATTTAAATAATAATAAATTATTTGCAAAGGAGATTATTATTTTTTATTCAAGAACATCTTTAACGAATCTGTCCTATCAACACTAGTAAAAATAATATTTCTAATAAAAAGTGGTGGCCATTTTGAATTGAGCATCCATATTGGAAATTTTTTTCCAATAGAAGTCCTATTGCTGTAAGACATTAATTAACATGCATACACAATTTAGACCAAACTCGATAACTGGGATCTGTACATTTGATTCATGAGAAATTGCAGTTATTTCGCATTTGAATTTTGTGGCCATATTGTATATTCCTTTTTAAGCAAACCTCCTATGCCGAGAGCATTAGCCTGTAAAATTTGAACCAAGTCTGTTGAACCAACTGATTAATGATCTATATGGACAAAGGGACAAACGGATAGACAGCTTCTCTATGTTTCTTTTACTCAAACTTTGTACAGTCATATTATAAACACCTTTTAAAGTATTTATGTAACATGATAAATTCCTGCTTATAACTAGCTTCTAGACAGTGGAAGGAATTGAGAGAATCTGCTTCCTGAGATGCATTTCTGTTTCTATAGCAATTAAGAGACATTAGACATGTTGTTTGTATCATATCAATCTCTATTGACACTTTTAAACTCCCTGGATTTGTTGAGACAGTGAGGCATCTGCTTTACAATATTCAACATGTAAAATGTAGACAGAAAGACCGTTTGTACATAAGTGATTATACCACCATGAAACCAAGCACCTTTCAACCAATAAACAAATACAACGGCCAAACAATATATCTTCTTTGATGACCAAAAGGTGGCAGGTTTAATTGCAAAGGTCAACTGCTTTAATATCTTCTCCATTGTACTAAAGTTTAAGCATTTCTAATTCTTCATCATCCACTCTGTTCCTTCCCTGTGAGAAAGAGAGAATGGGGGGGGGGGGGGGGGCTAGATACATGATAAGTAATACGAGTTCAGGGGTGTTAGCTAGATCATTGAAACTGAAAATAGCCAATCAGTTTTCACTCTTGACAAAATACTTGGAAAATGAGTTGCCTATTGCCAGTATTGTTCAATGGACTGAATGCCAATATGTTAAATTGGGCAATCATTTACTCTTTGCAAATGAACTTGGAAAATGAGTTGCCTATTGGGCAATGGACTAAATGCCAATATCTTAAGTAAGGCAATCAGTTACACTTTGCAAATGAACTTGGAAAATGAGTTGCCTATTGGGCAATGAACTGAATGCCAATATTTTAAATTGGGCAATCATTTACTCTTTGCAAATGAACTTGGAAAATGAGTTGCCTATTGGGCAATGGACTGAATGCCAATATTTTAAATTGGGCAATCATTTACTCTTTGCAAATGAACTTGGAAAATGAGTTGCCTATTGGGCAATGGACTGAATGCCAATATCTTAAGTTGGGCAATAATGTCTTCAACCTTAGTTGTGAACCCTGCTAAAGAACATTATGTATTTTTGTGACTCATGTCATTGTAATGACATCAGAGAGTCAATAAAAGATATATATATATATTCTCTTTCTCTTTGCCTACTTCACTAAATGCCTGGTTATATACTAGATGTTCTTTGTTTACTCACCCCTTGGTGTAGAGCGTGAACACTGCAAGTACAAAAAATAAAATAATCATTATAAGACAGCAAAATGAGAAAACATTATGTTATTGAGTGATATTAGGTGATGAGTGAATCATGCAGTGAGGCACTCTACTATACCTTGCATTGGGTGTTCATGAGCAACCCATTTGGCTTATTAATAATGATTATGTTATTTGTTTTTATTTGTTTGTTCCTTATTATCGAATGACTGTTAGGTGGTAATAAGGTACTTTCAAAAATATACTAAACAATACAATTAGACAAACAGAGTATCTATGCATTTCTAGGTGTTAGATATAGTAGAGGCCTCTATATTTGAAAAACTTTTTATATTAGGTCCCATTTTTTAATCTGCTATGAAATGGCATCTTAGGTGCATACCTGAGGAGGAGGCCTTGGACCTGCCGTGATGTCTGATATGTAACACCCCCCCTCTAAGTAGGTCGATGCAATCATAACAACTAACATAACAAATGCTTCCAAAAAGGGTTTTCAATTTCATTTCATTAAATTAATGAAAGGGAATATAAGCTACAGTATATCATCATAACGAAATATCCACCATTATATCAAATTTTCAATCCAATGATGTATTAGATTGCTTTGAAGTTTATTCATGCAATGAAAATCATATCTATTGATCCTCTCCCAAAAGGATCACTATAAATCTATATATCACATTAATACCAATTCCCTGGTCCTGATATTTCTACTAAATCACCACTCGTGCGTTCTCTAGTGTTATAATGGGATATAAATCAAGGGCACTTGGGCGAAGAGGCTGGAAATGATGCATATCTCGAATGATCAAGAGGATTTCCATTCCAAGAATTAGCCATAAGAAAGAATATATACACCCTTGAGATCAGAAAATCGTCACCATGGGAACAGAAAATCATCATCACGGGAAATCTAAATTGTCAAATGACATCATCAAGTGTCGGGGCAATCAACCAATGCTTGTTATGAATAAATAGGTTTATTTAGCTAACTCTGTTTTATTGCTGTAAAATAATTAAATTGTTTTTCGCATGTTTTTCTGATGAGCTTTTGTGTTAAAATATTTTATAATCCAGTGAAAAAGGTTTTGAAATGTGTTATCTAACAATGAAGTGATCTATATATATGCTGTAAAAAATAGAGAACTGAGGAAAAGGAATCAAATAAAAACAAACCAGACAACTCATATCTTTTAAAATTAAGGCCTTTTCCACCTATAACTTGACTCCAGTAACCCACAAAACCGTAATGCAACTAGGCCTATTTTTGTCAAAATCTGAAGGCCCTATGGTATGTGGGGTCATTTTAATTTTCTTTGCTTCATGGCACAATCTAAGTTTACCACTACTTTGATGTCCTACTAGACTTGTATGAAATCAATGCCTCGATCAATTATAGGTACAGTAAAGCATGTCTAATCTGAACACTACTGACTCTGGCCAATAGTGTTGGGATTGACAAGTGTTCACATTTCAAGGTTTTTAAACAATGGGAATCAATGGCAGATTAAGAAACAGGACCGAAAAAGTGTTCACATTTCAAGGTTTTTAAACAATGGGAATCGGCGGCAGATTAAGAAATGGGACAGAGAAAAGTGTTCACATTGAGAGGTGTTCAAATATAGGAGGTTTCCCTGCAGTTTCATGGCAGGTTATGTCAGCATAACATTGATCTGAACATTTGCTTTTGAAATGCGTAAATGTCATAGTATATCTGAAAGTCATCCATTGGACTGTATAGTCTCCAATGTTTTGTCTTATTTCTAGAAACTTTGACTTTATCCTGCCCAATATTTAGTTAACCATAATTGTGGTGAAAAAATCAGGCCAGTCCCATATGCTTTATTCTTACCAGTTCTTTAACAATGACTCTTGTTGAAATAATAGAAACAAATGTAAAGCAAACTGATTTATGGATTTTGAAGTATTATAGGAAATTATCCAAAAACAAAGGCTATTCCTGAATCATTCGATGATTTGGCTTTGGATATTAAAATAACATGTTTATTTATAGTTTTGTTTATGAAAACCGTTTTCTTATTTCATATTCTCTCTTCGCAATTTGTTTAATGTGGCACCTCTTAGAATAAATCACCTTATTTCTAGCAATAAAGAAAATAATTGACAAAAAAACTTATATATGAAGGTGTTAATGAAAAAACATTTGGACGCCATTAAATGCCCAATTCATGGGAAGTATACATCCTAACGCAAAGGGTGGACCAAAATATATCACTATTCAGACAAGTGAACTGTCATAAAAAACATATGTCCCTCAGAATGAAAGTTTTGTTGGTGAACCCTGTAAAATACCTACCCATATATAGATTGTCCTCTTCAGGATCGTCAAGAACTTCAACCAATCGCACGATGTTTGGATGGTCAACTTTTTTCAAGATGGCTATTTCTCTGTAAACCTTCTCTAAAGGGTTAGGTGGTGGTTTTCCCTTGCCTTCCCTGGCAGGTGGCTTTTCTACAATATAGAAAAATAAAATGTAATGGTGAGGTTTTCCCTTGCCTTGCCAGGCAAGGGGAATTTCTACAATGAGGAATAAAATGTAATGGTGAGGTTTTCCCTTGCCTTCCCTGGCAGGGGGCTTTTCTACAACATAATAGCGTGTAAATATCATATAAAATACAGTGGGATTTGCAATATAAAGTACACAGAGGTGATTGCAATAAAGAATGAATTGTATAGAACAGAAAACAATGTATTTTATTTGAATTTCCAAGAGAAAGTCTGACATTATAAATCACAACTTCCCACACTCAGTCGTTGCTTTTAATCTTATATCTGGTTAACCTCCAATTGTTGATGGTAATGAATCTGTAACAAATCCATGAACAATGACATCAAAACAACCCACATTATCACGGATGCCATTTAGGAGAATTAGCCCCCAGCTAAAATCATTATAACATGTGCCAGGCCCCGATGATTCCAGGAATTGGCAATATAGAAGAAATGTAGCACATGGGGTCAGATTCTCTGAATCGTTAACTCTACACTGACATATTAAAATCAATCTAGTTTCTCCAATATTTTAGCCTGTGGTGAATCATTCATTCGTTCCTCAATAGTTGGTTAAGATGTTGATTATTTTGAGACAATGACCAATTACAAAACTTCCAGCTCATCATGTACAATTTCCTTCCTCATATCACCACTCACTGTTGGGCCTTATCTAAAAATCCTAAAACTTCCTAATTTATAAAATACTTCAAAATTGACATCACTATGAAAATATATGTACTTTTTAAATTTTTGTGCTCATAAATAGTGTGGATGGCTTATTTGCTTTGTTGTAACTGCTATAGCGATTCAATGATCTCTTGGTGTTGTCTGTTCTCAGGAGACATTTGTAAATTCTTCAATAATTCAGACAATAATGGATCTTCTTAATAATCTAATGGCTTGAATACAATATCACCTGTCTGATCCAAACACCACTGTGACAGGTGTTTACATTTCAGGGCTCTTTAACACAAAAATCTATGAGATTAAAAATGGAACCAAAAAGTGCTCACATTTAGAGGTGTTCACATTTAGAGGTGTTCACATTTTGAGGTGTTCACATTTAGAGGTGTTCACATTTAGAGGTGTTAAGATAGTAGAGGTGTTCGGAGAAACAGGTTTTACTGTATATTGGAAGGAAATTAATAAATATTGCTTTGCAATTCTTGCTTTAAGTCGAATAAAAAACACTTACTGAAAAATCCTGATCTTTTTATCAGCTTCTTTTTTGATAATATTTTCATTGCCTGAAAAACAAGATAGGAATAAGTTATTAGCTAGATATTTCATCAATTCATTTTTACTTCTAGCAAATTAAGGCAACCCATTGAAGATAAGTGACTGTAAATTGAGGGTAATAAATACAGGGTTATTGCCATCGTGTTTTTATATAAACTGCATACAGCTTTGCAATATTTGTTCTATAACTAAATCTTCCTAATCATGTGGTAAGACAAATTATTGGAGAACCAAACCTTCCCATTAATAATATGTTAGCTAGCTCTCTTTGTGGATCGTTTATTAGTTTGTATTATGTTTCAATCTCTTATATCCAAATTATATGAATGTATGTACTTTATATCAAATAAATACTTCACATATCATCTGTTAGTTATGTGTGTCATATATCTATATGTGTGTCATAATGAGTTACGTATCTGGTATTTGCATGTATCGTGTAGTCATCTCAAACAGAATGCATGCAACACATTTTACATGATATGCATCATGTTTGTAATAATGTAACATATTTCTAGAATGTGTGCTTGTTTTTTTCATACTGTAAGTCATGTATTCTCACAATATTTGTGATGTGTCATACTTAAACTATGTGTGTCATTTATACATTTATATGTGTCATGAATTTTATGTTATATATACTTACATAATATGTCATATATTGTGTGTCATATAAAAATACAAATTGTATGTCATGTTCTAAACTAATGTGTGTCATGTATTATGTTTCATATATACTTCCATAATGTGTGTCATGTATGATGGTTCATATATACTTACATAATGCGTGTCATGTGTTGTATGTCATATATACTCACATAATGTGAGTAATGCTTTGTGCTTCATATATACTTACATAATGTGTATCATGTGTTGTGTCATATATACTCACATAATGTGTCATATATTGTGCTTCATAAATACTTCGATAATAACGTGTGTCATGTATTCTATGTCATATATACTCACATAATGTGTGTCATGTGTTGTGCTTCATATATACTTATGTCATGTGTCAGAATGTGTTGTGTGACATACATACTTACATAATGTGTGTCATGTGTTGTATGTAATATATACTCACATAATGTGTGTCATATGTTGTGTGTCATATATACTTACATAATGTGTGTCATCCTCTTCATTATATGCCAGCTTCACAATACCATAACTCCCTTTTCCAATCTCGTCTTTTAGAGTATACTGATTCAACTGTACATATCCCTGACTGTCTGTCCTAGAAACACGTCGCGACTCCTTTGTCGGCTGACGACGCATTCTAGGGGAGCCATTAGGTGATCCGTATGGTGAATATGGGAGATGAGGACATATCGCCCGATCTGAATTTCCTGTTAATAACTTGTCCTCTGATTGGCTATAAGCTATTTTAGGGGCGTGTTTAATATTATGCAGTTGAGTAGAGCCAATGAGACTAGAGTTTGACGCTTGAGAAGGGGTGGGGCTATGTCTGTCCGAGCTCATACTATTATATGATGATGATTGGCCAGATTGCAAATGAGGGTCTATGTTTGACGTGGAAATTATTTCAGGTCCCGGCAGACACAAATGTCCCGATTTATCAACGGCAGAGGCTGAATGTTTCCTATAGTTCCTGTCGCCATCACTAGGTGTCTCTTGCATTATGACTTCAGACGTCTCATCATTATCGACGCTACAGCGACCAGAATCATTGGTCATACTGGATTGTTTGCGGGTATACGGTGGCATTCTATGAGGTAGGCCTCCATTTACAGCAGTACCATTTGCAATTTTGTGAGTTTTAGTCTCAGGGACGATTTGAGGCTCATCATTGCCTTGTACATGGTTTTGCCTACAAGCAGAAAAGATAAATTCATTGATCAGGTTTATGAGACGGCTCATGACTTAGACTGAATACCTAAAAAGGAAAACATATTTGAGGTTTCATTAACAACGAGCAACATGAGATTTTTGTAAGTTGCAAATCAATTTTTGCCAATGTTGTTTTGATCAAAATCCCATGTTGTTTCGAGGAACTTTATAACTGTTCCATGTTGAAATTATAATTTCCTAAAATGTTGCCCATTGTTCTCCTTCGTTTTACCTGTTGTTAAATTCTTATGAAACACCTGAAATATGATTGCCCAATTTAACAATTTGGCATTCAGCCCATTGCCCGATATTAAAGAAACTCATTTTCCAAGTTCATTGCCAGAGTGAAAAGTGATTGCCAGTAGCAGCCACGCAGCTGTGAGTTTCAAATTTTAGATTCATATAATTATAAACATGTACCTGTAGTTACTCATAGTTTTTGAAATTACTCCTGTGTCTCCTAAATCTAATATTATAATGTCGCTAAAACCTTATAGCATTCCTATTATAACTGAAATGGTAAAATAGAACTGTTTGAACAGGTATACAGTGCAAATAGAGATTTTTTCATCAATTCAATTTAACTGAATAAGACTACAAGAAAGTATGGTATGCTGAATATTTATGAAACACATTCTCTACATGTACTGTTTCTTTTGTTATATATAAAGTGGCCAATGTGCAAATCAAACAATTATTGATAATGAAATATTTTATATTAATCATTAATCATGATTATTATTGAAAGCATTTCAAATCTCTGTTATGCATTTTATAAGATAATAAATGAAACTTGAAATTCAAGAAAGCATTGATCAATGAATATAAAGAAATCAAGTCTTCTCTTAGAAAAACTGAATTATTTCCGATTCATCAAAATATATAGATTCAGTCAATGTATTTAAAATTTACTTTTATATCCATATATTAAACAGATTCTGAATATGTGCTTGAAATCCACTTTTATAATAATGCACTGTATTTGAACTGATTCCGAATATGCAGTTGAATTTCACTTTTATATGTAATATTATTTAGTTGAATTTCACTTTTTTTATATATATTGCAAACTTAATAGTACAAATATAAATACTAATACAAGCTGCTACTTACTTTTCTTCCATTATTGAATACTTCGTTTTTCATTGCGGATGTACAAACAACAACTCAAATAATAACATGGTGAATATATTTTTGCATTTTTCCCAAAATAACAACATGAACATGTATAATGAAGAAACAGACACATGGTGAGCTAATAACCTTATATACCTTGCTATACCTGAATTAACAACACTCCGACAGAAGTACACGCCAAATATATATGTACATGATGTATAATCTTGATGATGGTTTAGATTTTCTTGCCAAAACCATGTATAATCTGGATGTCTTATATTTTCAAATTTTGGTACATAAAGCATGAGAAAATACAGCAAAACCTGCATCCGAACACCTCTGTAATCCGAACACCTCTCCATGCAAACACCTTTTCAGTCCCTAAATTGTTATCTCAATTAACTCATTAACATATTTTAAAAAACTTGTGAACACTTTTGGCAAATCCCAGTGGCATTCAAACAGTTTTACTGTACATGTACGAGGGTTGTCCCAGAAGTAATGCACTATATGCTCTAACTTTCTTTAAAATTCTTCAATTATTGATAAAGTTAGAGCATATAGTGCATTACTTCTGGGACAAGCCTCGTATAATCCATTTGTAGCTCATGTTAGCTTCTCCTGCAATTGATACCTGTTGCTCTAGGCTGACTCTACCTTATCCCATTGCAGTATCTACAGAGTATTGTTTTCTACAGAAAATAACTTCCAGCAATACAACCAACAACAACTTAAAGTAAAATATTACTCTGCTCTACATTATCTCAAGCTGAATTTTCCCACTGTGTTTACCTTCCTGGAATACCTCTGTATACAGGAATAATGTTTGAATATATAAATTGATTTTATTACTTGGGTATCACTGTATTTTGTCTTGTGTTATATTTTATTTACAGGTAAACCACATGTTGTATTTCATTCACAGGTAAAGCAACATCCTTTTTTCATTATTCATACCTCAAATATGTAACCTTTCAACACAACATAATAAAACCCCATTGCACATTTGAAAACCATGATATCATATCAAAACCTTTTAACATATCAGTACAATAGAAACCTTCTCAGAATTATTCTTATAATTTACAGGATATATCTTTTTTGAATATCATTCAATTTTAAATAACTGATAATAACACCCTATCCCTTATTAAAAATAATGATATTAGACTACCAAAACAAAGAGAAGCAAAAGGCTGATTCAGAGTAAATATTTTCTTCATCGATCATTCTCCTGCTTGTTATTCATCATCAGTATGTAAATAGAGGATATCCTATGATTTATGAGTGATATGATTTTTATCCACGAATGGATATGATATCTGCACGAGCGAGCGTAGCGAGAGAGTGCAATATCAATATCCATGAGTGGATTAAAATCATATCACGAGTAAATCATAGGATGTTCTTTTTATTCCATAGTTAAAGCCATCATCAGAATCGTCGGAAATTAAGTTATTTAATTCGAATTTTCCAAACGATCCGGCGATGTTGACACTTAGCCTCGTTTTGAGTCTGAAGTAGCATAACTCCATAAACCGTCGCATACGGCGCCGTATGTCATGGCTAAAAAACCGTATGCTATGGTTAAGTGAAAATTTGTTAAAAATATCATATTTTACCACTGATTACAAAAATACCGTTTTTATTTTCACATGTTATCCTATGAATATCATGCTAACTATGGAATAAACAATATTTATCCTATGCCAAGTAGAGTTTCAGGGAGATAAGTTGGTAAGATATATCCCATATCCTGATTTTGAGGTTTCCATATCCAGAACCTCCATATCTCCCGCCATATCTCCCACTTTGGTGCATATCTTCCCGCTTCCGGTGCACATCTTCCCGCTTCCGGTAATGCAATAATGTAATGCATATGAATGATTTGTTTATTTTACACCTTGTACTATTGAAATGGCCATATGCCCCTGAAAACTCTACTTGGTATAGGATAAAGCAGTTATGTACGGTCGGTTTGGATATTGGGTTCATCCCTCGTGAGATATGCACATCTACCTTCGGTCCCTACAGTCCCTCAGGTAGATATGCATATCTCCCTCTGGATAAACCCCATATCCAAAACCTCCCAGTACATAACCCTTATATATTATTAAATATATGTATAATGTTTTTAAGTGTTTAAAACATAAAAATATTTGTGATCACAAATTTTCGATTTGTTTCTAAATCTTCTTCAGGTTAGCATAATGTAGCTATTGTATTGTATTGTAAAATGGATTGAAGAATTAAAGATGAAAAGAAGTAAAGACAGATTCTTGTTATGAACTTCATATCCTTGTTCAAACCTAATAATTACACAGATATCAAAAACATGTTTTGATGGTTCTGTGAATATCTTGAAGTTCTTGTAAAAATATAGGCTAACAAGGCATTAACATGCGAAACGTCACCATCTGCCATTTGTTACAGATGCAAAATGCCAAACACCAACCATCTAACAGGAAAGTTCTTTTAAAACATTGGCAGTTAGCTAACTGTAATTTATTTTATCGATAGATTTTATTGCCATTAATTATGATTGTAACTGATTTGGGTGAATCTTGGAGATAAATTGATAACATGACAAAATGCCTGAATGTGCCATGCACTTGGTTATGTAACTTATTAAGCAATCGCGTACATTGCACAAAATGTTATGATGCATTTCCTATTATGAGTCAGTTATAATAACCAAAGGTAGGTAACCTAATGACTAGTTTAATGGCTTGAGTTCACAAAATCTTCAGATAAGATTTCAATCAAACACTAGCATATTATTCATGCATAAACAGTCTATGACGTTGCATTCAGATTTTCAAAGAGTTTACATTTAAAACATGTGATATCTAGATCTAATCTATTCTGAACTATTTGCCCAATTTGTTTTTAACCATGTACCTTAGATATCCTTAACAACCTAAGCTTAAACCATTTGATATCCATGGTAACCTTAGATGTCAAGACGAGGTATTAACATGCAAAATGTCACTACCTGCCATTTGTTACAGATGCTGACTGCCAAACACCAATCACCCAATGCCGACCACCAAACACCAACTGCCAAACACCATCAGCAAAAGAGCAACATTGGACATCCTAACAACCTAAGCTATGAAAGAAAACATTTGATATCCATAGCAACCTAATGGATGTCAAGATGAACCATGGGTATCCATGACAACCCTTTGCATCCAGAGTAATCTCTTAACAATACTTAAGAACAAGATACAATGAGACAGTGAGCAATAAAACACTTTCTTTCAATTATATTTTATTAGAATTGGTTCATTTTGATCAATCTCCTTTATAGATCCATTGTAGATTAGTGTCATTGTGATCTTTCTCAGGGGTCTGTTTTGGAAAAATTGCAATTTACCACTTGGTCCAACATTTTTCATCTCAAAGTAACAATGGTTTTCTTCTAAGAGTCAAGTTATAATGCTATCAAATATGGCCCCCATTAAGAGACCATCGAGGGTACCAGGGACCCCAATAGGACCTGCTATATGTGAGAAACCCTTTCATAGGGGATACTAGGGTTCATAGGGGAGATGTTTGTCAAGTGACAGCTCTTTTGGGAGACAATGGTATAATAAAAACATGCCATAGTTAATGTAGTTTTATGTCTACATGTATTGTGACAACATCTCAATCTAATCAAAAAGTGCTTCACTGAGAAGACTTTTCCAATATAGGGGTGACAAAGAAAAATACCAAAACTGCGCCTCAAGTACGCCTTATGAGTATACCAAAAGTGCGCCTTAGAAAGTATACCAAAACTGCGCCTCAGAAAGTATACCAAAACTGCTCTTAGAAAGTATACCAAAACTGCGCCTCTCAATAGGCTAGGAGAGCTATATTCAATGATGCTGAAAAGATTGATTGATGATGGTCTTAGGTGAGTTAATTTGCTTGTTGATAATTGCTTAGAACAGGTGCACTGGGATCATGGAATTGTATGACATATTAAAGATACTAATGTTTCATCTATTGTTAGGTTAAAATGAGCATTAGACTTCTAAATACCAAGATAATTTTCATACAATGATACCTGTTACATAGCAGGGTTCAATTGCTTCATTTCTAACATTTCATACACAAAACGCTTTCTTAACGCCACAAAAATCCTTTTCAGAATTCGTCGAAATGCTTTGTATGGAAGCAATGAAACTTGCTATACTGTGTAAATCAAACCAATATACTGAATATTTATTGAAAATATGATCAAAAAAGGAAGGATGGCAATTCTCATTTTGAAGGTCTCACGTTTGTAACACAGAGTAGCCGTAACTCTCCTTCTGAAAGCCCATGATGGAACTAAGTATTTATATTACAATAAACATTTTCTCTGGTAGAACCAGTGCCATTTATGTTGTTCAATGCTATTTCAAGTAGCATCAGGGTGGAAAGCTTAAATTGAATTCACGCTCCAATGGAATCATTTCATTAATGAAAGTCCTACATACGGAATAGGTCGGCTATTCATTATCCATCTTTTATTGAATTAGTTTCTCACTAAATTCAATGAAATCTCAAAAAGTAATCCATCCATATCAGCTACCTTCCAAGATGATATGTAAAATACTAGAAATGGTAAAACCAGAAAGAAACAAGGCATTATGCAAAATGTCACCACCTACCATTTGTTACAGACACTGACTGCCAAACATCAACCAGAGCCCACTGGCCATTGCTGGTGGACCTTGGTGGTGATATAAAAACACAGATTAGATATAAAATCAACAGTTTAAACTTTACAGGCATGCAGATATATCTGCCATTTCTTTAAAATCTTGAACAGAAACTACAAGAAATGAGTTTTAAAAGGTGGAACTATCACCAAACAGAAATACAAAGGATCCAATTGCAATGTAACAGTTTCTCATTCAATGATTCCAAATTAACATGCATAAAAGCAATCAGAACATTTTACAAGTTTTGTACATTTATGCACTTGATAAGTTACTAACGTATAACAAGAGCAAAAGCTCCAAAGCATATTCCAATGTTCAAATATCATTCACTTAAAAGAACCAAACCAAGTTCAAAGAAATATCCAACAGCATTGACAATTTTTGAATAGGTTACCTATAATACAGCACTAAATCTTAGAAATCAGACAGAAATGTTGACAGCCTACTAGTAAAATAGTTCCAGAATCGCTTGGTGTATTGATTCAGCGGGGTTGTAAATATCATTGTGTTTGACATTCATCGATAGTTTTGTCATAATTCTCGCATGATGGATAATTGATTAAACGTCATAGAACTTTCGCACTTTTCCGTCTGAACTAGATCATGCTAACACCTGTAAACTTGACCCCGATGGTAGACACATCTTTGGGCAAATTGTAAACATAATTACAGCTAAACATCAATACACAATTTTTAGTGAACATCAGTACACAAAATCATATACTGATAATTGAACTGCATCATACTTCTGACACTAAAACTTTTCTATAATTGGGATTTTAAATAAATAAATATAAATGAATAAAGAGAAAACAATATTCACATATAGCTAGGCATTATTCATCAGATTCTAGCCAATCAGAGCACAGTATGTTATATCACACATGAATGTTTATTTTTATATTCGGCCCCTCAATTTCATAATTTCAAGTTGACAGTTGGGAGAAATAATATAAATAGTACAATCAAGAGTTGCTGAGTAAGCGCTTATGTAAGTAAAATGTTGACATTGCAAAAATTTTACGAAAATGTTTCTAGTTAAACTTCATTCTTAATGATGTTGTAAAAACCTTTTGCTAAGTTTGAAAATAATTTAAACATATGACTCAATGAATTATGGGTACTTTCATGCATTTGCGTATTTTATGCTAGCTTTTAAACTTGGGCTCCCATTCTCATTCAAAGTCTAATACAACACCCTCGTGCTAATTCTCAATATTGGCCACAATTCATTCAGCCGTTGGCTTAAATCCCGTAATGAACAATCTATCCAGAATTGAACATAATGTAACTCCTGGCCTATCAACAAGGAAACAATACACAGTTATTGACCTATCTAAGGAAGAACATTACCACAGTAATAAAAAATAAATGACAATAGACAATGTATTTTCTTCTCTAGGGGCTTGATTTTAACAAGTGATAAATTCACAGGATGAAATTGAGACATTAATTTCCTATCAGGACACAACTATTGCAAAGTTTAATAAATAAAAGCTTTCTTTCAGGATGACACTGTCGCTCAATATAATAAATATAAGCTTCTTTCAGGATGGCACTATCGCTTATTATGATGAGAAAATAATTTCCTCTGGAAGTGAAATTAGAAGATATTTCCTCTATGAGGAATCATACTATTTTTCTTAGAAATTCCAAGAAAACCTCACAATTTGTTATGTAACCCAGATGTTTCATTATACCCATGAAAATGGAGTATCATGCAATAGTGTATAACCTTCACCTGGATCATACCTACGTATTTCCAGATGTATAATAAGCTTTCAAATGGTAGACTAGCAAGAAATATGAAAAATATCAACTGAGAACTAATAATTCACAATTGAGACCTTTAATACTCATGGGAAATTATTTCACCATTTTGAAATGAACAATTAACATTAAAAATTCATAAGATTCAACAAAACATTTTGACCTAAAATCCCAAAGGGAATATTAAGACAGCTGCTCATTTGAAGCAGAAATTAACCAATTCTCAGAAAATACAACAAGGCTTCTTCGGTAATTGACAATTGATTACTATTTCTCAGCTAAGTTCCTCTTTTTCAGCGGATGGGTGACGAGGGGTGTCTTCGCAACTCTTGAACAATTCCTGTGGGTCTATATGATGACCCTGAAAAACTGGGGTCTACAAAATTTCTGGTGATGTTAAACTGATATAAAAATTTCATTATTCACTGCAAAAGTATCTACATTTTGTTATATACAAATGGGTTTTAATACTGATTCTGGAGGGTCATGAGGAATCAACATACATGTAACTACCCCAGTGTTTTCAGTAGGTTTGTCCATTGATTGCATCCCTGGGACATACTGATTTTCAAAAAATATGCCGACCCCCCTGAAAAATGTTTATTTTTTTCCTTAAAAAATAATACTAAAAATAAAAAGCCCAAAAATCAATTAGCAGACTGATATGAACAATTTGTGGGGGCACACATCAAAAAAGAATTTACACAAACAGGAGTTATCTCTGTAATGGTTTAATTGTCCAACAAAACAATAATTAAATTTGCATTAATAAAGTTTATCTATAGTGGAATTGCTTCCTAATAACATATTGCAATGATAAGCTGTTGTAAATATGCCTGGTAGATGTAATAATAGAACAAGTGGTTTTTATTTAATGCTTAACACAGATATGAGGGCATTAACCTGGTTTTGCCATATCTTCTTGCAATGTCTCCCTCTGTCAACTAACACGACACATATTGCCTCTACTCAACTTTTGCCTTCATTGCTTTTGACTCAACCCATATTTTGCACCTACCCCTATTTCACCTCTACTCGACTTTTACCTCAAATCAACTTTATTGCATTTTGCCTCTATGTTACTTTGACTCTACCCCCATATTGCCTCTATCCCAATTTTGCCTCTGTCCCTATTTTGCCTATATCCCCATTTTGCCTCTATGTTACTTTACCTCTACCCCATTTTGTCTCTATCGCGATTTTGTCTCTGTCCCCATTTTGCCTCTATCCCCATTTTGCCTATATCCCCATTTTGCCTCTATCCCCATTTTGCCTCTAACCCCATTTTGCCTCTACCTTATTTTGCCTCTATCCCGATTTTTTCTCTGTCCCCATTTTGCCTCCATCCCCATTTTGCCTCTATCCCAATTTTGCCTCTACCCCATTTTGCTTTTATGTGACTTTGCCTCTATCTCCATTTTGCCTCTAACCCAAAGTTGCCGTTACCCTATCTTGCCTCTAAATTACTTTTGCCTCTACCCCCATTTTGCCTCATCCCCATTTTGCCTCTACCCCATTTTGCTTATATCCCCATTTTGCCTCTATCCCTATTTTGCCTCTGTGTTAATTTGCCTCTACCTCCTTTTATCTCTATGCTACTTTTGCATCAATTCTATTTTGCCTCTACCCTATTTTGCCTCTATGCTACTTTTACTTCAACCACCTTTTCCCTCAACCAAATTTTGGCTCTACTTTATTTTGCCTCTACCCCATTTTTGCTTTTCCACATTTGCCTCTACACACTGTCTATTTTCAAATTGATCATGATTTTACAATAGAATTTCTATGTATCATGTCTATTTTCTTTTACTCCTGGCATCTTTATGTACATTATGTCCATCGTCTGAGAGATCTAACATTTTTTATATTGAAGTTATCAGGAAATCCATTTTTCAATTCTACTCAATCTTAAATCTTCAATTACTTCTATATTTGATCAGAGATCTCATTTCTTACTATTTACAATTCGGATTTTAAGAAAGACATTAGGATGCTTTGACAAAGTTGTTTTTTAACATTTCATATTATTTCTTACAGTATATTATAGTCACCCAGTATAAGATTTTGTAATAAAACATAATTGAGAATTCATATCATGAGTGCTTATTTTGAACAAATAATAAAAAATATATTTTGCAGTTCAATATTCTATCAAAACTTGAAACCAATCAAAATAAATTAAACACCTCTGACTTGATTACAAATTAATGTTACATAATTTAGGACATCAACCAAATACCCCATCCTTCAAGATCAGTCTTTCACTGCTTTCATAGAAGCTCATGATATAATGCAATGAATTACTCTTGGGCCAAGGATGTAAATACCCAGTTTATCAAATTCTATGACAATTACACAATTTATATAATTTTCCATTTTGTATTTTAAAACATGTAACCCTGGCATATAACAGTAAAGATATAATAAAGATCAGATCTTACCTCATACGTGCGATACATTCATGTATAGCTTGGCTAATCCTCGTACACATTCCTTGTCTAGTTTATTGCAAAGCAGGCTATTAACTTAAAAATGCTAGATCTTCCAATTGACTTTTATAGTCACTGATGTTCAAGTCTGATTTCCTTTTTATCTCTGGTTCAAATCCACGGATCTCATAATCAGGACAAATATCTTAGCTTTTAATGCTGTTTTGTAATCTGATTAATTTCTTAAAACTGTCATAATACCAATAGATTCCTTCAAGTGATCTCAGTGAATACTCTGACGAGAATTTAACTGCTGGTTATATGGCATCTTGTATTATTTCCCTCCGGGATGAATGTTACATTAGTTTCCAAAAATCAATGATACAATGATACAAAATGCTTGCCTATGTCAAGATTCTTGGGTAATGTACTCCCTACCTAAATGATGATTTATCTATTCCAAGATTCTTGGGTAATATCTTTCTTTCTTAATCTTTCAATGTCAAGAATCTTGGGAAATATCCTCCTTTCTTAATGTAGATCTTGGTTAATATCAACCCTCTCCTGATGAAATTTGTATCGATATCAAGATTCTTGGGTAATAGCCTCCTTTTCTTTTGTAGATCTATCTATGTCAAGATTCTTGGGTAATACTAGTTTCTTAATACAAAAATTCTTTATAACAAATGACAACGATGTACTTTTACTTCAGGGAAACCTGTACAAAATATATCTCCTTATTAACCTTATTCTGCAGTGTTTCTCTTTAAAACTAAAATAAAGAATTTTTAAATCCAGAGTGTTCCTATTGATCTTCTCTTGTTCCTTTTTAATTAACGTTTCAAATGCAGAAAGCTAACAAAATAAGATAACTATCAACTTTCATCTTTTATTTCTGGAACCCCTCATATATCAACTCGTATGTAGTCTGATGTATACCTTTGATTCTGAATGGGCCCCTAGCATTTCCTGAGAGACTCCTTATACCAGCTACAAAGGCCCCTTAGAAAATTTACATCCATGATGTTAATTACTTAAAAAACCCTTATCACAAATTACCATCGGAATAAAATCACCTTTAATCAGAAAATAACAATTCTAAATGACCATATTTGGTGAAAGTATGCTAATATGAAGTATAATATGTTTAAAGGTCTCGCTTAATATGATATTTTGTTTCTAAGTCTGCAATTATCTGATTGTGAACACGAATGCAAAATACAAATTGTTTCTAGTTGCCTTAACAATGAATAAATATCAGTTATTGGCACCTAATCATGCCAGTGGTTCTGGCATATGAGTCAATATAAGGTTTTACATATGCACAGTATATAAAGGTTATAATACTAAAAGATTATATCAAAAAGAATAAAAGCTCACGTGTTACACTTCCCGCATTAAGTTAAGCAACCATTTCGAATTAGCAATTTAGTTTTGATGTGCTATCGGATGAAAACTTTCAGTTGCCAAACTTATGGAGGGGAGTGTATATAGCAAACTGGAATGTACAGTAAAACCTGTTTAATCTGAACACCATTGGGACCGGCTTAAAGCGTTCAGATTAGGTGTTCACATTTCGAGGTTTTTGCATTCGCGACATTCCGGATTCTGAAGAAACGTGAACACATTCTCTGTACATATTTATAGTTCATTTGACCACATAGCTTTATAGTATTTCAGAAATTTGAAAATTCGATTCAAATGAATCTAGTCATGTTGGAAAGCCCTATTATAATCAAGACCATTCAAGCTTTTTTCCCCAAAGTTTGGATATCAGAACAATATTTCAGCAATTTTGTATGAAACATGTGAAATCTTAAGAAAAGTGTTTGATTAGACCTTGAAATGTGAACACCTGCTAATAAGAACACTTTTGGCCGGTCTCAGTGGTGTTCGAATTATAAAGGTTTAACTCTATTTATTCTTTGGATAGTAACATATTACATAATTGTGTAATTGCTAATTACCATAGGGTTTAACCCTTTCCTTTACTTTATTAGTACCATCTGAGTCAGTTACATAAGGAAGATGTAAACTACCCTGCACCAGAGTCAAGTTGTAAACTACACTCTGCCTAAAACAGACTACATTACAGTTTGGCAGCCCTACCACCACGACTGGTGCCCAAGACTGCCCAGCTCATAAATCATTTCAAATGTACCGGGCTAACCTTTCTCGACCAATCAGTGAGCTGGGAGGAACACACTTTTCCATTTAATCCCGTCATGAATATTCATAAGGCCAGCGAGTACAACAGTGATGTCATTAGAATGTCTGTCATCTGTATTCAGAGAGTTCAGAGATTTATTGTAAACTGAAAGATTAGAGATGAAGTTCTCTTTTAAAAAGTGAAGTTGCATGAATGCAAAGGGTAGATGTTCTCTAAAGCAGGTATGCCAATGAGATACGCTAGATTCAAGATAACCCTTATCAGAAAACATTCTCATCTTTTGATATGCTGCTGAATATACCTCTAGCTAACTATCACTTTGTCTTTTTCCCAAAAAATATTCGAAATGAGCCTTCATTTTACTGGCACTGCATGGAACTAATGGAAGGGATGTCCTAATCCACCTCTACATTCTCTGTATACCAAAATGTTTTCCTTGGTACACAGGAAGGTGGGGAGAGGGTATTTCTCGGACAATTCTACTTTCTGTTCAGGTGCCTATGCCTTTTTAACATAATGAAAGAACAGGGGTCAAGACTAAGGTTGAAACCATCACTGGACAATAGTCTTTTCAATATAGCTTTGAAATCTTGTTCAAGTCTTGTTTTTAATGAGATTTTATGAGATCTGCATTTTTAACCATTAAATACTAACATTTTCTTCTATTTGATAGCATATTTGAATAGCTGTGTGTAATTTTCTACCAAAACAACTTTGATTTGTACAGTTATTTACCTTTATTCAAATTCTAAAGATTTTCAAGTTTTCTAAAAAAGGTCGGGCTAAATCCCCATTGACACAAGAAAAAGGGTCATGGCATTCAGTCCATCGCCCAATCAGCAACTCATTTTTCCAAGATCATTGCCAAGAGCGAAAACACTGATTCCCCAATTTAACAACTTGCTATTCAGTCCATTACTCATTTTCCAAGTTATTGACAATCAGGTAGCTTTGAGTTGCGAATATTGTAAAAGAACATGGTATTCAACACTATATATAATCAACCTATAATTCTCATGGACTGATTTCATATATTTAGAGCTTAGAATTCACATTAAGAGTAACAGATGTAAAAGTCAGCTAAAAGGATATAAGTCCCTGGATTCCAGACAACACTGTATATAATTACAAACTGCAAATACCAATGAACTCTTATATTAGTGCATTATATAGTAAAACCTGTCTAATGTAATGCTACTGAGACTGACCTTCTGTAAAGTGTTCAGATTAACAAGTGTTCACATTTCAAGGTTCCTGGTCAATGAGACATAAAACTAAGACCCAGTGTTCATAGTTAAAAGTGTTTATGTTGAAAGATGTTCTGATATATGAGGTTTTACTGTATAAACAATATGAATTTCAGCTCTCAATTATAAAAAAAGTAATAAAAAAGTCTGAAATATCTGAAATCCTCTTGACTTGTTATAAAATTATGGATCATCACAAAAAATGTTGGACTATCATATTTACAGTAAAACCTGTATATCCAAATACATCTCTAATCTGAACACCTCTCAATGTGAACATTTTTTCTTTATCCCAATTTTGTTTTCTCATATTAAAAATAACTCACAGTTCAAAAAAATGTTAAAAGAATAAATGTGGTAAGGGTGCAGGTATAAATGTGGTAAGGGTGCAGGTATAAATGTGGTAAGGGCGCAGGTATAAATGTGGTAAGGGCACGGGAATAAATGTGGTAAGGGCGCAGGTATAAATGTGGTAAGGGCCGAGATATAAATGCGGTAAGGGCCTAGATGTAAATGTGGTAAGGGCGCTAGGAACCAATGTTAGTAAAATGTCTTATAATAGTGGTATTGGTTCATTGTATCCAATCCTTACAATGAGTCAATACCATAAAGAACTTGTTGCCATGGTTTCAATCACTAAAACACCCTACCTGTCAAGTCTATATTTTGTTCAAAAACAACACCGTTTATACCCAGGGTTGAAATAACAAGAACTGAACTAACTCTAATTTCCCGGGGAATGCATCATCAATGCATTATTGACCGACAATATGGCCTGCCACTATGCTGTCACATACTGCTTAGTTCGATACAGTAAAATAAATACCTTCTAAACTAGCACTAATACCCCTTAGAACAGGCCCGGTAAGGTGGTAATAATCAATGTTTGTGTAACAAGGAAAATATAATAAAGGGAATAATGAACAAGAAAAATGACTCAAGAACAGCACTGTTCAAAATGTCTTATTGAATTAATGTCTTACTTTAAATCATCAAGAGAAAATAAGTTTGACAACTCAATAGATAAGATAAATGCAGTAAAATGTATATATACCAGACTTT